TTAAAAGATGGATTTTGGATGTGTGAATCAAACTGGCAAAATCTCCCCAGAGAACTTCTTTTTTTTGGTATGGTGATGACCAGAACTGGATGCTGAATTCCAAGTATTGTCTCACCAGCATGGTATAAAGCCATATTATCACTTTATGTTGCTTGGGGGATTCCGGGAGTTGACATCCATACATCTTAAAAGGGCAGAAGTTGAAAAACACTGATCTAAAGGCTGTCAGAGTCTGGATATGATGAAGTAGACCAAGATTCAATCTTAGCAAGATGGAGTTGTTCTATCAGAGGATCTCTGCCTGCTTCAGCATTGGCTCTAGATGGGGAGGCCCAGTCCTTGGAGGAGAGAGGGTCCTCATGCCCTCCTCTACGCTCTACGATGGGCTGCCCCTGAAGAGTTCAGGAAGCTTTAATATGTCCAGGATGCAGCAACCCAACTCTTGGCCCCAAGGACTTTACAACGAAGAGGAATCCTGTGCAGGTCCAAGCTGTTTTGTCACCTGTATAGCCAGACTTGACTTTGGGCTGCAAAGCTGGTGAAGAACTATCTTCTCCAGTCGGGACAGACCTGCCCCAAAGGTGTGGGCAAAGGTGTCCTGGGCAAAGGTGTGGAGCTCCATTTCTATGACGTCTAGGTGTCAATGGAGGATTGTAGGTGCTGCTACTTTCATTTGATGGAGCAGCCCCTCCACCCTTGGAATTAGGTTGACCCCCATTGACCCGGCCTCCAGAACCTCTGAAAAACTAAGTGATTCCAGAGGTTCTGATAGGACACCCTGTTTAACTGGGGTTTGTGATGTTTTAGTTTATAGTATTAGAGATTTTACACTTTTATAGACATACAAGTTCTCCTTCCATAGAGGTTTTATTTGATATTGGTAGGAGATGGGCAGCCATACAAATTGTTTAAAGAAATAAAAATAGACTTAAATGTTTATGTTGCTTGTAATTGTACGTTTGACAATTACAATTTAAAATTGTAAGTTTTAAAATTTACAATTTTAAGTTTCACAATTGTAAATTGTTAGTTGCTTGTTTGTCTATCCAAACAGAGCACAGGAAGGAACATGAAGCGGAAGGATGATGGCAACATGTCCTGCAAAGAACAAAAAAACAAGAAGGCAGCGTCCACCCTCTCTGGAACTCAGATATCAATTTCATAACCTCCCCCAGGAAGGAAACACATATCTGATGTTGCAATTATAAGAAGTAAAGTAACTCAGATTTCCCCAAATAAAGGCATGTCAATTTCCCTATTTAGAGAATCAGAGTCAACAATTTGTAGACCACAAATTTCTTAAGAAAAGCGTGTTGCTTCCCAGCTTCAAAGATTAAAGAGGTTTCAGAGCGCCCACCAATTATTATCCCTTTCTCCTCTTTCCTGTTAGGACCAATAACACAACTACGAGCCTAAAATCCATTTCAAGGGATTATGAAAGCAAGGCAGAAAAGCAAAGGATCTGGGCTCTCAGATTGCTTTCTCATTGGTACTCCTGAAAATACTTGATGACCAATGAAGGAATGGTCCTTTTAACAAATAAATCACTGGTTCAAAGAATGATGCTTTCTGAGAACTTTGACTTTCTAGACTATGGATTACACCATCTACAGAATAATAGAATTACAGAGTTGGAAGGGACCTTGAAGTCCAAACCCCTCCTTGAACAGATCCTAGTTCATTCTGGATAAATGGCTGTCCAATATCTTCTTAAAAACCTCCAGTGATGGAGCACCCAAAAGGTCTGAAGGCAAGCCGTTCCACTGGTTAATTGTTCTCACTGTCAAGAAATTCCTCCTTAGTTCTTGCTTTTCTCCTTCATTGTTTTCCACCCATTGCTTCTTGTCCAGCCCTCGGCTGCTTTGGAGAATAGGTGCCCCCCCCTTTGTGGCAGCCCCTCAAATATTGAAAGATTGCTATCCTGTCACCTCTAGTCATTCTCTTTGTTAGACAAGACACACCCAATTCCTGCAACCATTCTTCATATGTTTTAGCCTCCAGTCCCCTAATCATTTTTGTTGCTCTTCTCTTCATTCTTTCTAGAATCCAAACATCTTTTTTATATTGTGGTGACCAAAGCTGGATTCAATACTCCAAGTTTGGTCTTTCCAGAGCATTAAAAGAGGTACTAATGCTTCACATGATCTTGATTCTACCTCTCTGTTTATGCAACCTAGGATTGCATTGGCTTTTTTGGTTGCTGCAGCACACTGCTGGCTCTAAGTGGTTGTCCATTAGGAATCCAAGATCCCTCCTGCAGTACCTCACAAAGACTAGCAAGAATGTATTTGGGAAACATCTGGCTCAGCTCATCTAAAGGGATTTGAACTAAAAATGGAGGGGGAAGGGAATGAATTGATAAGGCTATGACAGACCCCTCTAATTTGCTTACATGCCTTTTATTATTATGTACTCTTTTTTCGGGGTATGCCATTCTGGTGGGAGGGAGCTGGGGAATGTATTTGCCTTGCTCTGCCTTGTTCTGCTCTGTCCTTTATGAAAATGCCTCCCTCCATGAGAAAGGAATGTGGCCTGAAGACATCTGCCTTATCTCCAGACAACAGAACCTGGGACCGTTTGGAAAATGAAACCAAAAGAGACGTTGAGATGGGCACTAAATCACCAGGTTCTCAAAACTAGCTAGCACCTGTGGATTGGCTGAATTTCAACTGTACGGTTGGACACTGTGGGGAGGAGTTCTGCCTGGGCATTATGATGTAACCTTTTGCATTCGAATTCTTCAGACCTTGCTTTGCTCTACTGCTATCACTAATTCTCAATAAAAGTTCCTTTTGAAGCAATGCCTGTTTCAAGAATTCTACTTTCTTGGGAGATCTAGTTGAGACAAGTCCTTACATAAAGCAAGGTCTGCAATAGTGTCCGTGGGGGTGGGCCTGCATGAGATGTCTCTGCAAAGCAGTGAAATGGGAGAGGCCAGGACCAAAGATTGGAGTGAGTCGGCTATCCAGGCTTGTCCCAAGGAAGGCACCTCCAGTTAGCTGGAGGAAGCCACTGCGTTAGAAGACTCCATGAAACTGAGATGGTTGCTCGATGTCAAGAAGAAAGAGGACTGGGAAGAAAGAACTCAAAGGGTGACTCTCACTCGAGAAGGCCAGAAAAAGACTTGGAAGAAAAAAGTGGAGCTCCTATCCGATGAGGAAGAGCCGGACCAGATGGAGGAGATCCTGAAGTTAGCCATACAGTACAAGGTGGAAGCTTACGAGGACCTAAAGGTGGAAGCCATCCCAGCAGTACAGCAGCAAGCAACCCCCAGAGAGTCCAGACCGCACGATAACCAGAGAGAAAACTCCCCCGGACAAGCCAAACCTGGTGCCGCTGGGGGTGAGGTTCGATGGGGATCCCCAACAACTGGGGTTCTTCCTGGCTCACATTCTCACCTACATGCAAGTGTATGGGAGAACCCTGCCCAACGATGCAGCCAAGATCAGAGTCATCACACTAGCCCTGGAAGGGGCTGCGGCTAGATGGATGGTGACCCTATATAACTGCGATGCTCCTGAGCTCTGGAATTTTAACTGGTTCGTGACAGCGCTGAGATGCCAATTTGAAGATCAACTGGCAGAGCAGAAGACTCAGGACCACATAAAAATGGTGGAGCTGAATATATGGAAGAATCCTACGATTTAGCATGCTGCCTCAACTGGCCTGAAGACATCCTGGTGGGCTATTTCCAAGACGGGCTAAACAACAACCTGTACAACTCTTGTGTGGCTTGTGGAGCACCTGCATGTTTATACAACTGGTGCATCTTAGCTTGTTTCTCGGGGGGGATAGGCTCCAGATTTTTCCTTCTCTTAAGGATTGGGTATATCAGTTACAGAACATTTGGCCTGTGGTCGGGAAAGCTCTGGATGAAGCTAGAGCAGCGTTTAAGGCTCAGGCAGATAAGAAAAGAATGGAACCAAAACCTTTTCATGTGGGGGATAGAGTTTATCTTTCCACCAGGTTTTTACAATCACTGCAACTCTCTAAAAAGCTAGGGCCAAAATACATCGGTCCTTTTCCCATTAAGCACTTAATAAATCCAGTCCCAGGGGAATTAGAACTCCCTAAGACAAATCCACCCAGTTTTCCACTGCAGTTTGCTGACACCCGAAATTATATCTATGTTAAGGCCTGCCACCACTCTTCCTCCACCACCCATTATGGTGGAGGGCGAGCAGCATTTTGAGATCAAGGACATTTTAGACCAGGGGTCTTCAAACCTGGCCCTTTTATGAATTGTGGACTTTAACTCCCAAAATTCCTCAGCCAGGCACGCTGGCTGAGGAATTCTGGGAGTTGAAGTCCTCAAGTCATAAGAGGGTCAAGTTTGAAGAGCCCTGTTTTAGCCTCTCACAAGCATCATGGCTCTACTCAGCAGTTGGTTGCCTGGAAAGATCTTTCTGCCTAGAAATGAACATGTTAATTACTAGCAACAGGCCTGGATTTGTTAAAAACAGGCCATTCTAGACAACTTTAGCGCCTTCTTTGACAAAGTGACTAAGTTAGTGGACCAATGAAATGTTGTTGACATAGTTTATTTAAGATGTCAGTAAGGCATTTGACAAAGTAGACCATAACCTACTTCTTGGTAAACTAGAGCTTTGTGGGATAGACAGCACCACCATCAGATGGATTCACAATTGGCTGACCAAACACACTCAGCAGGTAGTCCTCAATGGAGCTACATCATAGGGGCCGTGGAGGTCTTCTAGTCCAACTCCCTGCTTGAGTAGGGGGTTGGCGTAGAAGACCTCCAAGGTCCCTATGCTTCTATGTTCTAAGCTGCCCAGAATATGAAATGTGCAGTTGTATAAACTGAATGGCCAAAGAAATATCTGCTAAAAAAGAATTGGAAGTGGTGTTTTGCAACCAGAGAGCTGCAAAATTTTGCAACCGAATTCTCTCTCCCACCGAAGAGGCAGTCCTCATCTCCACCAAAATGAGAATCTGCAGCTCTTGGAAAGCAATCTTCATTAGAATATTATGCAATTTAATTAACTATTCACATTTTGCAGAAGTTAGACTAAGCTTCTCTTCACTTTTTCTTGAAGTGCCAGTTGCTGACATGTCACCCAAGATCATTCTCGTATTGTGGTTCCCAATCCTTTTCTTAGGAGCTGGTAAGTTGTGTTTCTGTGTGTATTTCTAGCTGTAGATGCAGTTTCAAACCAGGGCTGAAATTTGGGGCTCAAAACACGTTTTTTTCCTTGAGTCCAGTAACAGATCTGGGGTTTCTATAGATACTGGGCTTTCTAGGAGCATAAATTGTAAAAGTTGTAAAGAACCATAAGGATCATCCAGTCTAATCCCCTGCAATATGCTCAAAAACCAGTTCAACCATTCCAGGACCCCTGTCTTTCCCTATTGACTTTGCACTTTCCACCCTGGTTGAGGGGAAGAAAATAAATTAGTGCCAGCAAGTAACAGAGTCACTTGGGGTCCCAGTTGAAAGGGCCAGCCTCGTGGCAGAAGGAGGGTAACCCCCCAGTGGTACTCCGAGTGACCCCCGTCAAGTGTCCTCCAGATGAATCCTTTGGGTGACCTGTTCATCCTGAGGCTTGGTGGAGCTTTGGGTCTCTCTGGTGGGGCAGATCCTCCTTTTGAGCTCCAAGGGAAGGACTCAGGTCCTACAGAGGACATTTGCACCTATTGCTTCTGTAAGAAGGAAAGACCATCACCCAGAGAGACGCCCACTACATCTGCTATCCTGGAGCTATGTTGTCCTTTCTCAAAAAAGGTTTTCCTGGAATTTGAAGTTCAGAAATGGGATGTTTGGAGGAACTCTTTTGGCACAACCTTGAATGCTTCTTCTCTTCGACCTTGCAGGAGCTTCTGGAGCAGAAAAACTGAATGGACGCCTGGGATGGTCTACCATATTCAAAGTAAAGACTAATTTATCATTTGTATCAATTTCCTGGAGTAAAATTGTTGGCAGCAAGTCTGAAAACATTGCTCTGGTGACCTTTGGGGAGCCCTGTGGCCTCCTGGTCCCCCTCCCAGCCTTTGAAAAGAGAGTGAACATCTCCAAGGACTGCAGAACATTGTATCTTGACCAAATAGAGAAAGAGGACGCTGGCAGATACACCGCAGAAATCATTTCACAAAACAATACAGTAGTGAAGGAGTCCTTTGACCTGAGTGTTTACAGTAAGTATCCCAGTGGCCAGGCCAAGTGGGTTCCCGTATGGGGGGTCATGGAGAGAGAGGGGCAGGTGGGCTTTGAGGCTGGAATATCCAGAGCAATCTCTTTATAGATCAGGTGGGACTGGCTGGACCCACAAACTCTTTGGGGGAAAGTCAAGGAGTTACCTGAAGTGCTGAGCCTGGAGGGTCATCCTCTTGCCCTCAATCCATGGTTTGATACAAAAGAGGAATTGGGGGAAGCCAGAGGACGAGGGGTGCCTGCCCTCCTCTCCCATGGAGGGCCTCTCCCTTCACAAGGAGTATCAGAGGTGACGAGGGGGGGTTGTGGGATTCTTATTTGTGAATGAAATCAGCTGAAAACCTAGTTCATAAGGCATCCAGAACAGTCTCCTTAAAGCAAGTTTATGCTGGACCAAAGATGAAATGGACACTGAATGTAAGGACCCACCTAACTTTGCATCTTAAGAAGACAGAAGTCTTGGACTATTTCTTCTAACAGGCATCCTTTATTAAGAGAAAATGGTTGCAGGCGTTCTAGACAGGACCTGGGGCCCAAGCCCTACGGTTCAAGATTTTAAGTGGTCCCAAGCAGCTCCACCCCACCCCACCGTCCTTCCAGCGACAATCCCAAGCGTTACATTTCCACCCCCCTTTTCCACACAGCCAGTGGAAGGGAGACTTCAGAGAAGAGTAGATGAAAGCTGATGGGCCCTATTGTTATGGTTACTCCTTTTGGTGATATCCACATTCAGTCCCTTTGAAGTTATAACAAGGGAAGTGAGGGCTATAAAACCCCTTTGCTCATCCCCCTTCCCCTTCATAGTATGACAGAATCCAGAGAGGGCAGAAATGGGGTTTTCCATTGTCGATAACTAGAGATGAAATATAATTGGATTCTGACACTGAATTTGAAGAGAAAAATCTCCAAAAAAGGAGAAGCTAGAACTTCCCACGGTTGTTTATGCAGGAGAATCGTAAGAAAGAGGTTGGGTTGCAACCAACAATCCAACAGCCACCTTGATGGTGTCTTCCATTCTTCTTAGGTTCACCTGGCCTCTTTGAATCCTAACCCTCATCTTCATGCCCAACTATCTGTGTCAATTTGGTCCTTATAAACTCTAAAACTCTAAAAGCCACTTTGGCATATTCAGAGCTGGAATCCAGGAACAAGTGCTGGGCTTCTGCAGATGCTGTTGGAAAGCACCACCAGGATCCCCTAGTCCAGGGGTGGGGAACCTTGGCTCTTTTAGGACTTGTGGACGTGTGGAGCCATGCTGGCTCGGGAATTGTGGGAGTTGAAGTCCACCAGTCATAAAAGAGCCACAGTTCCCACCCCTGCTCTAGTCCAGCCCCCTGCAATTCTAGGGCCCCCAGCTTTCCCCGTTGACCTTGCTCTTTCCATCCTGGTTGAGGGGAAGAAAATAAATTGGTGGCATCGTGTGGGGTCCCCCTTGAAGGGACCAGCCTCGTGGCAGAGAGAGGCTAAACCCAACTGGTACTTCAAGAGACCGTGCCAGGCGTCCTCCTGGTGTGTCCTTCAGGTGGCCTGGTCAGCCTTGGTCTCTCTGCTGGGGCATATTGTCCTTTTGAGCTCCAAGGGAAGGACTTGGGACCAATGAGGGACATTTGAACCCCCTGGCTTCTCTAAGGCCATAGCCCAGAGAGGCCCCCATCCTGTCCGCTATGCTGGAGTCATTTTGTCCTTCCTCAGAAAAGGTTTTCCTGGAATCTGAGGGAAAGAAATGGGATGCTTGGAGGGTCTTTATTGCCTTTGAAGCCTTCTTCTCTCTTCTCTCTGGCCTTGCAGGAGTTACTGAAAGAGAATATCTGAATGGCATTCTGGGGGAGTCTGTCACATTCCAAGTGAAGACTAATCTATCATTTGTATCAATTTCCTGGATTAAAATTGTTGACTTCGAGCCCGAAAATATTTCTGTGGTGACCTTTGGGGAGCCCTGTGGCCTGCTGGTCCCCCTCCCAGCTCTGGGAAACAGAGTGAGGGTCTCTGAGGACTGCAGAGGATTGCAACTCAGCCGTCTAGAGCAAGAGGACAAAGGCTTTTATGTTGCAGTAGTTTTGTTACCAACTGAAGAGATAGTATATGAGCCCTTTGATCTGGAGATTTCTAGTAAGTATCCCAGCCGGAGCAGCAAATTCCCAGCCTCCCTCCTTGGCCCTGGTGATGTGGAGAGGTGGGAGGCTTTTCTGTTGCAGGGGGCTGCGGGTGTCCAATAACTGAGATTGAGACCAGAGATGCTCACCTGATGCTCCCTCCGTTTGAATTAATGTCCCAGCACGTCCATCAGAGTAGATATTTGTGCATTTTAGCAATGCAAATTGGTTCGAAATCTTCTCATCAGGCCTAGCCTTGTTTACATTTAAATGCCACCATTTTTCTCCCTGTTCCTCCCATCTTCCGTGCCTGGAGCTTTGGCACTCCTGAGGACTAGCATTTCTACAATGGGTTAGAAGTGGAGCCCAAGCCGTGTCCTGTATGCTCTTCCCCTCTGGAAGGGGACCTGTGGGGCCCATCCCAGCTGCCTCCAAGCTGCCCTCTCCATGGGCATAGGCTAGCTTGGGCCAGGCCATGGGGGCTCCCAGATGGGGAGCCAAGAAGAGAGCTGTGGGTTTGCTTTCAGGGTAGACTCTCCAGAGAAGCAATTCAGGATCCTCTTCATGCATCTGGTGGGACTGGCTGGACCCACAAACTCTCTGGGGAAGAGTGCATTCATAGAATAGAACGGAGCTGGAAGGGACCTCGGAGGTCTTCTAGTCCAGCCCCCTGCTCAAGCAGGAGAAACTATTATACCATTTCTGTCCAATTAAGGAGTCCCTGAGAGGCTGAGCCTGGAGACTCATCCTCTTGCCCTCAGTCCATGTTTGGTATAAAGAGGAATTGGGGGAAGGCAGAGGGTGAGGGGTACCTGCCCTCCTCCACCATGGTGGGCCTCTCCCTTCACAATCTGTCTCACGGGTGAGAGTGGGGAATTGTTCTGGGATTGTTATTTGAGACTGAAATGCGTAACACATTATTTTCCTTGCTCTAATCTAAGCAAAACCATAGACTGAGCCTCTGTTGTTGCTGCTTCTCCTTCCTCTTTGGCCTCCCTGTGATTTTGTGGCCTTTCACAATGTGATGCGTCTCCATTTCCTGCTCAGGGTACTTGCTGGATTCTGAGATGAGCGTGATCTGCACTCCTGATGGGGCTGGTAAGGGAGCTTGGCAGCTGAATTGCTCTACAGGGGACTGGAAAGACAGAGTGGAATTCAGCTGGGACTCCCCCATCTACCGTCCTTCTCATGTCCCTGATGATCCTGTGATCAAGGTCACCTCCCAGGATCTTAATATCAAAGTCACCTGCACAGCAGAAAATCTGATTAGCAAGGCGTCCAGGACAGTCACCTTGAAGGAAGTTTGTTCCGGTAAGTTTTTCTCTCCATGAAAGAAGCCTTGAGACTAAAGATGAAGCTGACATTAAGTTTGGAGAGAAAAGGACAATTAACCAGTGGAACAGCTTGCCTCCAGAAATCGTGGGCGCTCCATCACTGGGGGTTTTTAAGAAGAGACTGGACAGTCACTTGTCTGAAATGAAATAGGGACTCCTGCTTGAGGTCCTTTCCAGCTCTATTTTATTCTCTTCTAGACTCTGCCAGATCTGATGGGGTGGGGAGATGAAGCCAAGGAGAGGCGCACAAACATGAATTCAGCTCACTTGCATTTGCTGAGTCCTGTCATTCATGCCCTTAGTTTAATTAGCAAAGAAACATTCCTGGTTCATTCCACACACACCCCCCAAGAGTATCCTTTACTGAGTACAAAGTAGTTACAGATTACGGCAGGCAGAATCCATTGGCTTGACGTGAAAACAATACAATTAACATTGTCTTTTTCCCTGGCCATCCCCCAGTTAGCAGTCAATGTCCAATTAAAAGGTTCTCAGATTCTTTTGGAAATGGACCCTGCATTTGCACCTTTCCCATCTCTGCATTCCTTATGCTGAGCTTCTGCTTAATTGGTGCTCCTCTCAGTCAGAGCCGGCTCTACTTCCAACCCCCCCCCTTAACCGTTGCTGATGTCAGGCTGGCAACATGCAATGCGAAGCAAGAAGCAGAATAGCAGCTATGACAAGTACATACGCAATTCATTTTACAAACCTTGATTCAGAAATGTGTGGATGGTTGGACTGCAACTATGTTTGATGCTATTTCTCCTGGATTACTTGCAACCGTAACAGAATACTGGAAGGGACTTTGGAGGTTTTCTAGCCCAACCAGGAAGTCCTATACCATTTCAGACAAATGGCTGTCCAATTTTTTAAGAAGCCTCCAGTGATGGAGCACCCACAACTTCTGGAAGGAAGCCATTCCACTGGTTAATTTGGTTAGTTCTCTCCTTGTTGAGTTTCCACCCATTGCTTCTTGTCCTGTCTTCAGGTGATTTGGAGAATAGGTGGACCCTCCCCTCTCCTTTGTGGCAGCCCGTCAAATATTGGAAGAAAGCTATCATGTCACCCCTGGTACTTCTCTTCATTAGACTAGACACCTAGTTCCTGCAACAATTTGTTGAAAGAAAAATCTTTAGCAGGGTCCAGTCCAAGCCGGGAATAAGCAAAACGGAGACTGCTTTGGAAAGAAGGTTGTAGTTTATTGAAGAGCAGAGACAGACAGAAATGTGGCTCTGGGAAAGCTGACCACATGTAGCTGGGAGTGGTGGATTTTTATATCTTCCTGGGCTTTTGTGTTTGAGGTTGTTTCCTGTTCCTGTAGCATGAACTTTGACCTGAGCTTTTCAGCATGTCCTTTTGGCATTCTGATGGTGGCGGGCTAATCCTATTATGTCCTAAAGGTCATGTTTTTAGAGTTTGGGTGGGGGATGTAGATTTTAGGGGTCTTTGTCTTTCTAATCTCATCAGCTCCAAGCTTCCTGGCCCCAACCTTTCTGAATAGGATTATCAAATCTGCATTTCTACAGACCGGGCCTCTGCCTAGTTTCTGCTTGGGGCTATTAAGAAAAACTGGGCCTGCTTTTCTGCCTTTAAGATCCTTTGGGGAATATAATATTCTCTCTTTTAATATTCCCAAAATATTTCTTTCTCGGGGGGAGGGGCTGACTTCCCACACATTCATCATATCTTTTCCTCTTCCAACCCATTCCAGGGGTGGCCCCTTGGACCTCTGTCTTGTGGCACCTTCTCTCTCCTGACGCTCTCTTTGTTTCTCTTCCCAGCAACTGAAGGAGGAGGACCAGTGGCTCGGCTCCACCCCGGACGTGACTGATTTATGCCCGACTGTCTCTGTTCTGAAACCTGAATCAAGACACTTTTGTAATTCAAGCACAGACAGATGACTCGATAAAGATGATTGTAAAACAAACATTTATTCAGGAATACTGGTGAACTCACATTTCTTGGTAGTTTCATCTGAAAGTTCCATATCTGTTCATCTTTATAGATAAAAAATCAATAATTCTTTCACATCAACTTCTAGCATGGAATAAAATTCTGTGTGTCCTCCGGTGATAGCATGCTTATCTCAGACAAAGACATTCTAAATTGCACTTAGCCAGGATATCCTGTGATGAACTTAGTAGCCCCTCCTACTGACCTGTTAATGTGGGATTTACTGAATAGCTAAACTACATTACCCATAAGCCATCTCTTAAGGAGACAGCACTTAACCCTATAAATGCCAAACATTTTAACATACAGACCCATCTAACTGGCTGATCCAGAACAGTCTCCCTCCTGCCTCCCTCACTTCCACACAGGCATGGTCTTCCTCTGCAGCTTTTAAGGTTCTTTGGGTAAAGGGGGCTTCCATGGGCAAACAGTGAGATCTATTAGCAATGGCTGGTCCGTATTGCTTCTCTGTGGCTGCTTTCACTGCTCCTTCTCTGGCCCCTGAAGACCCCCCCAGCAGCACATTTGCTTTTCTATTTAATGTCCAGGAGCTGAAGGGTGAGACCGAGAAGACAAACATGAGAAACAGAGAAGGTTTGGCCACGAAGGAGCGCGGGTGTGATTGAGGCCGTCCTCAATCCATGGAGGATAATTTGCAAAAGTAGGATAGGGTGGGAAGTTCGAAAGAAACCAAAGGGAAAGTTCTTTTGTTGCTTTCTGGAAGTTTTGAAATCTGGATGACTCTTTTCTTTAAATGTGTGTCACTGGCTTTCCAATGGGCTTTACCCAAGTGGAAATGAGGACAAATAGGAAAATTATGCTTTAATGTATAATCATTTTAATGCTTTAATGCTTTGGGATTTTGATGTTTATAAACTTTTGAGTTATCTGAGAACTTGCTTTGCAAAAAACATATCTGTTTTTTCTGTAGCGTGTATTCTTTCAATAAAGGAATGTTCGTTTTTCTTTTAAAAAGACTTTGCATGTTTCCTTTCTGCAAACCCAATAACTGACAATCCCTCCCCTAACACCAGTCAGCTGTTTCTCTGTCTTCTGTGTAATAGGAGCTTCGTTAGCAAGATAGAAACACAGAGGGAATGGGTGCTAATGGGGGCAACTTTGAAGGGCTCAGTTCTCAGTACACTTTCTCAAAACCTCTGTGACAGAGGCCCCCAACCTTTTGGGAATCAGGGACCACTGGTTCCGTGGAGAAAGGTTTTTCCGTGGACCGGAGAGTGTGCGTGGTTTTGTGTGCTGCCTGTATCCCATGGATGGGGCTTTGTTTGTTTGTGCAGCCTAGTTGCTGGCATGCCGCGGCCTGGTACCAGTTCCCGGACTGGGGTTGGGGACCCCTTCTCTACGGCAATGCAACTGTCGTGTTTCTTTTTATTTAGACAACAATTCTCTCATGAAGACAGTGACAGGAGAAGGGCTGGGAAGTAACTTGAGGAAGCCTAAGTAATCCAAAGTTGCATTAACAGAGAGATTCAACCAAGAACATGTGAGGTATTAATACCGCTCTATAAAGGCTTAGAAATACCACATCTAGAATACTGCACCCAGTTTTGGTCTCTACACTATAAAAAAGATGTAGAGACTTTAGAAAGAGAACAGAGAAGAGCAACAAAGATGAATAGGGGACTGGAGGCTAAAACATATATAAAGAACAGTTGCAGGAATTGGGTATGGCTAGGATCATGGGTGACATGATAGCAGTTTTCCAATATCTGAGGGGCTCTAACAGAGAGGAGGGGGTCAACCTATTTTCCAAAGGACCCGAAGGCCAGACAAGGAATAATGGATGGAAACTGATCAAGGAGAGATTCAACCTGGAAATAAGGAGAAATTGAGTGAGAGCAATCAACCAATGGAACAGAAGTTGCCTTCAGATGTTGTGGGAGATTCGTCACGGGAGGCTTTCAAGAAGAGACTGGACGGCCACCTGTCAGAAATGGTGTATGGTCTCCTGCTTGGGCAGGGGGTTGGACTAGATGACCTACAAGGTCCCATCCAACTTGGTTATTCTGATTCGCCGACAACTTCTGAAGGCAAAGCTGTCCCACTGGTTAATTTTTCTCACAGTCAGAAAATTTCTCCTTAGTTCTAGATTGGTTTTCTCTTTTATTAGTGTTCTGGTCCAAACAAGAGATCTGCTTTAATCCTGTTTGTTGCAGACAGATAAACTCCAAAGAAGGATTAATATTCAGATTATTTATTCTTCAGGAATCTCTGAACAATAACTTACAGTCAAGAAGAGTTCTTCTGATGAACGTGTCATAATCTCTCCATTCTTGTGGTGTAAAATATTAAAGGTAGATTCACCCCATATTCGCATGGAGTACAGAAACCCCGTGTCTGTCTTACACAAAGGCTTTTACATACACTGGCACATAGTCCGGACATCCTATGATAAACTTTGAAGCCCCTCCCACTGACTAGATAAGATATAGGACTGACTAACAACTGGACTACATTTCCCAGAGGCCATCTCTTAAGGAGACACCGTTAACCCTTTAAATCAGTGGTTCTCAACCTTTCTAATGCCGCGACCCCATAATACAGTTCTTCATGTTGTGGTGACCCCCAACCACTTATACATCACCGGGTGCCAGGGGCGTGGCCAAAGAAAAGGGGGAAAAATGGCGGACAGCCTTGTTTGGCGACCCTCGTGAAATGGTCGTTCGACCCCAAATGGGGTCCTGACCCACAGGTTGAGAACCACTGCTTTAAATGATCTCCTAGAAAAATAAATGACCACCTCTCTAGGTAAATTTCTCTGCCTCACAATCCATGAATTGACTCTAAATATTCTATCAATCTCTCTAACACAGTTCTTAATTCCTAAGCTGGCTACAATCTGGTCCAGCACAATTACTTTCCACCCATTGCTTGTTGTCCTGCCTTCAGGTGATTTGGAGAACAGGTGGACCCCTCTCTTCTTTGTGGCAGCCCCTCAAATGTTGGAAGATGCTATCATGTCATCCTCCTTTTCTCTACATTGGAGGTTTCAGAGCGGTTCAGTAAGATAACCACGCCCACCAACTATTATCCCTTTCTCCTCTTTCCTGTTGGGGCAAATGATTCAGCAAAGAGCCTGAAACCAAAGTATTATGAATGAGGTGGGAAAGCAAAGGCTCTGGGGGCTCAGATTGTTCTCCCCTCGGTTCTCCTGATGATAGGTTGAGAGCCAATGAGCGATTGGAGGGTTTTAGGAATAAATTGCTGGCTCAAAGGATGGTGTTGTTGTGAGAACTATGACTTTCTAAAGCACAGATTACACCAGGGCTTTTCAACCTTTTCACCCATTATAGCACTTTTAGGAGATAGCAACATCCGAGGACCACCAGTCGCCTAGCAAGGTGTCAAAAACTTGATGACCCCCCCCCCAAAAAACGGAAAAAAGTGATAAAGTACAGGTAGTCCTCGACTTACAACAGTTTGCTTAGTGACTGTTCGAAGTTACAATGGCACTGAAAAAAGTGCCCCCCCCCAAGCCACAGCCAAGCAAGACGCCTGCCTGCCCGCCCGGCGGTGCTCTTCCTCCTGTCCAAGGTTTTCATTGTTGTGAGCATTTCTGTTGAGGATTGGCAGCGGGGGTGGGGTGGGGGGTGTTTGGTTTTTATTTCCCCCCCCTCATCTGCTGGGTGGTTGCAGCAGGTTTTGGTCACTTCACATGACCCTGGGCCACTGTGACCGTCATAAATAGGAATCGGTGCCAAGCATCTGAATGTAAATCACAAGACCCTGAAGATGCTGCAACATTCCAACTGATCGGCAGTTCTTCTGGGCTCAGAAGTGCCAGGATCAGCACCGACCTCCAGCTGGAGCCTGGCGCTGATCCTGGTGCTTCCACTGAGCCCTGACAGCCCTGCAGCTCCAGCCATCTCTAGCTTAGGCTTGTGCGGTGCTGCCACCGGTTCAGCTCATTCCCCTCCCCTGCTACCACTTTTCTAGGATGGTCGCGTACCACCTGCCAGGTGCCAATGTACCACAGGTGGTGCCCGTACCACTGGTTGAAAAGCCCTGGATTACACCACCTACAGGAAGAGCTCCTACCAAGAGGAGGACTGCATCTCACAAAGAGAATGTGTTTGGCCAACGACTGGTTCAGCCCGTCTGAAGGACTTTAAACTAAAACAGGATAGGAAACGAGACCAATTATAAGATTAAAGCCAAAACTTATAGTCCAGTAAAAAAAAAAAAACCCAGATAAGAAGAAAGGCAGTAGTGAAGGAAGAGTACACAAATACAATACAGGAAGCAAAACACAAATACAATATAGGAAGCAAAACCACAAGAACTCAACGCTTGTGTCACAACCCATATCTGTCTGATTTCATACTTCCCTTGCTTCTTCCTCCGATCCAAATCCCATTCTCTTCTCTCCCTGGGTTCTGCCATACTCCTAGAGGGGAGGGGGGAATGATTGTGGGTTTATTGCCTTAGCGTCCTCTAGTCCAGGGGTAGGCAACCTTGGCTCTTTTATGACTCGTGGACTTCAACTCCCAGAATTCCTGAGCCAGCCGTGCTGGTCCAGGAATTCTGGGAGTTGAAGTCCACGAGTCATAAAAGAGCCAAGGTTGCCTATCCCTGCTCTATTCCCATAATGCAGTGGTTCTCAACCTGTGGGTCGGGACCCCATTTGGGGTCGAACGACCATTTCACGGGGGTCACCAAACAAGGCTGTCCACCATTTTTCCCCCTTTTCTTTGGCCACGCCCCTGGCACCTGATGATGAATAAGTGGTTGGGGGTCACCACAACATGGGGAACTGTATTATGGGGTCACGGCATTAGAAAGGTTGAGAACCACTGCCATAATGTAACACTTTGCTCTCCTGCACTATTTCTCTCTGTAAATTCCTCTCCTTAAACTGTCAACTAGAAAAGGGGGAGGTCGAAAAGAATGCAGCATCCGGCAACCGGCTTAACTCTCCGCTCTCAAGAGAAGGTGAGAAGAATCGCCTAACCATCGCAGTTCCAACCAGAACTGGCCTGATGTTATCTTCCGTTTCCCACGATAGGCTTAACACCTGGAAATTGGCCGGTTTGAACTATCCGAATGAACTATGGGGTGGGGTTTGCTTGGGGACACTTTAAATTGTCGATCTGAGCAGGAAAAGCTCAGATCCTGTCTAGTATGCCTGCTATCAGCCTCTCCTAATAAAAGTTCCTTTTGGAAGGATCTGCTTCCATGAGTTCTGCTTTCTTGGGATGAGGTATTGAAGTGGGTCCTGTCAACTGCAAGGAATATAAATCCTTCCATTTCCCCACCATTCAGCCAGAACTTAAGAAGCTTCTTGGATGAAAAGAGAAACGTCTTCAAGGAAAAACAAAGAAAGTCCAGTTGCCTCCTGAAAAAGCACCTTTGGGACAACAGATCCAATCCAAATATTTCATCTGGGAAGCTTTATACCAGTTGAAGAGAGAAATTGCCAGAGGGAAGGCAGTGCCAGTCTTCCCTGAACAAGCAAGGCACGAAGTTGAGCCTTGAAAAGATTTGCCTGCAAAATTCATTCAAACTTTTCAAAGAAGCTGAAACTCCCAGAAGCAAATTTGGGGCTAGGAAACTTAACCTTTTCCCCCTCCAGGTAAGTGATTTGCATATGATGCAGACTGAGTCACCTGATTGTGAGGTCTCAGCGGGGGGGAGGGAGGGCAGTGGGAGCCACCTGTGGCAGGGACCATGTCTTGTCTCGCTGGAAGCCATGCAGGGAAGTTCCTGGCATGCGACACAAGGATGCTTTCTGGGTGACGCTCCTGCTTCTTTACTTCCAAGCCGGTAACCTCTGTGTTGGTTTCGGTTTGACAGGCAGTTGGGGGGGGGGGAGTTTGGCCCTTCTACATTGCCTCCCAGTCAAGGCTGAGAACTAGGTTGATGCTTGTAAGGAGCAAGCAAGATTCCACACTTGGGGACAATGCTGGGGACAATTGTGGAAAATAATTCCTACTAGAATGAAACAAGTCTGAAAAGTTGGATTCCAATGTCAACCTATGATATTCAATTTTACCAAACACCCTCCTCAGAGTGTGCAGAACTATCTATACTGTATATGTGCTAATTATTGGAAGGATACTGTGTGAATTTTATTAGAAACAACACTTAATCCCTTCAGTGGATGAATGGCTAACCAGATTGTTGGAAAATGCTTCTATGCTTCAAAGAACTTCCTGCCTTGAAAGCTAAATCTACCTCAAATTGGACATTTCTTAAGCTATAACATTCTTTTACATAATACCTAATTGGCACCACATCCAAAATTTGGGGTTATACATACAGAGAACCTGCATTTCAATTTTACAAGAGTCGGTTTGGTCTAGTAGCAAACGTGCCAGACTAGGAACCAAAAGGCAGCCAGTTCTGGTCCCACCTTCCACATGGAAGTGGCTGGCTGACTTTGGGCCAGTCACTCTCTCTCAACCCAACCCACCTCGCAGGGTTGTTGTGGGGAAAATAGGAAGAGTATTAAGTATGTTTGCCATCTTGAGCTATTTGTAAAAATAATAAAGTTGGGATATAAATTAAATAACCCCAACTGCTCTTTAGAAGGCCAGATCCTGAAGTTGAAACTCAAATACTTTGGCCACCTAATGAGAAGGAAGGACTCATTGGAGAAGGGCCTAATGCTGGGAAAGATGGAGGGCAAGAGAAGAAGGGGATGACAGAGAATGAGGTGGCTGGATGGAGTCACTGAAGCAGTAGGTGTGAGCTTAAATGGACTCCAGAAGATGGTAGAGGACAGGAAGACCTGGAGGAACATTGTCCATGGGGTCGCGATGGGTCGGACACGACTTCGCAGTTAACAACAACAAATAAATTAAATATCCAAAATCAGCATAGATTCTTGCTACTATTGGCTGAACATCATTCAGTGGTTTATATTTTGTTGACCGTGTTCTTGATATCCATTCTTAGTTTAAGAGCGGTCCTTAATTTTCTAATGTGAGATACAATATATTTAACTATTTACAACTAATTGATGACATGTTAAAAAGCCATCACAACATTTAAAATCCCTGGTTTATCATCTGTCTTGTGTTCTTTTATTCTTTTTTTCATATTGTCCTTTGTATTGGTGTATCATTTTCTTTGAAGTGTCCACTGAAAAAACTATAAACCAAGTTGGCTTGGATAGCGTGTTGCCTTTTGCTTCTAAAGCTTCTTGTCTTCCCTCTGATCTCACAGAATCCTCTGCCCTGCAACTGAATGGTGTTCTGGGTGAATCCGTCACTTTCCAGATCAACGAATCAAAACCATTTGCAACCATTTCCTGGAGGACGGAGAAAAATGGCAGATTCAGGACCCTCGCTGTGGTGGCCCCAGGGAAGCCCTGCAAGCTTTTCATACCCCTCGCAGCACTTAAGGACCGCCTGAACTCCACCAGGGACTGCCGGAACCTGCAGCTCAGCCGTCTAGGCCGAGAGGACATTAACAGATATACGGCGAACATCATTTTAACAACAACTTCGGAGTCAGTGGAGGAGCACTTTGACCTGAAAGTTTATAGTAAGTGTTGCAGACACACAGGTGCAGAGAAGAGCAACAAAGAGGATCCGGGGTCTGGAGATGAAGATATACAAAGAATGGTTGCAGGAATTGGGCATGGCTAGTCTAGTGAAAAGAAGGACTAGGGGTGACGTAACAGTCTTCCAACCTAAGGGGATGCCACAAAAAAGAGGGGGTCCACCTATTCTCCAAAGCACCAGAGGGTAGGACAAGAAATAATGGATGGAAACTAATCAAGGAGAGCAGCAGCCTGGAACGAAGGAGAAAATTCCTAACAATTAATTAGTGGAACGGCTTGCCTTCAAAAGTTGTAGGTGCTCCATCTCTGGAGGCTTTTAAGAAAAGATTGGACAGCCACTTGTCTGAAGTGATACAGGGTTTCCTTCTTGAGTCAAGGGTTGGACTAGACACTTCCAAGGTCCCTTCCAGCTTTGTTATTCTGTTATTCTGATTAGGTTTAACCAGGTTATCTTGCACACAGTCTTCAGAAAGCACAGTGGGGTCAGGGCAGAAGAAGAAGCTGCTATGGCTTCCTTCTTCTGGGTTGAGAGGCCTCAAGGCCCGAAGACTATCCTCCCGTAAGCCACTCTTGGTGGGAGGATTTTGCTTCATTTTAAATCCTTTCTATCTCCTGCTCAGAACGCTTAAAGCGCAAGGACCTGTCCATCAAGTGCACAATCGATAGAGGTCGGAGAAAATTGTTGCAGTTGAACTGCTCGGTGAAGCGATGGAAGGACCAGCTGGACCTGCAATGGTTTGTGGCAGACGAGATCGTCTCTCAGGTCACCCGTGAAAATGTGCTTACCATCAATTACACCAACCGAGAGATCTTTGACCAGGAGGTCAGCTGCAAGGCAAAAAACCCCGTTAGCCAGGTATCCAAAACTATGACACTCAGAGAAGCGTGTCCAAGTAAGTGCATCTTCTTAAGGTGTTTTTATGGGGGCTGGCTGGGGCGAAAGCTGAAAAGGGTTAACCTTGGATGAGGTTTGAGGAAGGAGTAGCTCTCCACAATGACTGTGGAATACAATGGTTGTGGTTGGCCAATGAACCACATCCCCATAGCAATGCAGCATTTCCTTCTGCTCAAGTCATAAGTTGTGGAGGAGGCAGTCCCAAAGGTGCTTTTTCAAAAGGCAGTTGGACTTTCTTGGTTTTTCTCCTTGAAAATGTTCCACTTCTCATCCAAGAAGCTTCTTCGGGGACAACCTGTATGAACATCTTTGGGACACCCCTGATCGGAATGACGGAGACTCTCCACAGACACAGAGAGGAGGCAGTTTCTGGAAGGGGAGGTGGCACTGGGGACTCAATGCGTTTCATTCTCTGATTTCCAAAAGCTCTGCCATCTTGGTCTGGGTAGAGGTGAATTTAAGAAAAATTGCCACATTTTTCATCAGATTTACACTGGTTTGGTTCACTTTAGCAAATGTTTTATTTATTATTAAGAACAGTTAATAAATAATAATACATTGTTAGTAACAATTTGTTATTAAGAAACTTTATATGGCTGCTCAACTCACTTGTGGTGATTGGCTTGCATAGGTAAGACCTCCCTAAAGCTGAACCCAATTTGAATATAGAAATGAAAGGTTTCACACAATTTTCCTGCTTGTGCAAGAGTGATTAATACACCTTCTGCTTTTTTCCCAGGACACCAGAGATACGTGAAAGTAACGGAGATGATGTCTGGATTCATCTCTGCTGGTCTTTCTATGCTTACTGGCATCGTTATTGCGTTCATCATATTGCTGGGCAAATGCCTGGCCAGGCCTCAGCGGATTCCAGGCCCCCCTTTGCCCATCACTTCCCAAGCAGCCTGGCCGAACGCACAAAACCCTCCTGCTCCACTGCAGCGGCCACCTGGATGGGAGAGATGAGCCCAAAGAGCTGCGAGGAGGGGGCTTCCCATATGAACAAAGTAATAAACATTCACATAGCTTCTTCCAAGGATGCCACATCCCCTGGTGTCCTAACTCTGGTTTTTCTTTTCTGAAACAGAGCTTGTTCTTTCTATAAGCTAGATACTCAATCATCATCATCATCATTTGCACAGTCATCCAGATGTTCAGACTGGATCTGGCATTTTTGTCCACCTGTGGAGTCCTTCCCAAGGACTTGGGATAGGCAGATGAAGATGTTAGATGGTGTTAGAAGTCTTGTCGCAGGATGGAAGCTGTTTCCAGTAAAGCCGCCTTTTGCAATTGACCGATGGTGAATTTGTCAATTCTGATGGTGTTCAAGTGGTGCTCCAGTTGTTTTTGAATTGCACCCAAGGCACCTAGGACTATTGGGACTATCTTTGCTTTCTTTCCCCACAATAGTTCTATTTCTGTTCGTAGGTCTTTGTATTTTGTTATCTTCTCTGGTTCTTTCTCTTCTATGCTGCTGTCTCCAGGTACCACCCCATCCACTATCCAAATGTTTTTCTTCTCTTTTCTCCTTCTCCTCCTCCTTCCTCTCCTCTGTTTTAGAAAAGCAGCAAATCTCAGTTCTAGAACTTGGTATACAAGGCAAAATCTGTAGTCAGCATCGGATAGGGGTTGCCACAAAGAAGAGGGGGTCAACCTACTTTCCAAAGCACCAATAGGCAAGTCAAGAAACAATGGTTGGAAACTGACCAAAGAGAGAAGCAACTTGGAATTAAGGAGAAACTTCCTGACAGTGAGGACAATTAACCAGTGGAACAACTTGCAACCAGAAATCGTGGGCGCTCCGTCACTGGAGGATTTTAAGAAGAGGCTGGACAGCCATTTGTCTGAAATGTTACGAGGGTCTCCTCCCTGAGCAGGGGGCTGGGCTAGGTTTCTTCCAACTCTGTTATTCTGTTCTGTTATCTTGGATTTCCAAGTTCTTCCTGTTTAGAAATGTTAGCGGTCTAATAAAGGGTCTTCCCTGTCCAATTTCCTGCTGGAGCAGAAGAACAGCAAGTCTTGTGTCCAACTCTTTTGGAAGTCACGATAGGTCAGTTGCCGAATCTCAGTTAAAGCTGACGCAGCATTTGCAGTCAATAGAAAGGACCAGCCTCTGAAGCGTTCAGAAGTTCCCTTTACCCTATTTGTGGAAAAGTTCAAAGCAGTCAGTGAAAGATGCTTTTTGTCTTACAGTCTGCACAATGACAGGTGGGATTATTTTATGTTTAGAGGGCTTTGCAAGTGGATTCTTCCTCCCTTCAGCTAGCAGGTAATCTCAGCCATCAGAATCCCTGTTTTTGCACAATACTTTGCCTAATTGACTTTTGTGTGTTGGTTTTAGTGCATTACAAATAGTCCTTGATTTATAGCTATAATTCAGTCTGGAACTTGTTGTAAGTCATGCTGGTCATTAAGCAAGTCATCACCTGACTGCACCTAATTTTATGATTTTTTTGCAGCAGTTATTAAATAAATCACCATGGTCATTAAGTGAATGCGGCAGTCATTAAGCGAATCCATTGTCTGTTGTGGGCATTTTTTTGCCAGAAATCAGAAGTAATGCCAGTTTCCGGGAACAAATGTCATAAATTGCCATCAGATGACCAGGGGACACTGTAAATAGCCATAAATGGGCACCTTTTGCCAGTGCCCAAAATGTGATCACATGACCGTGGGGGAGGGGCATTGGAATTTGAAATCCAGGTCCTAAGTAGCCCAGGAGGGGTCCGTCGTAACTTTGAACAGTTGCTTCCACAAGTGGCTGTAAGTCGAGGACTACCTGTATTAGCATTTGAGCAAGCGGCCCGGGGCTCCATGGGTTCCTTAGCTCTGTGCCTGCCTGATGCCCCCAGCGACCCCCTTGCGTGGTAGGGAAGTCCCCCCGATGCCCAGCTTTCTTTGCGGGAAGAGGGGACGGAACGTGATGACCCCCAATGCCCACTGCTGCCTACATGGTGACTGCAGCCCTAAGATCGGAAGACGTGTAGCCATCAGAGAGAGAAAAGCAACCTGGAACTAAGGAGCCGAGGTGGCAGCGGTTCAAATCTCACCGGCTCAAGGTTGACTCAGCCTTCCATCCTTCCGGGGTAGGTCAAATGAGGACCCAGATTGCTGGGGGCAATGTAAATATATATATATATATATATATATATATACATACACATTGCTTACTGGTGTACACCACTTAGAAAGTGCTTGCACTTAAAGCGGTATATAAGTCTCATAAATAAATAAACTGGACTTCCTTATTTTTTTTTTTCCTTGAACTGAAAAAGCTTCTTGGATGAGAAGCGAAACATTTCCAAGCAAAAGAGAGAGAGAAAAAAAAAGGAAGTCCAGTTGCTCTTTGAGAAGCAACTTTGAGCCATCCGGAGTAGAAGAATCCTTAGCTCCCAAGGGAACCACCGTCCCACGGCAGAGGGAGCAGTCCTAACGAGGTGGCGCAGCAGTTAGAGTGCAGTACTGCAGGCCACTTTAGCTGACTGTGTTCAGCAAGTCAGCGGTTCAAATCTCACCAGCTCAAGGTTGACTCCGCCTGCCATCCTTCCGGGGTAGGTAAAATGAGGACCCAGATTGTTGGGGGCAATGTAAATATATATATATACATTGCTTACTGGTGTACACCGCTTAGAGAGTGCTTGCACTTAAAGCGGTATATAAGTCTCATAAATAAATAAATAAATAAATAAATAAATAGAATAATGGAATGAAGAATAGAATAGAATAGAATAGAACCGAGGTGGCACAGCAGTTAGAGTGCAGTACTGCAGGCCACTTTAGCTGACTGTGTTCAGCAGGTCAGCGGTTCAAATCTCACCGGCTCAAGGTTGACTCAGCCTTCCATCCTTCCGGGGTAGGTCAAATGAGGACCCAGATTGTTGGGGGCAATGTAAATATATATATATATATATACATTGCTTACTGGTGTACACCGCTTAGAGAGTGCTTGCACTTAAAGCGGTATATAAGTCTCATAAATAAATAAATAAATAAAGGAGGAATTTCCTGGCAGTGAGAACAATTAATCAGCAAAACAACTTCCCTCCAGAGGTTGTGGGTGCGCCATCCCTGGAGGCTTTTAAGAAGAGATTTGCCCGGAAGGGTCTAGGGCCGACATGTTAAACTCGTGACGTCACGTGATGTCACGCAAGGTATCGGAGCTTTTTCCCCATTGCCGGCAATGGGGTGGGCGCGGTTTCCTGGTGATGCGTCCAGCCCGCGGGCCGGCAGTTTTACACCCGTCTAGGTTCTCCTGTTTGAGCAGGGGGATGGACTAGAAGACCTCCAAGGTCCCTTCCATCTCTGTTATTCCATTAAGAACGGCAGTGTCTGGAAGCCAAGATCGCTCTACTTTGGCCATGTCATGAGAGTTGACTCACTCGAAAAGTCCATCATGATGGGAGGAGAAGAGCCCCCCCAATACCCGCTGGCTGGACACTATAAAGGACGGCCCCGTGATGACCAGGGTGGATCTGGAGGAGGCGATGTGAGGCAGAGGGGCATGGAGAGGGCTGATCCACAGAGTGGCCACAGGCCGGACACAACCAAATGGCTGACAATGAACAACAGAAAGAAGGCATTTGAGATTTCTCTGGGGAGGTGGGCTTTTAGGCTTGTGGGTCTCGGAGGTCTTCACGCTTTCCTCATTTGGGGTGGCTGTAAAGGGCGGAAAGGCAGAGGAACCCCCCTCGTGGGGAGCCATTGGGTGACACCCCCTCTGCCACAGAAAAGTCCGTCTGCTCTGTCCAGTGAAATAACTTGCAGCAATTCCTGGTTTTTTTCCCTTTATTTTTTTCTAGAACATAAAGTACAAATTTCCCCAAGGCTCTTACAGAGAGAGCAAAATTAGAAGCCGCTTCAACTGGGGGGGGGGGGAAGGGAGGGGTCACCTGCCCCAGTCCTCCAGGGGCTGCAGAACGGCCAGCAGGCTAGATGGGCCCGTACAACTGCCGATAAGCTTCCTGGAAGCCGATCTGGTCGGCCAACTCGTCACAGTCGGGGCTGAGTTCGCAGACCTCCCGCTGGGCCTCGAAGGGGTTCACAGCCACTTGGGGGGCAGCCCCGGCAGCATCGTAGCCACTGCGGAGGAAGCAACAGGGGAGGACGATTAGGGGAGGCCTGGGGGGGCTTCGCTGGGACAGGGCTTGGTCACCCTGTAGTGGAAGGTGGGGAGGTGAGCAACCGAGTGGGGGTCCCCCGGGGGACGGAGGTGAGGGGCCTATTGAGAGCCCCTTGGTGTCCCCCCCCAGCTGCTTCCCCTGCTTAGGGGGTCTGTGATCTGGCTCCTAACAGCAGAGTTCCTCAAGCGTGGCAGCTTTAAGAAGTGTGGACTCCAATTCCCAGAATTCAAGTTGCCAAGTTTGAGGAAGACCGCCCACGAGCCTTCCTCAGGGCCAGCCCGGCCATCTGCCCCACTGCCTTCCCTCTCTTCTCCAGCTCATCTCTGGCTCCAGTTCTCCATCTTTCTCCCCTAATAGCTTCATCGCTGGAGGTTTTTAAGAAGAGACTAGACCAGGGGTGGGCAACCTCGGCTCTTTTATGACTTATGGACTTCAACTCCCAGAATTCCTAAGTCAGCTATGCTGGCTCAGGAATTCTGGGAGTTGAAGTCCATGAGTCATAAAAGAGCCGAGGTTGCCTACCCCTGGACTAAACAGTCACCTGTCTGAAGTGGCATGGGGTCTCCTGCTTGAACAGGGGGTTGGACTAGAAGATCTCCAAGGTCCCTTCCAAGTTTTATGAGATGGATAGTATATATACATAGATAAGACAGATAATAATTAGATGATAGATGATAGCAAGTAGGAGATATAGAGATGGGGGGGGGGAGGAGAAGAAATAGAGCAGCCTTCCTCCCAGAGTTGTGGGTGCTCCATCACGGGAGGTTTTTAAGACGAGATTGGGCCACCATTTGTCCAAAGTGCCATAGGGTCTCCTGCTTGAGCAGGGGGGTGGACTAGAAGATCTCCAAAGCCCCTTGCAACTGTGGTGTTCTGTCCTGTTCTCTTTCTCTCTCTCTCTCTCTCCCTTCCAAAAGCAGCCTCTGCATCACCTGGATTTCCTCAAGGACCTTCCACGGTCTCTCCTGCTTTCTTGAGACCAGAATCCCCGGGGGGGGGGGGGCACAGCCTCCTTCCCCAGGGAAAGGACGAAGGACGGGGACTTGGTGGGGGTGCAAACGGCGCTTGGCGGCCAGCGCAATCCCCGTGGCCCTTGTGAATGAGGGACCAGGCCTTCACTCGTAAGCCCTCTTCAGGAGTGCAATGAAGGGGCCCTGATTCCCACCCTGGGTAAGAGGGGGGCAATTTCCCCCCATTTTGCCACCCCCTCCCATATTTCTTGAACTCAGCTACTTCTAGAATCTCAGCCAAAGCTTCTTGCAAATCAGAGTCCGGCTTTTAATCAGGATTCCTCTCTGGGCGGCAGGCGAGACTAGATGGCCTCAAGAGTCCTTTCAACTCCAGGTTTCTGATGCCCCCCCCCCCCCAAGTTGGGGCGTCTCGCAGTAATCTGGAAATGTTCATGGAGTCCAACTGCAGGGGGGGGGACTGGGAATTTAGGGAGCTGCAGACCGAGTACCCCAGGGAAATTCAGGGACGGGATGGATCGGCTGCTAGCCCATGGTGAGCTTTCTCTGTACCTGTTGTAGTTCCTCTTCTGTCGCTTCACGACTTCAGCCCCCACACGCTTGGAGACGAAAGCTGCAGGGAAGGAGGGGATGTTTAGAACAGGGGCCTCGCCCCCACCTGCTGAGGAAGGGCAGTTGGGAAACTCCGTTTCCAATTTGGAAGTACGCTGCATGATTCTAGTCCTCATGGTCTGAACAGAAAGAAGAGGTTACCAGTCCTCTAAATCAGGGGTTCTCAACCTTGGCAACTTTAAGACTTGTGGACTTCAACTCCCAGAATTCCTCAGCCAGCTGGCTGAGGAATTCTGGGAGTTGGAAGTCCACAAGTCTTAAAGTTGCCAAGGTTGAGAACCCCTGCTCTAAATCCTTCCTGCAAAGCAGCAGCAGGCCATTCCCCACGCCTGGGCTGAGCCTCGGCGGAAGAGAGGAGCTCTCCCGCCGGTCTCTGATTCCACGCAAGGGGGAACTTGCTCAGGGCAGCCACTGGGCTCCCGGCCGCCTCTGCAGCCCCCTTTGGCCGGGCTCCAGCCGAGAGGGCAGCCTCAAACGGGCGGCGCCGGCAAAGGGGCTCTGGGCGCGGAGGGACCCAGACGCTCAGAGGCGCCTCCTGGGGAAGGGGCGCGGCGAGGGCCCGGGGGGGGGGAACCTTGAGGGGCGGTGGGCATACCCGGAGGCGCCCCACTCACCTTCCGACCTGGGCGACCCGTCGGCGCTGCGGGCGTCCCCTGCAAAGGAAGAGGGGCGGGAGGGCGCATCAGCGGGGGGCTTCCCTCTGCCCGCCGCAGCCCCGCCAGGCTGGTCCGGGGAGGGAGGGCGGGGGAAAGGAGGCGGCAGCCCCCCCCCCCCGCAGCCCCCTGCCCTCCCGGGGGAGAAGCCCCTTTCTTGGGCCGAGCGGCTCCCCCTCCCAGGGCCGGGGCACCGGGAGAGCCTCGGCGGGGACGGGCGGCCGAAGGAGCGGCGCGGCGGAGCTCCCTTACCTGGGCGGACGAGGCAGAGCCCGGCCAGGGCGCAGAGGGCGGCCAGCAGAAGGGCGTTCATGGCGAGGCGAGGCTGCTCCGGGCGCTTCTCTCGCCCCGGCCTGCCCGGCGCCCCCTTTATACTCCCCCGAGCCGGTCTCGGCAGCAGAAGGGGGCGCGTCGCCGCCGCCTCCTCCTCCTCCTGCTCCGTCGGCTCCCGGGGGCGTTGCGGGAAGCCTGCCAGGCTCCGGGCCAGGGGAGGCTGGAAAAGAGGGCGGGGGCGCCGCCAAGCTCGTTTGGGCAGACTCTTGGGGGGGGGGGGTTGGCAGGGCTCCGAGCAGTTTGTTGGGGGGAGAGGGGAGCCGTGAGTGGAGGCCTCCTTCAAGGTGGGGCGCAAGAGGCTATGTAAAGTTAAGGTGGTTTTCATTGCAGCATTTTTGGAGGGGCTTCAGAGGTCATCTAGTCCAGCCCCCTGCTCCGTGCAGGAGTGCTTTGCAACTTTTCAGCTTTTCAGTTGTCAGAACTTCGACTCCCAGAAGTTCACCCAGCTTAAAGTTGCCAAAGTCGAGAAACGCTGTCTAGAACAGGACTCTCGGCAACTTTTAAGACTTGGGAACTTCAACTCCATGCTGGCTGGGGAATCCTGGGAGTTGAAGTCCCCAAGTCTTAAAAGTTGCCAAGGTTGGAGAGCCCTGGACTGGAGGGTCCCCCGAGAGATGCCAGGGAGCAACTGACACCTGCACAAAATGTGGGCCACGATGGAGCTTCAATTCAACCATCAGAGCCGCTCTCTTGACTGTCTCCCATGGGTATCCTGGCTCAGAGGCTAGCAGATCCGCATTTCCTTGCCTTCCCTACTGCCTTCCCAAGTTCAGAGGCAGCCCGGATTGCCCTGCGCTCCACCTCTCCAGGGACTGGCCCTCTCCCGCCACCCGGCCTTGCCAGGGGCCGAGTCGGGACTTCTTTCAAGCAGGGATTTCCACAGAAACCCAAGAAAGTGGAAGAGTTCAAACTCGCCCTAGGCTGGATCTGCTGGCTTCCTTTTAGGGGACTAAGCTGGGAATTTTCCAATGTCAGTTTTGACCTTATTGACCAACATTTTAATATTTTACTGTGTGGATTTGGGCATTGCTGTAATTTCATTTTGTGCCCTTTTAATGGATTTTAGTTATTTGGTATCATCTTTCTTTTTTAAAGAATTGGTCTCAGGGAAACAAACCAAATTTCCTTTTACATTGCTGCTTTTGTTTTATCAGGCATCCCTGTTGATTGATTGATTGATTGATTATGTGCTGTGAAAAAGATTTTGCCCATCCTGGTCCTTCAGGCACCCATCGCTCCTGTGGTGGCATCTCTGCTGGCATCCAAACTTACTTAATTACTCATTTATTTACTTATACTTATGTTATGAAACAAAACAATTAAAACATTAAAACCACACAGGTTAAATTATTAAAAACTGTACTAGAGCCAAAACTAAAGAGACAGACAGAGGTTCTCGCCTCTGATGGTGGAATGTGGAACATGTTAGCAAGACAGAAAACCTCGAAGGGAGGGGCAACCACTGAGGCAATCTTCAAGTACAGCTAGTCCTTGACTTAAAACAGTTCATTTAGTGACTGCTCAAAGTTACAATGGCACTGAAAAAGACTTATGACCATTGCAGCATCCCCGTGGTCGCATGATCAAAATTCGGCCCTTTGGCAGCTGACTCATATTTATGACGGTCGCAGTCACGTGATCCCCTTTTGCGACCTTCTGAAAAGCAAAGTCAGTGAACCATTTTACTAACTTATCTGCAGTGATTCACTTAACAGCGATGGCAAGAAAGATTGTAAAATGGGGCAAACTCACTTAAGAAATGTCTCGCTGAGCAACAGAAATTTGGGGCTCAATTTTGGTCATATGTTGAGGACTACTGGTGCTCAGTTCTGAGCACCCTTTATCCAGACTGTTACGGCAACCTAACTGACATGTTGCCATCTTTCTAGCGTGCTCCCACTCCTCTAAACCCCCTTTCCCTCTCCTTCGGAAGTCTCTGCAGGAGCCAGCCCCCCCTGCTCTTAGTTTGTTTCCCTGTGGCACATGTTTTTATGGGAAGTGGTCCCCAGAGAATGGGGGGGGCTGGTTTTTGGCCAAAGACACTGGACGGGACTGAGGCCAGGAGGCGCAAGGCCCCAGGGCTGTGATTACCAGCAAATGGCATGGTTTGTCCTGCCTGTGCGGATAAGCCGGGCCAAAGCGAGGAAAGCCTGTGATTTAAATCCCCACTTCCTCCGTCCTTTCCCCACCAGGCGTCCTGCCTGGGGCAGCCGCACGGCTGAACTCAAGCCCTGGGAGCCCTTCCAGATCCGGGGAGAGGAAACTCCGTGGGGCGTGGACCTTTTTGCACCGGCCGATGCCCGGGACGCTTTGCTGCCCTGAATGCCACGTGTGCCTCTTTTCCTCCGCTTCGAGTCTGGACACTGCCAAGATACAAAGAATAATGAGAGGGTGGCCTTTGACAGCTGGAAGTTACTCGTTCCAGACAGGGCTTCTTTGGAGGGCCTCCCGTTCACCCCGCAGCTCTGGCTGAGTTACAAGACACCAAACACAAACCGAGATGTAAAACTATGAATTTCCTGGCCCCACTTTATCCTGGCCTAGCAAGCGGGGCCAAGCCAGCCTAATACAATGCCCGGGCTGCAAACCAACATGTGGCTTGAGACAGACGTGGCACCGAGACCAGTCACTGTTCCCCTCCCAGCCTGAAGAAGGATTCTCAAAACTCAAAAACAACAATTTGGTTCAACTTCAGCTGTCCTAATGAAGGTGCCGCCTTTGCAGCCTGGGAACTGAAATGTAAACCGTTCTGAATTATTGAAGCAAAAGGTAGCGATTTAAACAAAGTGTAATCAAACAGTCAAGCTAAGGTAGGAGAGGCTTTTAACATGCAATTGAAGGAGCCTGAAAGAGCCCTTGTCTGCTCTTGAACATAACTGGCCTGGCTTGACCCCAAGGGGCCTTGGGTCCAGAATGCAGAACAACAGTTGGAAGGGACCTTGGTGGTCATCTAGTCCAAGCCCCTAGTCAAAGCAGGAGACCCTATGCCCGTGGTGGCGAACCTATGGCACACGAGCCACAGGTGGCATGCAGAGCCCTCTCTGTGGGCACGTGTGCCGTCGCCCCAGTCCTAGGCCTTCAGCTGGGTTCTAGAAAACCTTTTCGCTTTAGGCTTCCGCCGCTGTGTGCAAAAAAAAACAAAAAAAGGTTTAATCAGTCAATTTCAACTTCTTGCAGAAAAAAAAAAGATCTTGCAAAGTTGGAATTGATTGAACTTTTTAGTCCCACCCAGTCTGCCATTACCACTGCAGCCATGCCCACCCAATGGGCCACGCCCACCCGGCACCCGACGATGCATAAGTGGGTTTTGGGTTGCAGTTTGGGCATTCGGTCTCTCAAAGGTTCGCCATCACTGCCCTAGACCATTTCAGACAAATGGCTGTCCAATCTCTTCTTAAAAGCCTCCAGTGATGGAGCAGCCACAACTTCTAGAGGCCAGCTGTTCCACTGATTGTTCTGTCAGGAAATTCCTTAGTTCTAGGTTGCTTCTCTCCTTGATGGGTTTCTATCCATTGCTTCCTCTTCTGCCTTCAGGACAAGAGCAGACTCTTCCCCTCTTGAACAGGTTTACCATCAGGAGGTTGTTTATTATATTTAAACAAAAGATAGGTGGCTGCAATTCATAGCCACGAAGATGATTTCCCAAGGAAGCAGACAATTTTTTGCACATTTTATAGAGCTGTGGCTGCTGGAGTCTTGGGTTCAACAAGTTTATTCAATACTTAGCAGCCACACGCAGATGTGTTGATTTGCATTAACTGCAGTTAATATTTTTAGGGCTTAGCAGACGTGTGAATCCAGCCTATTCTAAGATTAATTCAGTGGTTCTCAAATGTGGGGATCCAACACCAAAATATAGATTTGTGAGGAAACTGGAGGAAAGGGAGATGCAAAATTCGAATTAGGAAAGCTTCAAAACAGAGAAATCTCTATGCAATATAACACATTGCAAAGTTTGGGGTCTCAAGCTAAACCGGAGGAGGTGAGCAGTATGCAATGTGTTTGCGTTAGTGAGGAACTTCAATCCACTGTAGGTCTTCCTGGAGGAGAAGCAGCACCAACTCACTTTTTCAGCAAGACCCCAACAGCTCCCCGACTTGTAGAACCCCAGCCAGAAAGACGGAGGGAGCGCAGCCTTCTTTGGCGTCTCACCAGCCCCAGGAAACCCGATGTGGGCTGGCCAGCAATTCTGCCTTGGCATCTCACGGTACATTCGTCGTGTTTACAGAGTCCTGTGCTGGGCCAGCCTTGCTCCCAAACCGGTTTCTTATCAAAAGCAGATGTTTGGGAGACAGTGGAGCGCCCATCTTGGGGGAGCCTCGCTTCCCCTGTTCTTTCTGTGAGGAGCCTTGCTGAGTCCCTTCCTGGCTCCAAGAGGTCTCCGCATCAGAGCAAAATGGGGGACGCATCTAGGACCCAGATCCAGAAGCTCTTGGGAGCTTTGTCCGGGTCTAGTGGGTGTTTCTCTCCCATTATTCTAACAAGCCGCTCAGAGTCTCCTAAACTGAGACGGACAGCAAATAAATTTGATAAATAAAATAAATAACCCTGAAGAGCTGCATGAAGAATTCTGCAGAAGAGACAGGTAGGTCTTCTTCTACCAAAATCTCTTCCACGCTTCCCAGACCAAAAAAGTGTCAGTGAAAGTGAGGCCTCCTTTTTCGGAAGAATTTGGATAAGGGTGAGAAAGATGACCAGGAATCTAAAAACAAAAGCTCCTCAAGGTGCTGAAAAAGCTGGTTGAACTTTGAGAGCGAGACGGCTGAGGGCGAGAGGCAAATCTTCAGATGTCAGAAAGGATGATGAAGAATGGAAGGGAGCTTGGAGACCAACTATTCCAGTATTTTTTCAACAACTGGCAACTTTTAAGAGGTCCAGACTTCAATTCCCACAATTCCCCAGCTGGCATAAATCTAGATGCAATCTCCAAATTTCAAGAAGGTATTCTATAGTATACCCAAAACAAACACTCATTATCTGATTGTATTATTTGGCTGTCCCACAGCTGTATTTGTACAAGTTCACAGCTGTCAAACAAGAGAGCTTGCAGAATTAACATTCTGAGTGAAATAAATACAAAGCAGGAGCTGTAATATTTCGATAAGGACACAATCACATGCACCCCATCCCCAGCTTCCCACCCCAGTCAAGCTGAGAGGGAGTGGCCCTCTTCCACAAACTGGCTGCTTTGGAAATCTGGCAGAAAATCCACACGATCCCTGTGTGGCTCTCCGAAGTCTCCCTCGCATCCTCGTCCACAAAAAGCAGCCAGGCCGGGCCTTCTCAGGAGAGATCCTCAACGGTTCCCATCATCGTCCGGCCCTCGATAGCAATTCCCTGAAGGGAGGGTAGAAGAAGTAAGTCCACTGCCAGAACAGCCTTTGAGTATGAGGAAACAGCCTCCCTCACTCTACAGCGGTGTTGCTTAACCTCTGCGACTTTGAGGGGTGGACTTCAACTCCCAGAATCCCACAGCCACCATGGGGACTTCTGGGAGACACGTCCACTCTTCTTAAAGTCACTGAGGTTCAGAAATATGGTTCAAGAGGATCTGCAGAGAACAGATGGGCTACTACAATGTGGGATTCTTTTCAGAGTAACAGAGTTGGACGGGAACTCGGAGGTCCTCTAGTCCAGGGCTTTTCAGCCAGTGGTACGGGTACCACCTGTGGTACATTGGCATCTGGTAGGTGGTACATGACCATCCTAGAAAAGTGGTAGTGGGGGAGGGAAATGAGCTGAACCGGTGGCAGCACCGCACAAGCCTGAGCGAGAGACGGCTGGAGCTGCAGGGCTGTCAGGGCTCAGCAGAAGCGCCAGGATCAGTGCCAGGCTCCAGCTGGAGCTCGGCGCTGATCCTGGTGCTTCTGCTGAGCCCTGAAGAAGCACCAATCAGCTGGAAAGCAACGCTGATCCTGGCGCTTCTGCTGAGCCCTGAAGAAGCGCCGATCAGCTGGAATGTTGCAGCATCTCCAGGGTCTTGTGATTTACATTCAGATGCTTGGCAACTGATTCATATTTATGACACTCACAGTGTTCCAGGATCATGTGAAGTGACCAAAACCTGCTGCAACCACAGGGGGGGGGGATAAAAACCAAACACCCCCCCACCTCACCCCCGCTGCCAATCCTCAACAGAAATGCTCACAACAGTGAAAACCTCGGACAGGAGGAAGAGCACCACAGGGTGGGCAGGCAGGTGTCTTGCTCAGCTGTGGCAAACTGTTGTAAGTCGAGGACTACCTGTACTTTATCACTTTTTTCCTTTTTTTGGGGGGGGTCATCAGGTTTTGGACACCTTGCTAGACGACTGGTGGTCCTTGGATGTTGCCATATCTTAAAAGTGGTACAATGAGTGAAAAAGTTGAAAAGCCCTGTTCTAGTCCAGCACCGTGACCAGGCAGGAGATCCTATACCAGGCATGTCAAACTTGCGACGTACTGGGACTTTTTCCCCATTGCCGGCAATGGGGTGGGTTCAGTTTTGGTGTGACGCATCTGGCCTGCCGGCCAGCAGTTTGACATGCCTTCCGTATACTATTCCAGACAAGTGGCTGTCCTGTCCCTTCTTAAAAACTTCCACTGACGGAGCACCCACAACTTCTGGGGGGAAGCTGTTCCACGGATTAACTGTTCTCACTGTCAGGAAACTTCTCTCAGTTCTAAATTGCTTCTTCTCTCCTTGATTAGTTCCCCTCTGTTGCTTCTCGTCCTGCCTTCAGGCGAGGTCTTGAAGGGCCTTCCCAGGTTCAATCAGAGGTCCTTCCCTATGAAATCCTGCTGGAAGAACTGCCATTTTCAGTAATAAAGTGCCCCAATGCCTTAATCGAGTGTCCTTGATTTATGACCATTCATTTAGTAACCTTTCAAAGTCACAACAGTGCTGAAAAAAAGTGACTTAAGACAAGTCCTTGTCCTTTTGACCGTCGCAGCATCCCTGCGATCACCTGATCACAACTGGTGCACATGGCAACCAGTAGGCATCTATGATGGCTGCCATGTCCCAGGGCCGCATGATCCCCATCTGCAACCTTTCCAACTGGCTTCCAACAAAGTCAGTGGAGATGCCAGCAGGAGTTCGGAAGTCATGGTCACGTGAGGTCTCACTTAATGACTGTGGCAAAAAGGTTATAAAATTGGATGTGGTCGTGTAATGCCTCATTTAATGATCACACCACTCAACAACATGTTTCCCAGGCCCAACTGTGGTCATAAGTCAAAGACTACCTGCACTGAGATGTGTTTGCGTCCTGCTGCCCTTGCTGGAGGACACCAGAGCAGGTCTGAGGGAGATCAGCATCCTGTAAGGCAGGGGTCTCCAACCGGAGCAATTTTAAGACCTTTCAAGACTTCTGGTTTTGTGTCTTAGCGACACGGCCAAGGGATTGCGGAGCTCCGGACCTCACGGCTGATTTTGTCCTGCCAGGGGACCCTAAATGGGTCTAAGGTCACCCCAAAGAGACGACAAAGAAGGAGCCCTCCCCCTCCTGTTGATCACAGAAAGATGATCGATCCGCTTGATCCAGGGAAGCCATCCAAACCAACAAGAGAAAAACTAGCTGCATTTGGTGACTAGCCCAAGCTACCGACAGCTGAAGTCCAAAAGCACTAACTAGAACAGACTGAACAGCGTGTTTGGAACTGGGTGAGAATATTGATCTTCTCTTTTCTATCTTGCAACTGATTTTCTGGAAAAGATCCCCAAGAAGCAAAAAATCCTCCGAAAGCGAGAAGGATACCAGCCCCACCCTTCCATAGAAGGCGTCTAATTTTTATGGGGGACATAAATACATTGAAATGGAATTAATATAAAACTAGAGTCTGGATAAACCTGGAAATTATGAAAACTGTTAAGATTTTCCATTTGAAAGAGTACTGATGAAATTATAATTTTCTGTTATAAAAGTTGGAAAATGAATAGTTACTGACATCTAGTGATGGAATCCAGTATAAAACTATAGCTGCCTTGGCTCAGAAACTGGTAAGATGCCCAGAAATAGAGAACAACTTGTCCCTTTGATCCTCAATGACTCTTAGCTAAATAGAGAACAGCTGGGAACAGAGGAAAGAAAATACAATGACTATCTACTATAGACGGAGAACTACAATTGCTATAAAAACTGCTGACCTTCTTGGTTTATAAACACTAAGCTGTGATTTTTAAGCTCAAGAATTCTTTGCAGAGAAAGAAACACCTTGACTTTAGCTACTCTTCTGGGGGGGGAGCTACTGGATTACTCATAGGTGAACATTTTGGACTGCAATTTTGGCTGCTTGATAATTGTAGGACCCTGAACAGAAGAACTGTTATAAAATATTGCTTTCAGTGGTGGACTGATAATTGGAAACACGTTGGACTATAAAGGCCATACATAAAGATAAGAACTATACAAGACTTTGTTTGGACCTTAAGATTGGTTGGTTTGATAAAGCTAATATACGGGTATTATGCTACCAGTGAAAGATTATTTGGGGGGGGGAGGGAGATAAAATGGATGTTGCATACCTAACTAAAACTGGTAGGAAACCACACCCAATATATTCTTCCAAAGTGCCCAGCCTGGAACATCAGAGACCTGCAGGAGTAATACTTCAAGACAAGGCAAATATCTTCTAGGAGGAAATGCATGCTATGTTGCAACTAATTCAAATGACAAGCTCACAATTAAAAAAACTCTCAGAAAATGATAAAGAATGAACAAACAAATCAAGACAATAGAACACAAATCAGAGGAAAGTGACCCAAAGGAAGAGAATCACAGGCAAAGAAAAATCAGCAAGAATCTGTTATAATATTGGAAACAGAAAAGGCATTTTATTTTTCAGGACTTCAAAACAAACCTGAGTATAAGAAAGAAGATCTGATAAAATGGAATATATAGGTGCCAGGAAAACCAGAAAAGTCTGGGAGACAAAAAATGAAGAGAGAAATTGAGGGAGAAGTGGAAGCTCCCTAACAAATATAAATGGGCGAAAATCCCACTCAAAAGCACCCCACCAAATTTGTCCTTCCCATTCCTAACAACATTCATCAAAACACAGGAAGAATCCCCTGGCAAGCTGAATACACTGATAGGAAAGCTGTCTGGCAAAAAAAGATGGCTAGAGTTAGATTTAAGAAATCAGATGATTTGACTTACCAGATGGAGTACTATATGACTAAACATTTGTTTGAATATGGTTAAAAGAATAGATAAATTTTGGATATAAATGGGTCCTACAGTAAGAGGGATGTGATTTATAAGTAGTATAGTACTTGTTTATGATAGGGGAAATGTAAAAATACTGGGATGGCTTATGTAAGCGAAATGTTTGGATATTTAAAAGTAATTAATCTTGAGAAAATCATAACTGACAAGAATGTTTTGAATACTGAGGGGAAATTAAGCTTAAATAAGAACTCTGAAAACAGAACCTATAGTGATTTAATAAGATGACCCTTTGCAAATACAATTGAAACATAAGCTGATTAGAAAAAAATGTTACACACTGATGTTACTGTTATTTCTATAAATACTAGAAAAATGTTTATATTCAACTTTGTACGTATCGAAAATACTAAGTACTGTATTTGCTCAATGTTGGTAAAAGGAAAATACTATTGGAAGAAGAGAAGATCAAGGAAATGTATCACTAGCTAGTATGTTGATTATGGAATCATAGAAATTATTATTGTTGATAAATATATGAACCCAGACAACATGTTGTTTACCAAGCACTAAAGATTATCTTTAAAAAATCAATAAAATATATTTTTTTAAAAAGACTTGTGGACGAACTCCCAGTTGGCTGGGGAATCCTGGGAGTTGAAGTTCACAAGTCTTAAAGTTGCCAAGGTTGGACATCCCTGCTCTATGGGCAGGCTGGTCTCTTCTTGTGCTAGTCACAAATGTTAAAAAAATCATTTCTAATTAATAAACTGTTTTAATTTTTGTTCTTCCTCAGTTTGGGATCTGAATTTAGATCTCTCTTTTTGATTCATCTGGCTGTACAGGTAGTCCTTGACTTATGACCACAATGGAGCCCAAAATTTCCATTGCTAAGTAAGGCAGTTGTTCAGTGAGTTTTGCAGCATTTTTAGAATCTTTTTGCCACAATAAGCAAATCACTGCAAATGTTAAGTGAATCATGTGGTCGTTAAGCGAATCCGGCTTCCCCCATTGACTTTGCTTGTCCAAAGACAGCTGGGAAGGATACAAATGCTGATCATGTGACCCCAGGACTCTGCAATAAGTGCATGCCAGTTGCCAAGTGTCCGACGTCACTGCGGGGATGCTGTGACGGTCCTAAGTGTGAAAAACGGTCACAAGTCCCTTTTTTCAGTGTTGTTATATTTCAAAAGGTCACTAAGCAAATGGACATGTCAAGGACTACCTGTATTTCAAAGGTCCCTCTTTTAATCCGATCCTCGATCTCCAAGCATGACCCCCGTGATTTGCCTGGCCCCGATTTCCAGTCACAGCGGCACCCACCTGCCACTCCTCCCTCTGCTGGTGGACCTGCGCCTGCAGCGCTGCAATCCTCTGCCGACCGGCCACCACAGCGGCTGCCAGCCGCGAGTTGCTTTCCTGCTTTTCCTTCAGGGATTTTTGGAGGCGTCTGCGCTGCTTGAGAAGGTAGGGCACGACCACCCTGCGAGCATCTTCCTCGGGGAGGCCACTCGGGCGCCTGGATGCAAAGACAAGGGGTGGGTCAGGAACGGCCCGGAGGCGGGCCAGCCTGCACCATCCACTCTCCCAGGAGGAGAAGCCCCCAGAAAAGCTCCCACCCAGCATTTTGCAGCGGGGCCACACCTCTGCAGTTAACGCACAACGTTGCTGGCCTCAGAGGCACAGCGCCCGCTGCTCCAAAGCTCAGAAATAGAGTTTCCTTGGCACTGTAAGGAGAGACCGCAGGCCCCACAGTTGCTGGGCTGCTGATTCGCTGAATCCCGAGGATGCCTCACCATGCAGGGCCTTCCTTGCCCTCCGCTGCTCTCTCAAGCTTATCCAGGGAGTCGAGCAGCACCGGCAGGTTCCCTTCCTCCTTGAGGGCCTGAACCTCTTCCTGCGGAAACAGAGGCAATCGAGTGGCGCGAGGCAGAACGCCTGCTTGGGTCGGCTTGCAGAACATCAATAGCCAGAGAACGGGCTCGGGAGCCAATCTGGCACCAGGGTAGAAAGCGGGAGACCGCGAGTTCTAGTTCCGCCTTAGGCATGAAAGCCGGCTGGCTGACTCAGGGCCTGTCTGGGCCTGTCCCTCTCCTTCAGCCCAATTCATCTCATAGGGTTGCCGTTGCGTGGAAAAACAGGAGGAAGGAGCTATTTTTTAAAATAATAAAAATGCAGAATATAGTTACATAATGCAGCCAACGGGAGTGGTGTAAACACTTTGTGAGGCAAGGATCAAATGAGTGAAATGGGCCCCGCGACGGAAGCCACACTGGGCAGGAATTGCAAGCGCACAGACCGTCTTCCCAGGGGAAACGCCCTGCTTCAAATGAGAGCATTTATTGGGTTTGTTACCCACTGCAATCAAACGACTCCTGGGGCTCCTAAGGCCATCCAGAACACAAAAATGCACACAGGGAAATATTAGTAACTAGAAACAAAACATCGATAGAACAAAATATAAAAACACCACAATAAAACCCATAAATACATGAAGAAAAGGGATCAAAACCTCAAATGCTTTTTGAGTAACTCAGTTCTGAGCCATTTAGGAAATGCCACTAAAGGGAGGGCTTGCCATTTCTCAAGGAGAAGAGCAGGCACAGCAAAGCAGGAAAAGCTGAGGGCTTCCAGCTCAGAAAAATAAGCTTTCAATATTCCCCAAACTGTCCAATAATTTTTTTTCCAAAGGGAGAGATAATGTGCATTTTCCGATTGACAGAATATTCAATTTTCTCAAATAATTTGTGGTATTGCTAGACAACATTGCTCCAAAAGGAACATCAAGAAGAACTTGACCATAAAATATGAGTTGAAGTTCCCTCAATTTTTTTGCAATGGCAACACAAATAGTTATCAATCCATCCTTTGCAAAAAATTCTCTAGATGGTGTCCTATAAATATGAAAAACTATCTTTTGGAAGATTAATTTCAACTTTAAATCACAGGATCTAAGCTTAATAATCTTCAAGACTTGAGTCTATTGGTTTGGAAGGACTGGAATTTCCAGTTCTTGATTCCAAAATTATTGTATATTTCTTTTTGATGTTTTGAAATTTCTTTAACTTTTCACAAAATGTGCAAGTAGATATAGATTCTAAAATCGAAATCTTGTGCATTAATAATCAGTTACTTTAGAAGGTGCTGGGTTGGACTTGACTTCGCAACTAACAACAACAACAACAAAGCGCTAGCTCCATATTAAATTGTCATTTAACTGAATTGATGGTTTAAAGAAGGCTGTATTTGCTGAGAGGTTTTAAAGTTATAATTAAGCAACAATGGAGCTAGTATAATTACATCCTTTTGCACCCATTCTTTCCAGAAAAAAGTTTTACCATCAATTTTAAGAGTAGAGTTATTCTAGATTTAAGTATTCATCAAATTAAACCTCTCACATAATACATCTTGGTGCTGTTGGAAACCCTAAATTAGTCCTGGTAAACTCTATAGGTAAGAATGCCAGGATTTAAATGGGTAATTAAAAGAGCTTTCCAAACTAGGCCATTTGTAAAAAAAACCCCAAACATTTTAATAAAACATTTTCTAAAATACAGTATAAGCCCAATGATATTTCTGAAAGAGCAGAAGATTAAAACCAGGGTCGACTCTAGACTATAGATTATGAAGGGGGTGGAGCAGTGGTTAAGATGCTGGGCTTGACTGGAAAGCCGGCAGCCCAGGTTTGAGACATAAGCGCCACCCAATTGGGTGAGCACCCATCCTCCCCCCAGTTCCTGCCAACCTAGCAGTTTGAATGCATGCAAATGCAAGTAGGTAAACAGGTAGATGAGTGCTGCTCCCTAGAGTCGGCAATGATTAGCGGAGTAAAATCTGCAGGGACTCCTTTACCTTACCTGCTTGATTATCATAATAGCAGTTCACAGAGGGCTTTGGAATTTCAATCCTGTTTTTCATCATTATTAATAATTGTATTAGTTTTATCCTTTTATATAATGCTTATTATTACTGTTTTTCCTGTTAACTCTTTTGTTACTCACATAGCATATAGACAATAGGCTAACAATCTGTAAACAGATCTAGAATAGTTTAAAATTCTTTGGGCCTGTTTAGTAAGGGGTAGGAAATTAATTATTGTATTATATTAATCAGCATTCAGCTAGGGAGGATGTTATGTGTATATGTGTTAGTTTTTTTTTCCCGAGACACTTTTTCTTTTTAATGTTTGCTGTGTTTTTTCTTTTTTTCTGGTGTTCTGTATTTTAACTTTCCTTAAATAAACTAAATATTATCAGGTGGGGAAAAACACAGTCTGGTAAAGAACCCAGAATCTCCCTTTCTAAAATACATTTGCCTGTAACAGAGGAAGGAATGGACCTCCCCTTGGTTGTCCTGGAGGGCAACGGGATTGATGGATTGAAATTGTTGGCAAAGATTCAGGTTAGATATTAAGAGGAACATCTGGATAGGAACAGCTGTCAACCAGCGGAGCAGGTTGCCTCATGAAGGGACATGTTCCTCTTCACTGGAGGTCTGAAATGTTTTAGAGAAATCTCTTTATTTTGCAGAGGTTCAATTAGATTACTTCCTCCCCTTCTTATGATGCTGTTATTATTGCCAATTGCTTTGGGAACAGAGAGTATAATCACCAAAATAACAGTAGTTTTTAACAAAATAACAGAACACCAGAGTTGGAAGGAACCTTGGAGGTCTTCTACTCCAACCCCCTGCTCAGGCAGAAAACCCTATTCCAGTGATGGCGAACCTTTTAGAGACCGAGTGCCCAAACTGCAACCCAAAACCCACTTATGTATCGCCGGGTGCCGGGTGGGCGTGGCCCATTGGGTGGGCATAGCTGTGGTGGTAGTGGCAGACTAGGTGGGACTAAAAAGTTCAATCAATCAGTTCCAACTTTGCGAGATTTTTTTTCCCGTTAAGTTGAAATTGATTGAACCTTTTTTTTTTTTTTTTGCACATGGCGGCGGAGGCCTAAAGTGAAAAGGTTTTATAAAACCCAGTTGAAGGCCTAGGACTGGGGCAACGGCACACGTGCCCACAGAGAGGGTTCTGTGTGCCACCTATGGCACGCCTGCCATAGGTTCGTCATCACGGCCCTATTCCATTTCAAACAAGTAGCTGTCCAATTTCTTCTTAGAGACCTCCAATATTACAGCACCGACAACTTCTGGATGCAAGTCGTTCCATTGGTTAATTGTTCTCACTGTCAAGAAATTTCTCCTGAGTTCCGGGTTGTTTCTCTCTTTGATAAGCTTTCACTCATTGCTTCTTGCCTTACCTTCAAGTGCTTTGGAAAATAGGTTGACCCTCTCTTCTTTGTAGAAGCCCCTTAAATATGGGAAGACTGCTATCATGTCACCCTGGTCCTTCTTTTCATTAAACTAGACATACCCAATTTCTGCAACTGTTCTTCGTATATTTTAGTCTCCAATCCCCAAATCATTTTTTGCAAATTGAGAATCTTTGCTTCTAACTAACTGCCAGCTGCCCTGAAAAAAAGGAAAAAAGGAAATTGTCCATGTTCTGGGACTTACCTGTACAGAATTTTGCAGATGGGATATGAACTGATTATAAACACATTTTGTGAATTCAGGATGGGCTTTGTAGAGGTGGTTGTAGCACTTGGTGAAAAGGTGACATCTAGGGACAAAAAAGGGAAACTGCCAATCAGGTTATAAAACACAAAATACTCCTTTTCAGAAGGATTCCTATGATGCTAAACCTTATTTGTTGGATGAAGACTACTTGGCGGCCAACATCCCCTCTACCTTTCTCATATGCAGAAAACCTCCTGAAGAACAAAACTTGTTTGGGGCTCATCAATATTTACTCTGGTTGCACCTTTTCCAAATGACACACTTGAGTCAAAGGCGTAGGTTTTCTGTGAGCTGCAGATAACCATCTGATGCACGGAGCGGCTGAACCAAAGATCTCCAAATTCTTCAATTCACTGGCCCTTTCATGAAGTTCCGGATTGTTCATCAAGCCCCAAACATTTATTACATGAAAATAATTTAATAAACACTACTTTAACTAATAGTACTGCAAACAAGGATAATAGGACAAAATAAAGAAAGTAATAGAAAATGAAGAAGCTAAAATGCTCTGGGACTTTAGAATTCAAATAGACAGGCATCTGCTGCATATCAGCCCAGACTTAAGAACTGTTGATAAGAAGGGCAAAACAGTCTGGATACAGGACGGGGCAGTGCTTGGAGACAGTGGAAGGAAAAAGAAAAGAACGAGAGAAGATAACATAATACAAAAAATAGAACAACTGTGGCAAAAGAAAGCAAAGGTAGGAGTAATCGTGAAAGGCGCCTTGGGTGCAATCCAACACATTTGTAGCATCAGCAGTGACAAAAATCCCCATCTGTCAATTGCAAAAGGCAGCTTTATTTGAAACAGCTTGTATCCTGCAACAATGCCTTTAACATCATCAAAGGAGATCTATTCAACTGTACATATTTTAATCTTGTATTTTAAATTTTATGTCGTGCACTATGCTTTATTTTAATTGTGAAGCTTCTGACACGAATAAACAAACAAACCATCAAAGAACAACATCTGCCTATCCTAGGTCCTTGGAAAGGATTCAATAGGTGGACAAAAATGCAAAACTGGTATAAATATCTGGCTGACTATGCAATCAACAACAACAACAGCAATAATCTTATATCCTGCAACAAGACTTTCAACACCATCAGTCACATCTGCCTCTCCCAGGTCTATGCAATCAATCATCATCATCTATCCTGCAACAAGAATTTCAACACCATCAAGCAACATCTGCCTATCCCAGGTCCTTGGAAAGGATTCAAGAGATGCCCAAACCAGTCTAAAACATCTGGCTGAGTGTGCGACCAACCATAAGAATAATAATCTTATATCCTGCACAAGGCTTTTAACGCCATCAAACATCCACACCTAGCAGAATATTAACAGAATAACAGAGTTGGAAGGCACCTTGGAGGTCTTCTAGTCCAGGGCTTTTCAGCCAGTGGTACGGGTACCACCTGTGGTACATTGGCACCTGGCAGGTGGTACGCGACCATCCTAGAAAAGTGGTAGCGAGGGAGGGGAATGAGCTGAACCAGTCGCAGCACTGCACAAGCCTGAGCAAGAGACGGCTGGAGCTGCAGGGCTATCAGGGCTCAGCGGAAGCACCAGGCTCCAGCTGGAGCTCGGCGCTGATCCTGGTGCTTCTGCTGAGCCCTGAAGAAGCACCAATCAGCTGGAGCTCAGCACTGCTCCTGGCACTTCTGCTGAGCCCAGAAGAAGCGCCGATCAGCTGGAATGTTGCAGCATCTCCAGGGTCTTGTGATTTACATTCAGATGCTTGGCAACTGATTCATATTTATGACGGTCACAGTGTCCCGGGGTCATGTGAAGTGACCCAAAACTGCTGCAACCACCCAGCAGAGAGGGGGGAATAAAAACCAAACACCCCCCCACCCCTGCTGCCAATTCTCAACAGAAATGCTCACAACAATGAAAACCTCGGACAGGAGGAAGAGCGCAGCCGGGTGGGCAGGCAGGTGTCTTGCTTGGCTGTGGCTTGGGGGGCACTTTTTTCAGTGCCATTGTAACTTCAAACAGTCACTAAGCGAACTGTTGTAAGTCGAGGACTACCTGTACTTTATCACTTTTTTTCCTTTTGGGGGGGGTCATCAAGTTTTTGACACCTTGCTAGGCGACTGGTGGTCCTAGGATGTTGCCATATCCTAAAAGTGGTACAATGGGTGAAAAGGTTGAAAAGCCCTGTTCTAGTCCAGCCCCCTGCTCAAGCAGGAAGCCCTATTAATACCATATGCTCACTTCCTGAATAGAGTCTGAAATATTGAAGGGGGAAAAAATCTTAGAGAGGAATCTTGAATTTTAACTGGACTGTCTTTCATTTTCTAATCCTTTCACCCCAGCAATGCAGCCTTCACTAAAGAATGCAGAAAATCCCTTTTTTGGAGTTTCTGACTAGTTTCCGAGCAACATCTCTGAGTTATAGCTAAATGAAGATGTTGGGGATCTCAAAATAGGGTTAAAATACCCCTTTGATTGCAATCACTGTGTGGCCAAACCTGCCATGATACAAGGCTGGGTTACTTGGGACGAAAATCCTGGCAAAGTCAATTAAGCAGAAAGTAGCAATGGGTCAGTTGGTCCCCCACTGTCCTCCACTGCCAGGATCTCCGGATGGCTTAAACTTAAGGATTTGGGGTCCTGCCTCTCTCAGGTGGTCCTTGGGAGGAAATCAGCAGGGCAAAAATTCAGCCAAATTCGCTCTAAACATCCGGCTGGCTGTGCAATCAACCCTAAGAATACCACAACTCAGACGCTAATAATAATCCCCCAATGAGCTCAAACTCCAGTAACACCAGCTCAGCTCCACCCTCTCCGGGCGGCTCTTGCAGCCGGGCTGACCGCCCGGCCCTGCCCCGTCTGGCCACCTCTCTCAGGACCGGGAACAGCCCCCCAAAGATTCTCCGCCATTTATTGACACCCCCCCTCCAAAGGCTGGCTGACCCCTTGGATCCCCCCACTGGCGCTTGGGGGTTGATAGGGGCCCCTTTGGGGAGCCCCGGCTGAGGAATTCTGGGAGCTGAAGTCCACACGGCTCCAAGCTGGAAGGGGGGGGAAACTAATCCCAAATTCATAGTGACGTCATTCCTTTACAGCGCGGGTGGGTAACTATGGCAACTTGACGACCTGTGGACTGCAGCTTTGCTACCTCGGGAATTCTGGGAGTTGCAGTCCACAGGTCAAATTGCCCACAGCCGGTCCAAGCCCTTCATCCCCGCCCGGCTCGCCCCTTACCCGTCGGCGTCCAGCGCCTGCAGGAACTGCCTGACCACAAGGTCCAGGGTCTGCTCGCGGCCGACTTTACCCTGAGGGGCCACGGCCGGAGCGCGGCTTTCTTTCGCCTTCTCCTCCTCCTCCTTCGGCGCCACCGCCGCCATCTTCTTCCCGCCAAAGGCAGTTGATCCAAACCAGGCGAGGCCCCGCCTAGTCGCGGCCCCGAGGCCCTGATTGGTGTCGGCCGCCCGGCTCGCCCGCGTGCAGCAATCACGTGGCTTGGGAAGCCCCGTGCCGCACGAAAAGCAGGAAGCGCGCCGCACTTGGCCGCTGAGGAATTGTGGGGGTTGAAGTTCACCCTTCTTCAAGGGTCCAAGATTGGAAAACACTAATGCAAACCAGGATGCCTTGCAAGGCAATATGCCATATATTCACCAGCTGGTAGTTAACGTAGTGCCCTGCTGAACGCAGGATCTCTCATTTCCTTTATTAACAAGAGGGTTGCATAAACGAGGGGCTGTATTATTATTGTTTATCATAGTATTGTCTTCTTTACTTTCCCCTTTTATAGGTATTATTATTCTTGCTTTGCACGTATATCGAGTGGTTCTGTACCAGAGGCAAATTCTTTGTGTGTCTAATTCTACTTGGCCAAAGAAAGTATTCAATTCAAATTGTATTGAGGGTCCTGGTACTATTTGGAGAACTTCTGATCTGGAATGGAGATTACCCTAAAACAGGGGTGTCACACTCAATTTCACTAAGGGCCGCATCAGCATTGCGGTTGCCCTGGGGGGGGGCAGGGTGGGTGCAGCCTACTGGGTGGGCGTGGATGGAGTGGGTGTGGCCTACTGGGGGGGGCATGACCAGCTCTATATCATTCGTGTCAAGGGTGCCTGTGGGGGCCTGGGCAGGAGTGGGACAAATCTGAGGGTCTCTGCAGAAGGGGGAGGGACCAGGGCAAGTGCCAAGACATGGAGGAGCCTCACTGTTCCTCTCAGCCCATGCGGGGGGGGGGGCTGGATGGTGGTACGGGCTGCCGGGAGCCCTGGACAGCAGAGGTCAAACACCCAGCCTGGCCCTTGAGCACCTGTGGCACCAAGCCCAGCCCCACTTCCCCAAGGGGTCACCCAGCTGCACTTGCCTCCTCCTCAAGGCTGCTGCTGCTGTGCTTGCTCTCCTTAGCCAGGTTGCTCATGATGGGTACGAGGGCAAAGTCAGAGGGAGGCCCATTCCCTCTCCATGGGAGGAGACCCGGCTTTGGATCCAAAGCTTCCTTAGCAATAGGATGGGAGGCCCCCAGGATAGGCCAGGAGGAGGGGGCAAGGGGATGGTGAAAGGGCAGCAGGGCAGGACTAAGGCAGGACTTCCCTCAGACCCTCCCTCTCCTTTCCTTCTTTCTTTCCTAAGTACAGTGGTGGGAAAATATTTGAGATGAGGGAGGGAGAAAAACAGGCAAGAAATGCAGCTGGGGAGGTATCACCCTTTGTGAGGAATGAAGAAATGCACCATCGCCTGGAAGTGGCCAGCGATGGCCCTCACCTACTTCACATATCTGGCTTGGTGGGCTCTGGGGGAGAGGATGCCATGAACAGCATGAGAGTCAACGTTACCTGCGCAATGCCACCCACCCCCAGCCTGCCCGGTTTCGGTACGCAGCAGGGCGCTCTCCTCACAGTGCGAGAGGTTGAGCCAGGCAGTGCAAAGCTCGCCAGCTTTGCACCTTACTACCTGCTGAAACTGGGCAGGCTGGGGGCGAGCCAGCGTTGCACTTCTCATCAGTTTCATGCCACCCAGCTCAGCTCTTGGCACTATAAGGAGAGCGCCCGCTACCTGCCAAAACAGGGCAGGCTGGCGGCTGGGCGTCGTTATGCTTCCTTTTGGATTTGCACCGCCCGGCTCAGCCTCTCGGTACTATGAGAGCGCTCCATTGCCTGCCGAAACCCCTCCCTGGAGCCCATCAAGCCAGACAGGTGAAGTAGGTGAGGACCATTTGCTGGCCAGTTCCAGGCGATGGTGCATTTCTTCATTCCTCAAAAAGGGTGACACCTCCCCAGCAGGCACCCAGGGGGAAAAGCCAACGCAGCAGGGGCTGGTTCCTTGCTGTTTCCAGATAGTCTTGTGGAGCTAAGACTGAAGTATTTCAGCATAGATGGCCACCGCAAAATTGTACATTGGCTCCTGGCCAGCCTGGGCCAGGGCCAAGGCAGAGGGGGCCGTTCCCTCACTGTTTCCAGGATGGCTTCAGGGGCCACAAGAAACCACTTCGCGAGCCGCATCCGGCCCCCGGGTCTTGTGCTTGACATATCTGCCCTAAATCATGCTTTGCAAAATCAAGATTTCCTTACCAGCTGTAACAACATGCTCAGAACTGCTAAATGTGTGGAAGTGGTTGTTGTGCTGGTGCTGGTTCTCCAGATGTTCTGGATAACTCAACAGTGAGACCCTGGTGAAGCGGGCACAGCAGCACCTGCATTTTCTGCATCATACTGCATCACAGTCTGGTTTGGAAGCATCCCTGCTTCACAGGAAGGTGGTGCAGAGTGGTGAGGATGGCAGCAAAGATTATTGGCAGTTCATTCCCTTCTATCCAGGACGTGGCATGTAAGCGTTGCTTGAGCAGGGTCCATAAGATAGTCCGGGACACTACACATCCTCTCCATGACCGGTTCTCCTTGTTACCTTCTGGGAGGAGATGCAGAAGATCCGTAGGCATATATTTGTATGTGTATAGGTAGATATATACTTTCTTTTGAGAGCAGGCAACAGAATTTCACGTTTAATGTGTGCCAGTGTGCTCACAAAAAAAGGTAACAATAATAACTCTCAGCAGCACAGCCACCATTTATGTTTGGGGATGATGGATACGGTAATGCAAGACATGGAGGCAGCTGGGGTGGGTCTGGGCTGGCTGCCAAGGGTTTATCAGTCATTTCAAAGGGGCTTCTCCTTCTACACTATCAGGTCCAAAACAACAGTTGCAAGAAAATAGCTTAAAACGAATGGATTTAAAGGCCAATAATTTGAACTAGTGCATCTGTATTGCTTAGGATTAAAACACTGGAATCAACGTGAATTCCGTCAACGGGAGGGGAAATTGTCAAAATAATGGAAGTCTATGGCCACTACAGAATGTACAAGATGGATCATTGCGTCTTGTAAACAGTGATTGTGAGCGAGAAGCAGGGTGTGCATCACAAAATGTGTTGAACTGTAAATTCTCTTCAGGAATTCTCTTCACGCATACGAGGGCCAAGACTCATCCTTGTGTCACGCCTGAGCATTTTATTTATTAAACAAATTTATATAGCTGCCCAACTCACACATAGGTGACTTCAGGCAGTTTACAGAATATTAAAAATCCACCAGATAATAAAATAATAAATTAAAAAACCCTACACATTTCCCTTTTTGATCACCAAAAGGATTTCCTCCATTAGACAAAAGGATGAAGGCTGTATGTGCAACAAAATCTACTTTTAAATGACTTGTGTCTGTAGTTTTGGAATCACCTGCTCTGGATTCTTTTCCAGGTATGTCACAAATAGTAAAATAATGCCTTTTCTTTTCTTAAAATCCATGTTCACTCATTCTCCTGAATGCTGGTTCCCCTCATAGTGCTTTGTGAATGGTGTCTTTGAATCTCACCTTCTCGGGTGGTCCCTGGGGGACTCCTGGGAACATCTTAGGACAATACCTGCCAGTTCTCTTCACCTTAACTGCACAAACGAAAGCCCTCCACAAAAAAAGATCAAATAAATAATAAAAACTTTAATTACACTTTTAAAGACTTCTCACAGTGCAAAACTGAAACCAGCTTTAATGTACTGTACACAAATACATTCAAACTCCATACTGAAAAGGCAGGCACCATATTAGGGACCTCGGAATTAACTCTCAGCTGGACAATAAAAGAATCCTTATTTTAGGTTGCTCTGGTTGATTTCCTCTCAGCCTTATTCCCCCCACCTGCCCCCCCCCATTCCCATAAAAAGTCTATGTGGCGTGGTTTAGCTCAGGGATTCTCCAGACTTGGCAACTTTTAAGACTTGTGGACTTCAACTCCCAGAATTCCCCAGCCGGGGAGTTGAAGTCTTCAAAGTTGCCAAGTTGGGAGAATCCTTTAGCTAATAGCTACAGCTTCCTGAGAATACTTCAGCAGTGCTCCCTACAGATTCTCGATAATTTGAATGAGAAACCTATTAAATCAGCGTACCATTACATCAAAGGAAGATGTCCAAAATGGAGTTTCTCAGGCAAAGTTTCGGCTCCCACAGTTCCCCAGCCAGCTACACTCTCTCTTTGGAGGTTGAAGTCAAGCTAGGTCAGTGTTTCCCAAACTTGACAATTTTAAGGCATGTGGACTTCAACTCCCAGAATTCCACAGCCAGTAAATTGTCAAGTTTGGGAAACACTGACCTAGCTGAAAGTTGCCCCGCCTGAGAATTAACTGGTCTGGCGAAAGAATGGAATGAAATCTCAGTTCAGTAGTGATTAAAAGTGGTGCTTGGAATCGTGCTAATAGGAAAAGCTCCTCCGTCACAGGTGAGTTCGGCAGGGGGTGGCACCGAGGGGGTTCTGCCCTTCCTCTTGCTGAAGTGCCAAGCATTTTGATCACCGTTCGGCTGCAGGGGGGCAGCTAACCCTAACCCCTCCAGGCCCTGCTCCGGTTCTCACACCAGCCATCTCATTTTGCAGAGAGCCTTGTCCGTCAACACCAGGAGCAGCCCCTCCTTCTTAAGCTTACTATCTTGGTATTTTAGCAAGTCGGGGGGGGGGGGAAACAACCCAGCTCATAACAGATTTACAGATTCTTTTTCAGCAGCTCAAAGGAATTTTTTTTTGGGGGGGGGGGGAGGATTCACTTTACATTCAACCAAATTTACCTTATTTTTCTTGGCTATGCCACAACTGCATTGTGGTAGAGTTGTGAAGTCTTCTGTGGAGAGGGAGGAAGTCTCCTTTGGCCATCCCGGACCCCGTCAACCACCCCCTCCAAAGGCCACCAGCAACCCCAAAGGCTGAGCTTGAAGCGTGCATTCAAGCCCAGATGTGGCACATCTGGAGAAATGCTCTCCTATTGAAAATAAACTAACGTTGAGAAATCTTAGGACATCCAAAAGAAATTAAGCTGGGCAAAGCCAGTAAGGGCTAAAAATTGCACAGGTCCAGCTTTGCTTCCACGGAGGGCTGATTTGGGGCCCGTGAGATGTGTACTTTGGGGAACGTTTTCCCCACCCATCCCAAATTCCTAGTCCTACTGAAATTGCCAACCACCTCTCTCTCCAGGACTCACCTCCCATCATCCTTTTCCAGTGTCTCTCAACCTCAGCAACTTTGAAATGGGTGGACCTTGACTCCCAGAATCCTTCAGCCGGCTGGGGGTTGGAAGCCCACCCCTCTTAAAGTTTCTGAGGTTGAGAAACACTGCTTTAAATGAAAGAAAGCCCAAGAGACTTGCTTGAATTTGGGGAGGAGGTCGTTTTCATAAGAGAGTCTGGTGGAGTGGCCAGCAGGTAGCTTTGGTGTGCTGACCGTGTGCTCCACAACATACACTGTCGAGGACGGCTGGCTGAGGAATTCCAGGAGCTGAAGCCCACAAGTCTTAAATTGCCGAGTTTGCAGACCCCTGACCCAGAAGGATCTTTCAACCTGGGCAACTTTAAAATATGCAGACTTCAACTCCCAGCCTTCCCCAGGCAGCTGAAACTTACCCATGTTTAAGGGTTTAAGGTCCTTTGCAGCCCATGATTAGGGCAGACACAAACCGTTAGACATTAAACGCTGCTTGCAAGAAAAGCCTCTCCAAAGTGGAGAGAATAACACCTCACTGGTACTGCTTCTAATCCCGCCACCACCAAATACTTAATTTTAAAGCAAGTGGGTTTCCTTACAGCCCCTGCAGCCCCTCCCTGCCTTCTAAGGCTTTTGTACCTGCATTCGGGGCGAAGAGGAGCTTGGGGAGAGGCAGCACCAGAGTCGCAGCATACAAATGGTGGCAAGAGGGCAGGACGGAGTCCACCGATGCTGCTGGGCCTTGGAAAAGGCTGCACGGTGGAGCCCAGCTGGCCCAGCCCAAGGGAGCAGCCGCTCTTCCCTCGGAGTTAGGCTTCAAAGGAGTTCTCTTCCCAAAAACCCAGATCCCTTCCTTCCCAACCCCCCCGTCCCACACGTTAAATGAAATATTCATTCGGTGATTCAGACAGTCCCACTTACACGACGACCAAAAGTAGCATTAGCCTAGGTTTTTTTCAGCCTTGCCTTTCAAATGTAGCCCCCAATAAACAACCATCACATTTCTCTGTGTGCTCAGGGTAAGGAGGAGACTATTACGAGAGGGATCTGGTTATTTTTTTTTTTCCTTTTGTCTACACTCACACGAGGGAAATCCAGGAGGATAAAGTGCACATCTCTCCCTGGGTGGGTTTTAATCCCCCTGCCCAGAAGCTAGCGCTCTCTCTCTCTCTCTCTCTCACACACACACACACACACACACACACACAAATGCAGTTGGGCAGCACAACTGTACAGACCAGAAGGGAACTTCCCTTCAATCACCGTTGACACAATTGGAAACATATAAACAAAAATCCTACTCTTCAGAGACAGAAGATCAAAAAAACGGCTTCCAAGTTTATGCAAAATAAGGAGACATCTCTATGTACAGATCACACCAAGTTCTGAAAGAAAGGCTATAAAAATAATTCCTGGTGTTTGGTGCACCCCCTTCTTTCTCAAATATTCGGTTAAGAAAAAAAAAAAACCCTTTTCGGAAGCATTCAAAGGCAAAGAATTTTCTAGACCGCATTACCGCTTTCCAACGTGATGTGTGTGGCTGTGCCCGATGGGTCCTTTCCAAGCAGCAGGATAGAGGAGGAAAAGTGATTCTCCCAATAATGCAGGAATTCAGGTTTACGCAGAGGCGATCCTCTGGCGGGGCCAGGCCAGCGCTGGGTTGGGACGGGGGTCTCGGAGCAGAGTCCGTAGCAGGGATGGTGCAGTAATGCCTCGTCAAGGAGGTGGTCCGAAGGCTTTCAGAAAGGGAAGTCTCCCTTCCGGCTTGCCTACCAGTGCCGAGAGTCCACCAGCTCCGGACGCAGGCTGAGCTTCTTCAGCGTCTCGTAGCCGACCACGATGACGATGGTGGAGGGGGTGGCTGAGATGATGCGAGCGGAGAGGCCTTTGGTGAGCCCCCAGGGACCCTCCTCGGCGATCAGCTGCTTGAAGGTCAGGAGGATGGAGTTCTTGCCCCCCACCTGGAGGGAGGGAGGAGAAGGCCCACGTTTGAGGTTCAGAGGGACAGAATTCCTAACACAAGGGGTCCTCGACTTACAGCCGTCCAAAGTTACAAACAGACTGAAAAAGGGGACTCAGGACTGTTTTTCACGCCTATGACGGTTGCAGCCTCCCCAGGGTCAGGCGATCAAAATTTGGACGCTTGGCAACTGACTCTTACTTACGACCGTTGCAGCGTCCCGGGGTCACGAGATCCCCTTTTGCAACCTTCTGACAGTCAGTCACTGGGGAAGCCAGATTCGCTTAACGACTGGGTTACTAACTTAAGAGCCGCAGTGATTCACTTAGCGACCGCGGCAAGAAAGGTGGTAAAATGGGGCCAAACTTGCTTAACAGTTGCCTCGCTTAGCAACAGAAATCTGGGGCTCAGTTGTGGTCATACGTTGAGGACCACCTGTATTTCTGGAACGGTCCTTCTCAAGCTTGTCCACTTGAAGGAGGGTGGACTTCGACTCCCAGAATTCCCCAGCCGGCTATGCCGGATGCGGAGTCCTGGGAGTCGAAGTGCACCCATCACCTTCAAGTAGTCCAGGGGTTCTCAACCTTGGCAACTTTAAGACTTGTGGACTTCAACTCCCAGAATTCTGGGAATTGAAGTCCACAAGTCTTAAAGTTGCCAAGGTTGAGAACCCCTGAAGTAGTCCAAGAAGACGCGAGTTGGAGGAAGCACTGAGACTAACAAAGCAGCCCCTCTGCCTGCCAAACGTCCCAGGGCCTCCCCACAGGCCACAGGAGGGTGGGGGAGAGGAAGGCAAAACTGGAACGGCTCCGAGGGGGAAGGGAGGCACGCAAGACCGGCCGGCCGGCCTGCTGAGGTCACCACTCAAAGGCACCACCACCTGCCCCCCTCCCCCCAAATCAGAGGGGCAGGACAGGCCCCAGAGCTCCCCCCCCCGCAGGGCTGCTGGCTCTCCTTGCAGGTGGCAGGCTCAGGCCGCAGAGGTGCTTACCTGCACACGTGCCCGGATGACGTCCATGGGGTTAGTCAGGGTGGAAGCGGTGGCAGCCGCCATGGGGCCGGAGATGGCTTGGAGGAGCAGGTGGGGGCAGTCCCTGGGGGTCAGGCTGGAGAGCTGTTCTGCAAACAGGCAGGGAAACCAGGTCAGGGGCTGAAAAGCTGCTGGGGACCCACACGGGGGGCTGGAGGTATCCACCGAGGGAGCTGCTGGGGATCCAGTGTTAAAGGCTCTGTGCTCCTGGGAAAATCCAGGAGGGTTTTCTCCCCAGTCTGGATCTCCCTCCCAGATAGGGTGGGACTTAATGCGACTGCGCAGAGGCGTTTCTGCAGAGAGTAAAACATTCCCAGTTCCAAAACAAAGGCCAGAGCTGTCTAGATCCTGAAACTTCTTCCATAGGGGGGATATAAAACAATACAGGTAATCCTTGGCTTACAACAGTTCATTTAGTGACCATTCGAAGTTACAACGGAACTGAAAAAAAAGTGACGTAGGATCAGTTTCATATTTGCCACCGTTGCAGCCTCCCCCTGGCCAGGTGATCAAAATTCAGGCACTTGGGAACTGACTCATCTTTATGATGGCCGCAGCGTCCCCTTTTGTGACCTTCTGACAAGCAAAGTCAATGCATAAGCCAGATTCACTTAACAACCATGTTACTAACTGAACCGCAGTGATTCACTTAACAACTGTGGCAAGAAAGGTCATAAAATGGGCCAAAATTTACTTAACAACCGCCTCGCTTAGCAACGAAAACGTTGGGCTCAGTTATGGCCATAAGTCAAGGAGAACCTGTGCTGCTGATTCCGCACTGCCCCACTATAATCAGAGTCCTAAGGCTGGAAGGGCCTTTAGAGGTCCTGCAGTCCAACCCCCTGGCCAGGGCACCTCACTCTTGTGATCTAAGGTTTTTATATCCGAGGGAGACTCCGCCGAGATGTTGCAGGCTGACTTGACACACAGACCAATATGCAACGGGGGCCGTGCAGATGATCTCTGGTGAATCCGAGGGTCTGCAAGCCTCTTGGGACCGAGGGAAGCAAAGGGCTTGCTTGGGGTGGCTGCTCATTAGTGACCCCCAGCCCTGAAGGGCTTCCCATGTCCGAGGAGGCGGCGGGCCCCGTCCCCAGCCCATCATCTCCGCCAGGCAGGGCTTGGGAAGGGGAGGGGGCCTTCTGTGCACAGCCTTATACGGGTGTGCTCCTCTCAAGGATAAGTTTACCCATTGCAAGCCGAAGGCATTTAAAAGGGCAGCTTTAAGCTTGTAAGGGGGGGAGGGGGCTTTTCCTCAGATGCATTCACGCCCCCAAGGATGTCTTAAACCAAAGCTGATATTGTGGTATTACTCGTTCAGCCCTCATGCTCTCTCTGCCTTTCAGTCAGTGGGACCCCAGACAGCCTGTAACACCGGCCCTTTGCTCCTTAGGGCTGGAGCAGGAGACCAGGCTGGGTCCCAGGGGGGGAGGGAAGGGTCAAGCAGGCCATCAGCCATGAGTCCTTTCGTGCCCACAAGAGAGCTACGTCCAGCCCAGCTCGAGTTCCGTTGGCTCTTATCTGCTGCCATTTTGTGTTGACTGGTAGTTGGGCAGATTCTTGTAGAGAGCGTGAGCTTGCGGTCAACTTTTATGTTCCTTTGAACCGCCCGGATTTCCTGACTTCCCTGGCGCTTGACAGTAACTGATCTCAGCTGGCCTAAGGCAGGAGGCGAACTTGGGCCTCCCCTCCACCTCTTCTTCCTCCCTGCAAACCCCACTTCCTTCTAGCACTGATCCAGAGTTATCTAGTCTGAGTCACGAAACCTCTGCAAGAAAACAACCCAACTCAGAGAGGACCCCACAGTGCTCTTCCTCCTCCACACTGATGAGGTTCCCTAGCTGGGTCATGAAATGTCCACAATAAAACAACCAAGCTCAGAGAGCAGCCCACAGACCCCCCCCTCCCCCCTCCTCGCTACAAACCCCACCCCCTTCTAGCACTGACGAAGTTACCTAGTTTGGGTAATGGAACCTCTGCAGGAAAACCACCCAGCCCTGCTCTCTCCTACCTGCGTAGAAGTGGTAGAAGGGCCACCAGACAGCACTGTTGGGAATGTAGGTAAGGAGGGAGGCCACGTAGCCCCTGTAGAAGCCCCTCAGGCCGTCGGCCTTGAAGATCTGGGCGATGATGTCCCGGGTTTGGCCGAAGACGGGGAACCGCATGCCCTCGTGGGCCTGCACGCGGAAACGGCCCATGCTGTTGCCCGTGCGCTGCATCATCAGGTGCTGGGAGATCACGTCGATGGGCACCGTGATGCTCTGCGCCACCAGGGAGGCCGAACCACCGGCCACCAGCGACTTGATGGTGTTGCTGCTGCTGTACTGCGAAACGTACTTGCGGGTGAGCTCGTAGGTGGTCACGTAGCACTGACCGGAGATGAGGGTGAAGGTGTTGACCAGGAAGCCCCGATAGAGCCCGGGTGCCCCTTCGGCCCGCAGGATTTTGACAAAGGCATCAAAGGTCCCATTGTAGAGGCTCTTCCCCCTCTGGACCTGCAGCCGTGTCCGTATCAGGGTGAAAGGGTAGACGCTGATGCGGATTATCATCGTCATGCACACCCCGAAGACATAGAACTTCTTCTTGTCCAGGTGTTCCCACTCGATGATCTGGATGTTGCGCTTGTCCTCCATGGCTGGCGGCCTCCTGCAAAGGAGCAAGCGGGTCACGAGCTTCTCAACTTACCCGGCATCTCCCAGATCGAGACTGAGCTGTCCACGGCAGGCCCGGGGTGCTGGGATGTAGCCTGGATTCCCAGAAGGGGGCTGCACCCCAGAGGGTGAAGAGGCAGTTAAGAGGGCTCCTCCCTAGTGATTCCCAGGGTATATTTGGAGCAAGAGTCTCCAAACTTGGCAACTTTAATACTTGTGGACTTCAACTCCCAGAATTCCCCAGACCCCTGATCTAGAGCAATGCTTTACTTTTGCAAGATTCCGTCTACAGGTGAGGGACAATAAAGGAAACTGCTCATGAGTAACTGCTCACGTGTCCTTCTTGGGGTCTGACACCTGGCCCCATAGACTGCTCAAGCAGAGACCCCAGTGGCTGAAAGGCCACGGCCAGAGAGATCACGGACTCCCAGGCGCTCGGAGGAGGGAGGGGTCCTTGGTGCTCTCTGAGCTTGGCTGTTTTCCTGCAGATGGTCCATTCCCCGAACTGGGCGACATCCCCAGTGCAAAGCAGTCAAGCTCAAAGAGCCCCAGGGACTCTCAGCCCTGAGCTACAAATATTCTCCTCTGTCAGATGGACGGACGGACGGGACCGGTAATTTCAATTATAGGTAGTCCTCGCTTAACAACCGTAATTGGGATCGGCAACTCTGCCGCTAAACAAAGTGGTTGCTAAGTGGGAAATCATGTGACCACACACAAGCTTGCTGGTTGGGGAATTCTGGGAGCTGAAGTCCACATAGCTTAAGGTTGCCGAGGTGGAGAACGCCAGCCCTACAGTGCTCTGGGCAGCACCTACAGGGGCAAGTGAACTCCTGAAGCCAACAACCTCCGATTCAACCCGCCCTAAACTGAGGCTCAGCAGTACCGTCAGTGAACCCGCCGCGGGAGAAGATCTGTGGATTTGCTGTGGATCCAGGTGATCTTCCTCATGCTGGCTTCTGATTCCTTGTAGACTTGGCAGATTCTTCTCTTCAAGACGTCACCTTCCTGCAAAATAAGGGTCAAGGTTGTATTTCAAGTGTGAACAGGAAAAGAGAAGATGGTCCTTAAAGTCTGAGCCTGCTTCTAGCCCTTCCTGGCTATATCATTACTAACTACAATACTGGTAGTCCTCTGTTTACAACAGTTCGTTTAATGACCGTTTGAAGTTAAAATGGCACTAAAAAGTGACTTATGACCTTATGACTTTTTCACTCACGACCGCTGCAGCCTCCCCAGGGTCACGTGATCCAAATTCAGACACTCAGCAGCTGACTCATATTTACAACGGACGCAGCATCCCGTTGTGACCTTCTGACAAGCAAAGTCAATGGGGGAGCCGGATTCACTTAACAACCGTGTGACTAACTTAACTGCAGGGATTCACTTAACGACTGGGGCAAGGAAGGTTGCAAAATGGGGGAAAACTCACTTCACAACTATCTAGTGACAGCAATTCTGTCGAGGACTTCCTGTGCTGCTGCTCTTTACACGCTCCGCACAACACTGCCTACCCTAACAGGGAACGATGTCATGAACACATATGCGTAATGTTTAAATTCTGGAGGGCGAGTAATTTTGGCTTTTAAATGAAATATCTGCGAAAGAAATCTTGCTGTGTAAGTGTCTGGGTATTTCTGACACCTGCTCAACCGAACAGATCAAGGTCATCCCTTCCCACAAAGTCCAGGGCTTAAAAACAACCAGAAGGGCATGTGGGACGCTCTGCCCTTTCTTTTCCTTTTTCCTTTTGCGTCTTAAATCACGAAAGAGCGAGCGCCACACAAGCTTTCCAGGGGCTTGGACTGGTAGCCAGCTCTCCGTGAACCTTCTCAGGTTTCTTTCGTGAGAAATGTTGCAACTGAGGTGAAACTCTTCATCTGCAAGGTTCTCCTGCGCCCTGATCTCACTCTCTCTCGCGCACACGCACACACACCTCACAAGCACACTGGAGTCAACCTAAGGCCTGATAATTAATCTGCCAAGAGATGCGGCAATTTTGCATGCATGAAATACTCTGCTCTGCAACAACATTCTTCTAAGGAAAATAAAACGTGTTCAGGAGAAAAATCTGAATCTAGCGGCTGAGTCAAGAAGGCCAAAGATACCCACCAAACTGAAGCCTTCCCCAAAGGAGGAGGAGAAAGCGGGAGGTGGTGAATTCTAATCCTGCCTTAATCATGAAATCCAGCTGGGAGACTTTGAGCCAGTCTCTCCTTCTCAGACCAACCCACCTCACAGGGTTGCTGTTGTGGGGAAAATAGGAGGAAGAAGGTAGGTTGCACACATTTGCTGCCCTGAGTTATTTGTAAAAATAATACAGGAAATAAATTAAAACCCAAAAACAAATGCCATGCAAGGAAGTACCCCAGGCTGTCCTACCACATAGATTAGATTAGATTTAGGATGGATTAGATCAGCGGTTCTCAACCTATGGGTCGCGACCCCATTTGGGGTCGATCGACCATTTTGCGGGGGTCGCCAAAGGCGGCAATCCGCCATTTTCTCCCCTCCGGGGGCGGCGGCACGCCTCCAGGGGCGGCGGCATGCATGCGCGCTGCGCATGGGGGCGGTGCCGCGCATGCGCACCGCGCATGGGGCGCCGCCCCCATGCACGGCGCGCATGCGCATAACATTTGTGTGATGGGGGCGCCGTCACACAAACATTGAGAACCGCTGGATTAGATAGATTAGATAGATAAATTAGAGAGATTAGATTGGAGAGAGGGGGGGCGGGAGAGGGAGATGGAGAGACATGGGGGGGGGAGAGAGAGGGAACAAACAGACAGACAGGCAATCATGCAAGGAAGTGGCTTTTTAGTTGGAAACCAACAGTTCTGCAGGGGGCATTTGTAAGGCCTAAAGGGACAAGCCTCTAAAAAGGAGGGCGATCTTCATGGAACAGATCCACCAGCTTGTACCCTGGGTCAGATGAAAGACGATGTGTTGCGGGGCGTTTCCATCAGTCTCTCTCTGGGGATGATCACTACCTCATGGCGATGGGGGTGACTGGCACCACCAGCCTCCATAAGGAGGATAAGGCCTGATGAGTTGAAAGGGTTCCTGACCATACTAAGAGGGCAACCCAGAGTCACTGACTGAAATGGGAGGTTATAGAAATTGAATAAATAATAAATAAACAAGGAGGGGTGGGTGAAGAGAAATGGCCCAAAGTGGGCATTCAGACGGGGGCTGTCCTCCCCACTGGAACAGCTCGTTTCTCCTGGCAACGGGAGTTTCCACGCATCTTGTGGCTGTAATTGGGCTTTCCTCTTTGGGACCTGAATGCTGCATTATTTATTTACACTTGCTTATTGAAAACTATACCTTGTATTTCTCTGTATATTATTGTTATTATTGCACTGGTTGCTTTTGTATAATGCCTAGCCCAGGGTGTCCAACTGTGGAAACTTTTAAGACTGTGGACTTCAACTCTCAGAATTCCCCACCCAGCCCTGGTGGCTGGAGAATTCTGGGGATTCAAATCCACAAGTCTTAAAGTTGCCATAGTTTGGGAGTTTATTAACCTACAAATAAACAGACAAATAGTATACATATACTGCTTCAAGGCTCTTTTTGGCCCTTTACTCTTCCACATTTATTATTATTAAATTAAATTAAATTGCCGCCCATCGCACCCTCCAGCAACCATACTCCCTGAGCCATCCTTGTAACATTAGGAGAGAAATCTTTCCCCCATCTATTTCCCCCATAACATATTGGTTGATAAAAGTATCAGATTTTAAATCATCATATTAGCACACTCCCATTCCGTCGGGGGATTAGCTGCTGGGGTTTTTTGTAGGCAACATCACCTAAGTATATATACAGGTAGTGATCGACTTACAACAGTTCATTTAGTGACCGTTCAAAATTACAATGGCACTGAAAAAAGTGCAGTTATTCACATTTACGACTGTTGCAGCCTCACTCGTGGTCCCGTGATCAAAATTCAGATGCTTGGCAACCGGGTGTGTATCTGTGATCCCAGGGTCATGTGATCCCCCTTTGCCACCTTCTGACACGCAAAGTCAATGGGGAAGCCAGATTCATTTTAACAACCAGGTTACTAACTGAAGAAGCACAGCGATTCACTTAATAACCGTGGCAAGAGAGGTTCCGTTAACAATTGTCTCATTCAGCAACAGAAATTTTGGGCTCCATCGTGGTTGTAAGTCGAGAACTATCGGTATATGTTTGCTGGCGCTTTACTGAAAGGAAATCTGTATATATCCGCGATTGCAGGAGCTCCGTCGAGGCTAAATAAACACTAGGCAACCTGCTGTTGGCCGAAGAACCCCGGATTCTTCTGAAAGGGCGCCTTGTTCCCTCCGGACGTGCTTCGTTGGTCCTCGAGGCCGGCCTTTTGTCCGCCCGAGGAGGAGGAAAAACCAAGGACGAGGACTGGGGGAGGGGAGGGCGGGGAGTGAACAGCCGCAGCCGGATTGCAGCCTGACCTGCTCTCCGCACCGGACGAACAGCGGTCGAGGAAGCCGGCGGGAAAGCCAGCAGGCGCTTCCAGCGTTTTGCCCCCCGTCCTGATCGCGGGGGGGGGGGGGCATAATCCCCTCTTCCCCCAGCAAAGCGGCCCGAGCGAGGCGGAGGGAGGCCAGGCGCGCGGAGGCCCCCGGTTCCCACGGCCCGAGCGGGACGCGACCCCGTGGGGGCGGCAGCCGGAGGAGGAAGCGCCGCTCCGAGCGGCCACGCGGGGCTCCCCACGTGACGGCGGAGACACGTGTCGGCCTCCGTGCCAAGGGTCTCGGGACTCCCCCTCCCCTCAGCCGGCCCGTCCTCCTCCGCAGAGCGGCAGCCCCGCCGCCCTCCCGGGCCGACTGGCCTCTCCTCGCGAGGGTCCGCCTGGGGCCCCGTCCCGGCGGCCCTGGCCACCCACCTGCCCGGAGGCCGCGCTCTCCTCCCGGACCGGCCAGCGCTCCGGCTCAGCTCGCCCCGCAGGGCCCCGACAGACGCCGCCTCCTCCTCCCTGCTCTTCCTCTTCGTCGTCCTCCTCCTCCTCTTCTTCCTCCTCCTCCTTCTCCTCGCCACCGCCGCCACTTTAGAGCGGGGCAACCGCGCTCCCGCCCGGCTGCCCTGGACAAAGATGGCCGGCGGAAGGCGAGCGGCACTTCCGGCGCGCGAATGGCGTCACTAAACGCGGGCGGGAATTGCCGAGAGAGGCGCGGGAGGGAAACCGGCGAGCAGCCCTCCTCGGGGAGGAGGGAAACGGGCCGGGAGTGGAGGGAGTTCTTCCTCCTTTCGCTGGACTACCGGTCCCATCAGCCCCGCCAACAACCTGGGCTTAGAAGACTACCCGTAAGGAGGGAGTCGGATTATCCGACTGTTTGCCCTGGAGGGACATGGCCGCCGCGCACGCGCACACGGAGCCCCCTGGCAGCCCGGCTAAGGGGAGCCCACGAAATCCCCCAATCTCAAGAAATAAGATTCCCCGGCGTGGCGGGAAAGCCGGCCAGGCGCCTCCGGGCCAGCTCACTCCAAGGGGCTGATGGGAAAAGAGAAGAGCCGCTTTCAGTTCAGCAAAACGCGTGAGCGAAGTACAGGAGGTCCTCGACTTACAACTGTTTAGTGACCCTTTGAAGTTACGAGGACAGTGAAAAAAGTGACTTTATGGTTATTTGTCACATTTATGACTGTTGCAGCCCCCCCCCGCATGGTCACATGATCAAAACTCAAATGATGGTGGGCAACGGACTCCTCTGACAGTTGCAGCGTCCCAGGGTCATAGGATCCCCTTTTGCGACCTTCTGAAAAGCAAAGTCAGTGGGGAAACCAGATTCATTTAACAACCATCTTAGTAACTTAACAAGTACAGTGATTCACTTAACAACTGGCAAGAAATGCTATAAAATGAGGCAAAATTCACTTAGCAACAAATTTTGGGCTCAGTTGTAAGTTGGAAAAATATTTCATGACAGGACTGAACAACTGCCATTCTTCTAAGAAGCTGGCATCCTTCCCTGGTGCTTGGGCAAGAAAGAGGACCACACAGGGGCAATGTTGGCACCTGAAGCCTGCAAAACCCCCCTCCCTCAATTGCCTAAGTCCCGCCCACTTAGTTCCAGGGGTGGGGCTTGTTGAGCACTGACACCAGGGTGATGTATGGCCAATTTCTAGCTTATTAGTCTTTCTTCATTTTTAATTGTTCTGTATTCTTTTTATTATACTGTGAACCATTTACTGTAACAGTGAGATGGGCAGCATATAGATTTAATTAGTTAATAAGAAATATTTCTCTTTGGAAATGTTGAATTTTCTCTCCATCCACTATGAAGCACTCCCTTGGGAGGCCATCCTGGATTTTAACTGGCAATTCCTCCGGAGAATCCCTTCTGCCTCTTTTGCGGGGAGCATTTTGTGCCTGCTGAGCCCCCAAGGTAGCAACGCTTCAGAGACCATCGGCCCACAATAGCCATTGGACAACCACATAACACTTTTTAATAAAAATAGTTTGTATAAACACAATGATTTACATCTTTTTTTTTCTTTTAGGAAAAGGTTAGGAACAACATTGCAACAAACAGCCAGTCATGAATGAACATGCACTTTTTTCTATGGAATTGAGCTGAAAATCAGCACTTTTTAAAAACCCTGCAGATAGTTTGATGCAGGGGCTCTGCCACAGCGCAACTACTCTTCCTTCCTTCTCTGACCACAAGAGCCAGGGAGGTGTTTGTACGTCAAATATCTTCCAGCCTCTTTGACCAGAAACCATCGTGGAATGAAACCTATTTGCACACCAAACAAACTATTTTCAGCTCCTTGCAACATCCTTTTCCTTCTCCAGCCCACAAAGGGACAACGAAATTTTCCGACTTCTTGCACCCAAACATTTGAGAGGCAGGAGGAGAACCGGCCACCTTCTAGTTTTAAACATTTTTGATTAGCAGCAGGTAGTTTTAAATCTGCCGGTTGAAACCCAACATCTCTCTGCCAACGGATGACTCCCTTCTCCTTTTGCAATTGTTCCCAGGCTGCACGTCCTTGGCTGGCTGGGGTAAAGGAGACGCTCTCACCCATTTCTTTAGATCTCTTCCCTTCTTTGTATCATCTGACCCCTTTTTAAAAGTCCCTTTCCTTCCATATATTCTTTCCCCTTCCCAAAATGGGTGGCAAACAGGCCAGTGAAAATACCGATAATTTCTTTAACTGAAAGAGATTACCAACTCTTGTTCTTCGGAAGAGACATGCTGCTCCAATACCACAATTAAAGACACCACTCTCCTGCTCACCGAGAGAGGAGAAACACACACACAGAGACATGCACGCACCAAGTGTTTAATAAAGGACCCGGGGCAGCTTATCTACCTGGTCTTTTGCTTTTGCAACCCAGGTCCTCTTCGCACCTCACATTTTTAAGGGTAGTTCTTTAAGTAGATGAGATACAAACTGGTTTTGTATTTTTTTGCAATTGTCCTTGCATGGCACTGAACAGCAGACCCAGGTATTTGGCAGAATATTTTCTGAAACAGCTTTCAGGGGTGAGGGGCTCTTCCCCAGGCCCCTTCCTTCCCTCCCACCCATTCTACAACCTTGAAGGGGTTCTCAAGAGTCTTCCACTCAAATAACACTGAATTGAAACCAACAATAAATGACACGGATTGTAAACACGAGAAATAATACATTCTGTGTGCCCTCGGTGGGGACCAAGCAGTAAAATTCTCCAGTACCGGGCAGGGACCAAAGAACTGGTGGGGTGCAATTGTCATTTTATTCACCAGAGGGCAGCAGCTGCAAGCATTAGAAATAGAAACTGGTGTTTCTCAACCTCTGTGACTTTAAGACCTAGCTGGGGAATTCTGGGAGTTGAAGTCCATCCATCTTAAAGTCACAGAGGTTGAGAAACACTGATTAGGCACAGATTAATCCTAGCTCCCAGAGTAATGCCTTAAAAAAGGTCCCATGTAGCTGTGCCATCTCTCTCCCCCCCCCCCACCAAGTCCAGCAAGTATTTTGGAGAAGCTGCACAATGAAAAGAAGCGGGGGGGGGGGGGGAAATAGGGATGCCACAAGCAACCTCTTGTAAGTGAGGCTGGATAGATCCATTAAAGCCCCCTTGCTACAAAATGGAGATTTTCTTGCAGCCAATGGCTTCTCTTCTGCTTCTCCAAGATAAGCAAGAAGCGCATCTGTCTGTCGAAAAATCGAAAACCAAGCCGCCCCTCCTCTGAAACCCACCACCCAAAACCACTGGGCAAAGCACAGATTAAAAAGGGGCAGGAAACCACCACTGCCAAGCTGGAGGAAAGCCTAATCTTAGCATGGCACAACTGGTGCAAAGGAAACCATTTAAAATCCAAATTCTTAAAACTCTAAAAATACTAGGGAGAGTCCAAGAGGAACAGAGAAACACAGCAACAACCAGCTTTCATCTTGGAAACATCAAGGCTCTGATCTTGGCGGCTGCCAAGGTTATGTGTGAATGCAGAGTGAGAGGCCAAAGGGGCCAGGAGGCGCTTCTAGGGCAAGGGAAACCGGAGGGGGGTGAATGGGGTGGGCTCACTTAGGACCTTGCATAGCTGCTTCTTTGGCCCCAAAAGAGAACCACTAAACAAAAGGCAGAATGTGACAGCAAGACGGAGGAGGACAAAAATGAAACAATGGGCGAAGACAGGGATTGCGACAATGTGCTGCTGTTGCTGCAGCAGTCAAAATAAACTTTTAGTGGTTCTCACAATGCATAGAGTGGCTAAGATTACCCCAGAGCAATGTTTCTCAACCTCAGCAAATTGAAGATGGGTGGACTTCAACTCCCAGAATTCCACCCATCTTCAAGTTGCCAAATTTGAGCCTCATTGCTCAGAAAAACAAATGCAGCACCTGTCACCCACCTGAGCATCCAAACCCACCCAGACCTCCCTTCTCCCCCTGAAGCTCCACAAAGCCCAGCACATCTGGAGGTGGAGGTCACCACCCGAGGCCAAGTGGCACGGCTCCCTGCATCTCCAAATGAGAACACGCCAAAGACTAGCCACGTTTTTCTTCCAAATATCTGCAAATATTTGCAGATTGGGCTGCAAGGAAGCAGATGGAGTTGCTGCTGCTGCTAGGGAGAAGACAGAAACAAAGGAGGTGGGAGAGAAAGGAACCCCTCCAGATCCCCTGTATCAGTTTTGCAGGTGGTGTGGCGTCGTACAAAACACAACCAAGAAAGAACAACATTTAAAAATGGGCCCCGCAGGTGACCAGCTGTCTTCTAGCGGTGTTTGGGAGCTGCACTACAATCGTGCAAGGTGTTTTGTGCTCGTCCGAGAGTCCGCAAAGTTCTCCCGGCAAAACCCGAGCTAAATGGCCTCCAGGGCTGCCGTGACTCGGGCCTCCTCCCCATTCATCAAGGGGCAGTTCAGGCGGTTGTTCTCTGTATCCACGTCTCGGCTCCCACCTTCCACCTGAACGCAGCAGGATTTGCTCCCCTCGGCGGCCTCCTGCGCCTGGTAGTCCCTGTCTCCTGGGGGGCTCTGGCTGCTGTTGAGGGGGGCCTTCTCCTGCACCGGAGTCCTGCTGGACTCGGGAAGGCTGCAACCCTGCACTTTCGTTTTAGCTTTCAGCTTGTCGTGATAGGAGAAGAAGCCCAGCGCCATGGCCACCGCCAAAGTCATGGAAAGCAGGACCGTCACCGTCACAAACTGGAACCAGTAAGAGCGCAATTCCCCAACGGGCACTGCCTGGTGCTCCGGGCTGCCCTTGGGGCTGCTGACGCCGTCCATGGGGAGGTCACTGCGCACATCGTACCAGGCCACCCGCTGCCGGTAGCCATTCTCGCTGGCCCAGCAGGAGTACTCGCCCAGCGTGTGGCTGCGCACAAACACAAGCAGGCCAGTGTGGTCCCGGACGATCAGCCCCTCCTGTGATGGGAAGCTGCCCTCTGGGTAGGTCCAGGAGTAGTTGGCCAGGGCAGAGACCTGCGGGCAGGGCAGCCGCACCATGGAGTTGAACGGGTGGGTCAACACTGCAAGGAAGGAAAGGACGAATGGAGGTGTAATTCTGCTTCCCGAGGGGAGAAAAATAGCTCCTTGCTCTGTGAACCCCTTTCGGTGGGCGATGTGAAAGCTCACAACTTTAAACAACTCTTTGTGTCTCCACACCCTAAGATGCTGACACTCAAATCACAGGTTCTGCCAAAGGGGGAGAGGGGGCTCCAACTCCCTTCCCCGCTGCTGGACCCCTTATCGGCCCAACTGTGAGGTGTAAAAACAACATACATAGAGTGAGACAAACTCTTTCTCTTGAGTAAAAGAGAGCCAGGGCCAAAACCTAACGGCCCCTTTGACCTTGGGGCCAAGCCCTCTTCCCTGGCCCGGCCCTCCCTCCCCGGCCCCTCCCACGAGGACCCAGAGGACCCAGGGCAGGCACAGCCGCTGGGGCAGCCTTGACCCACAAGGCCGATTGGGCCTGCCTGAGCGAAAAGCCATTGCTCAGCTGCTGCTGCTGCCAGTACTCAACCTTTCAGTGACACTCCATCAGAGTCGTTCCTCGACCTTGGCATGGCTCGCCCCTTCCCACTGTGGCGCTGGCATGCAGCCTCAGCTTTCCCGTGCTCAACGTCCTGCAGCCAGCCAGTCCTGGAAGGAGGGAAGGAAGGGAGGGAGGGAGGGAGGGAGGAAGGAAGGAAAAGAACTTCTGAGTCACAGCAAGGCCTCCTCTGCACAACCACTAGCTGTGAGCAGGCAAAACATGAGCAGTCCCACGATGAGCCTCAATGGACAGCCTGCCCTATAGTTTGCCCCATATCCTGACATGGAGGCCCCCTCCAAGCCACTTTCAGGTTGTGCCCATCAAAGTCTGTCTGTTATCCCCACAAAGCACAGTAGCATGGAATATTGAATACAGAATGACAAGAGTTGGAAGGGACCTTGGAGGTCCTTTAATCCAACCCCCCACTCAAGCAGGAAACCCTAAACCAGTGTTTCTCAACCTTGACAATTTTAAGGCATGTGGACTTCAACTCCCAGAATTCCACAGCCAGCATTGCTGGCTGTGGAATTCTGGGAGTTGAAGTCCACATGCCTTAAAATTGTCAAGGTTGAGAAACACTGCCCTAAACCATTTCAGTCAAATGGCTGTCCAGTTTCTTCTTGAAAATCTCCAGTGATAGAGCACCCACAACCTCTGGAAGCAAGTCCTCGACTTACAACTGTAAGTGAGCCGACAATTACAGTCATGTGTCATGCCAATGATTAAACAGGCCACCACATGACTGCACCCATTTTTTTTACTTTTTCTGGAGTCCATTGTCTGCAGTGGGTCTTTTGTCTGAAACTGGAAGCAAACACCAGTTCCCAGGACAAAACATTGTAAATTGCGGTCACATGACTGTCAATGTGTAATTGGTTGCTTAATTGTGTGTTGGGTGCTCAGCAGCCAGAGTCTCTCTGCAAGGCAGATGGGCAGCTTCTAATTAGATATATAAGTAAATAGATAAGATAAAGAATGCTTCAGAAGGAAGACCACCATGGCAAAATCCTAAAAAGAGAAAAAAGGGCATTCTCCAGTAATGATATGTGCTGCCCAGTAATTTCAAGGACAGGGAAATCAAGTGGATCCAAATCAACGCAAACCTTGGGAATCTTGTAGAACAGAGCTCTCCAACTGTGACAGCTTTATGACCTGTGGACTTCAACTCCCAGAATTCCTCAGCCAGCCAGCAGCCTTGTGGACTTCAACCTCTTTGAGTTGAAGTCTACCAAGTGGTAAACTTGCCAAGATTGGAGACTCCTGATGTAGAACACACAAACACACACACACACACACAAGCTTCTCTCCTCTCGTAGGGGTGCTTCCCTCCCACCGTTGCTCACCTGTTGCTGGTGTCCTCCCAAACCGCTCGGCATGAGTGCCCATCCCAGGCGCAGTAGGGATCGCGTGCCAACAGGCAGCTGGCACAGGTGGCATAGATACTGCAGTTGGCCACCAGGACTTCCAAAATCCCTTTGGAATAGCCCACATACAGGGTGCCCTAGGGAAGGAGGAAGAGGTGCTGGGTACTGCATTTTTCAGAAAAAGGAAAATCCATTCTGGCAAAAATGGAATCTTCCTTCCTTCAGGGAATCGGTAACTTAATTTCATTTCTTTGAATTATGAGTATCCGCTTTAAGATTCAAAGGAGAGAGAGAAAAAGTTAGCCAACATTTTATCTCATGAATTCAGGTACGTTTAATGAGCCTGCATACAGGTAGTCCTTGACTTACGATGACCACAGAGCCCAAAATTTCTGTTGTTAACCGAGACAGTTACATGGGTTTTGCCCCATCCTGCGACCTTTCTTGCCACAGTTGTTAAGTGAACCATTGCAGCTATTAAGTTAGTAACACGGTTGCTAAGTGAGTCTGCCTTCCACCATTGACTTTGTGTATCAGAAGATTGCAGAAGGGGACCACGTGGCCCCGGGACACGGCAACCGTCGTAAATGTGAGTCAGTTGCCAAATATCTGAAATTTGATCGTTTATACGATGGATTTGCCCCAATGGTCGTAAGTGTGAAAAATGGCTGTGAGTCATTTTTTTCATGCCATTGTAACTTTGAATGGCCACTAAATGAACTGTTGTAAGTTGAAGACTGCCTGTATTATGCAAACCTCAGCCCGAAGTCTTCTTGGATAGAAGAAATAAAGAATAAAGAAATAAGAAATAAATGAGAAAACAAAATGAAAGGGAGTGGATAGGACACACTAGCTATTTTTAACTGTCCCTTTTCTGGAGAAAAATGCCATTTTGTTCAGTGGTGGTGGTGGTCAGTGGCTCTGTTTCCAGGCTGCTTCAGCACGTGGGAGTTTCAAGTCAACAACTGCCGGGAGGCTGCCTGTGTGGCCTGCCCCTGGCATGGCTCCGTCTGAGCTGGGGGAGCCGCTAGGGAACCTCCAGGCCAGGCCAGCCCTCCCGGGGCTGAAATTTTGGTGGGGAGATTTCCTGTAGTTTCCCCTTGGAAGCCGAAGAAACAATCCCCACCAGCGATGCCAGCATGGAGAAAGTGAGAGCTCGGGACAAGCAAAGGAAGCCGGAGTCTCCAAAGAGAAGGAACAGGAAGGAATCGGGGCACAGCTGCTCAGCCGAGATCTCCAAGGGCCGAGGGGCAGCCGAAAAAGTAGGAAACCCCCTCTTCTGGCTGTGGCCGAGGCGAAAAAGGCCCGGGTTCCTCCAGGGAAGAGCAGCCCGAATGAAACGAGGTGGAAGCTGGAGAGCAGAGACTCGTTTAGGAAAACCTGGCAGAGAATTGTGTCTAAAGGTGGATTCACGGCAACTGGACCCATCTTGGTTAATCTGGGACGTTTCATCAGTCAGAGCGAAATTAGACGCCCTCGTGCACATATTGCAACCCATTTGGGGGAGAAGCCCCTGAAGTAGATGGGGCAAAGGTTGGTCCATTCCAACGACTCTCTGGCTCTCTGCCCAATGACTAATTTCGCTCTGACTGATGAACTTGCTTGGACAGGAAGTGAAATGTCTCGGATTAACAAAGATTGTTCCAGTCACCACGAGTCCACCTTCGGGCGCCTTTGGCCCGGGGGATGGAATCATGCAGAGGAATCAAAATATCCCATCCCTCCTCTGGGCCCTGCTGGGCCAGGGCAATCCCATGGCTCCTGCAACTCGATCAGCCATTCCAGATGCAGCATTCCAGAGGAAAGATGGGTAGCCCACGACTCAGCACCGTAACGGAGCCTGGAATTACCATCAAAGGTTGTACTGACTGTGAAGCAGGTCATCACGTGACTGTTCCCGACTTTATAACCTTTTTTGCAAGTTATTAAGCAAACGCTGCCATGAAGCAAACACCAGGGTCACTAAGTGAAGTCACTGTCCGCAATGGGCATTTTTTTGGCCAGAAATCAGAAATTAAATCTGGTTTCCAGCAAAAAAAAACCAAAACATTGTAAATCAGGTTCACGTGATTGCAGGACGCTGCAAACAGCTGCAATTGCGGGCCGGCTGACAGTACCCAAATTTGGCTGTGTAATAAGTGTGTGTGTTTGTGCACACACAGTTGTTGGTGCCATCTCACATGCTATGTATATAACAGAATGCAGCATTAATGCATAAACAATTCACAAAAACAGCATATAAAATGTGTATCAAAGTATAAAACGCCAGAGCAGTGAATTATTTTAAAAACACATAAAACACATAAAATTATGCACAGGCTTGAATCACACAGGAGGAGTTACTGCAGTGACCAACCGCATGGCCAGATACCGAGGTCACTTAGCCGCTGGACAGCCCGGCCCTCAAGATGATGCATTCCGTGCAGGGGTCCAGGGACCCTTTCGAGGGGGCCTTCTGACGCAATAGGATGTGGAGTTTGCGGGACATTCCCACAATCCCAGTCAGGATTATCAACCGGCCCCCATTTATCTCAGATGCCGGTTTAGGGTTAGGCGCCAGCCAGCTGCTCTTCTCACGTCTTCTCTGACCGAGACCCTCGGAGGGAGAGTTGGGCCAGAAAGGGGGTCCCAGCAAGCTCCCTCCCCCCCAAATTGAAAGCACCACCCTCCCCAGCTGATAATGAAGGCCCACCTTCTCGGGAACAAGCAGGAGGTTCTGGATGGGTTCCGGCCTCTCCAAGAGCTGCATCTCCTCAACAATGTGGGCTTCAGTGCCGACCACCACCGCCTTGTGCAGGGAGCCCCCGTCTGCAGGGGACAAGCAGAGATTGGGGGCTGCCCGCCAGAGGAGGGGGCTGGGGGCTCCTACTCGGCCTCCCCCCCAATCCAAGGGTTTGGGTCTCATTTGGAGAGAAAAGGTAGCGCACGGGGGAGGGACAAACTTCCAAAAACGGGGCTGAATTCCAAGCAAAGAAGAGTTAACCAACAGATTTTCCAACAACAGATTTCCAAACAATAGTTGGGAGAATAATTTAGGTAGTCCCTGACTTACAACCACAACTGACCCCAAAATTTCTGTTGCTAACCAAGATAGCCGTTAAGTGTGTTTTGCCCCATTTTACAACCTGGCCCAACCCATGGCAGAGATAGCTGTTTCTTATTTTAGCTTTCTTTTTCCTACCCTTATAATAGTGTTTATTGTTTTTCTTGTTTTGAGTTTTTAGTTGATTTTTTTGTAAAAGTTGCAAAAAACCCCAACCCTGAGCTCTTGCCCCCCAAGGGGGGGTGACTCAAACCATGCTTCAACATTGGACCAAGGTATGATACGGCAGCAGCCTTCCAACATCTGAGGGGCTGCCCCACAGAAGAGGGAATCAACCTATGAGCCGTGGGGGCGCAGTGGTTAGAATGCAGGAGCCCAGGCTACTTCTGCTGACTGCCGGCTGCCAGCAGTTCGGCAGCTCGAGTCTCACCGGCTGAAGCCTTCCATCTTTCCGAGGTCGGTAAAATGAGGACCCAGCAATGTGCTGACTCTGTAAACCACTTAGAGAGGGCTGTAAAAGCACTGTGAAGCGGTGTATAAGTCTAAGTGTTATTGCTATTTTCCAAAGCACCAGAAGGCAAGACAAGCAATGGGTGGAAATTAATCAAGGAGAGAAGCAACCTGGAATTAAGGAGAAACTTCCTGACTTGACAGTTAACCAGTGGAACAGCTTGCCCCCCATCACTGGAAATTTTCAAGAAGAGACTAGACAGTCACTTGTCAGACATTACAAAGAGTGCCCTGCTTGAACAGGGGTTTGGTCTAGAAGACCTCCAAGGTCCCTTCCAACTCTGTTATTCTGCTACTCTGGGCGAGGGGAGCCCTACCTGTACCCAGGAACAGGACGGTGCAGGCAGCCCCGCAGGCCTTCTGCGTTTGGTGCACTGTGATGCGGGTGTACTTCACATCCTCCTTCACCAGCAGAGGCTGGTTGTGGATAGGGGCCACCTTCTCATCCATCAGGAAATGGTCCTTCATGAAGGTCAGGGCTTTATCGGAAGAGGGCCCCACCGAACACTGAAGGAAAGACCATATATAAAAAACAATCAGGAGGGAGACCCATACCTCAATTTTGCTGGAAGGTTCTGGAAGGTCTGGAGCAGGTCACCACACGCCACACCATCCCTCTCCTCCAGAGATGCTCCAAACCTTTTGCTGAGTCTGCGTTTACCAGCCGCGTTGCAAAAAGGCGGGGGAGGGGCACACTCACGCTGCCAGGCCGGGGCTCCATGGCGGGGCCACTGTAGGTCATCCAGCGGGAACAGTCCTTGTTCAGCTCCTTGTACTTCCCATCAAAGGCCTTCTGGATGGCGTCCAGGCTGAAGGCACAGACGGCTGAGCTGCCGGAGCTCCCGGTCTGCCTGTGGGGAATGGACAGGCCAGCTGCACCTCAGCCATTCACAGCCCTCTGCACATGCTCCGGCTCTTTATTGCAGGGGTCTCCAACCTCAGCAACTTTACGACTCCCAGAATTCCTCAGCCAGCGTAGTCCAAAGTTGTAAAGTTGCCGAGGTTGGAGGCTGCAGAGTCCAGGCTGGGTGTCGAGAGCCATCTCTGCCCCCCTCCCCTGTGCAAACCGCTCCACCTCTTACCACTGAGAAGCAAAGACCCCATAAAAGAGGGTGCCCCCATCCGGCTGCGGGAGAGCGAAGACATGCTGGAGGACGGTGTGGGGGAACAGCCCCGGCTGGCTGCAAGAGAGCTGAGCCTTGAGGAAGGTGGTCCACTTCTTCTGGAGAACCTTGTCTCCTCCAATGTCGTTCTGCAGAGAAGGAGGGAGCAGAAAAGACCCACTCAGGGACCAGCGACCCAGCTGGCCTTGGCTGGATTCACGCTGCCTGGCAGAAATAAAACGGGCCGTTTGGGGTTCAAGGTGTGGTGGGACTGGTGGTCCTCTCTCAGCATTCTGTAGAAATTGAGCCATCCTCTTAAGCCAAAACTAGACTTGATTGGTTTGGGCAGAAGATACAACATTAAGCCCAGACGTAAGTCCCCAAGATGATTCTGTTTATACTACAGCTTCTCAAACTTGGCCATCTGAAGACGGGAGAGGTTCAACTCCCAGAACTGCCCCGGCTGCCATGTTTAACCTAAGGATGCTTTTGCTTTTTCGGGTGGTGCCTATCAAATCTCGATCTCAAGCCTCAGCCTCCTCTGCAGGGAGGCATGGCCGAGCCTGCTGGGATGGTGGAAGCCGCTCACCTTGCAGACCCGGGCAACGCGGGACACGGTCAGCTTCTCAAAGAAATCAAACTCCTTCGCCGTCTCTTCAAAGAAGAAATAGACCTTTTCGTCATCTGGGGGTCCCGGGATGTTGAATGAGGCCACGAACACAGCATCGTCTGTGCAAACCACGGGAGTCAGCTTCTCCTCCATCCCATCTCACACAGACACACGCACAAACGCGCACACACACGCACAAACATCCCAAAGGTGCTTTCCCAAAAGGCAACTGGGCTTTCTTGGTTTTTTCTTGTTTTTCCAGTTCTTCAAAAAATGAAGAAGTTTCTTGGATGAAAAGCGAAACGTTTTCAAGAAGAAAAAAAAGAAGAAAGAAAGAAAAGAAAGTCCAGCTGCCTTTTGGAAAAAGCACCTTTGGGACAACCAGATCAGGGGTTCTCCACCTGTGGGTCGGGACCCCATTTGGGGTCAAACGACCATTTCACGGGGGTCGCCAAACAACGCAGTCCGCCATTTTTTCCCCTTTTCCTTAGCTGTGCTCCTCCCTTTTATTCTATTGGCTTTTGAAAGCCAATAGAAGAGACTCTCTTGAATAGAGTCTAATTCTATTGGCTTTCAAAAGCCAATAGGAATTGTTGAGGCTGTCTCCGCCCTGCTGAGCCTGCCAAAAGTCCCAGTCTGCAAACGGTGCTGCACCCGTTGAGTAGTCCTTGACTTACAACCGGTTGAGTAGTCCTCAACTTACGACCGGTTGGGGGTCACGGCATTAAAAAGGTTGAGAACCACTGACTTAGATGATTGAGACTCCACACATACACACACACACACACACACACACACACACACACACACACACATCTGTTGCTTAGGAGACGCGTTTCTCCTGTTACCCACCAGGTCTTGGTTGCCAAGACAACGGCCAGTCCCCAAAGGATGGAGGCAGCCGTGGGAGGAGCTGAGGCCCTTCCCCCTCTCCCCCTTCGCCCCCTGCCTCTGCCCTCACCATGCAGCCAGGAGAGAAAGCCGTCAGTCTTCAGAACAGTCCGGCTGCCCAGGGTTCGAGAGATGACCGGCTCATTCCCCTGGAAGTTATTCATGGTGCCTGTGTAGAGCTCTCCATCTGGGTGAGGGGCAAGCAGAATGTGAGATGGGCCCCCCCCCCTCCCGGCAAACCTTTTGCCTGCTTTTCGTCACTGCAAAACGTCATGGAAGGCATTCATCTGAATGCAAACAGGGCGGCTTTCAAAACCAAAGCCTGTTTTGTAAAGGATAAACTCCCCAGGGCCGCTCAAAAGTGAGGTGGTGGGGCATATAAATTTAATAAATGAATCAATAAAATGACAAAACTTGCAACAAAAACCCATAATGAGGTTACTGAGATAACATATATATATATATATATGTTTTTAGCTTCTTGCTAAAAACACCAGCCTGAAGATGACGAATGTGACTTCGTCGAAACGTTGCCAAGACACTTCCAATTTTACGCGGGAGAAAACCCGAACAACCAAAGACCTATATACAAATACCCGCGAAAACCTCAGAAAAAAAATATATATATATATATATATATATATATATATATATATATATATATATATATATATATATATATATATATATATAAAATGATAAAATTAAACTGTTCTGGGACTTCAGAATTCAAACAGACAAGCACCTGCAACATAACACACCAGACTTAACAATTGTCGATAAGAAAGACAAAAAAGTCTGGATAGTGGACGTGGCAGTGCCTGGAGACAGCAGATTAGAAGAGAAAGAACTGGAAAAGATCACAAAATACAAAGACCTACAAATAGAAATAGAAAGACTGTGGCAAAAGCAAGCAAGGGTAGTACCAATAGTAATAGGCTCCTTGGGTGCAATCCCAAAACAACTGGAGCACCACTTGAACACCATTGGCATTGACAAATTCGCTATTAGTCAATTGCAAAGGCGGCCTTACTAGGAACTGCTTCCATCCTGCGACGATACCTGTAATACCATCAAACATCCACATCTACCTATCCCAGGTCCTGGGTAAGGACTCGATAGGTAGACAAAATGCCAAATCCAGTCTGAACATCTGGCTGACTGTGCGATGATCCATAATAATAATAATAATAAAGTTGGAAGGGACCTTGGAGGTCATCTAGTCCAACCCCCTGCTCAGGCAGGAAACCCTATACCATTTCAGACAAATGTCTGTCCAGTCTCTTCTTAAAAAATTCCAGTGTTGGAGCATTCACCGCTTCTGGAGGCAGGTTGTTCCACTGGTTAATTGTTCTCACTGTCAGGAAGTTTCTCCTTAGTTCTAGGTTGCTTCTCTCCTTGACTAGTTTCCATCTGTTGCTTCTTGTCCTGCCTTCAGGGGCTTTGGAGAATAGCTTGACTCCCCCTTCTTTGGGGCAGACCCTGAGATATTGGAACACTGCTATCATGTCCCCCCTTGTCCTTCTCTTCATTAAACTAGACATACCCAATTCCAGCAACTGCTTTTTATATGTTTTAGCCTCCAGTCCCCTGATCATCTTTGTTGCTCTTCTCTGTACTCTTTCTAGAGTCTCAACATCTTTTTTACATCGTGGTGACCCAAACTGGATGCAGTATTGAATTTCATTTTGTTAGATAGCGCCCAGTGTTCAAGTCTGTCCAGATCCTCCTGTATCCTAAGCCTGTCTTCTGGACTGTTGGCTATTCCTGCCAGCTTGGTGTAGTCTGCAAATTTGATGATTTCCCCATCTATCCCCTCGTCCAAATCAATAAAGAGTTAAGTAGAAGCCTATTAAACTGATAATAAAGGATTATAAATAACAGTAAGAAAAAACAAAATACGGTAGTAGCAGCTGATAAAAGAAACTATTCAAATAGGGGATTAGGGGACTGGAGGCTAAAACATACAAAGAACAGTTGTGGGAACTAGGAATGTCTTGTCTAACGAGGAGAAGGACCAGGGGTGTCATGATAGCTGTCTTCCAATATCTGAGGGGCTGCCACAAAGAAGAGGAGGGGGGTCAAGCTGTTCTCCAAAGCGCCTGAAGGCAGGACAAGAAGCAACGGATGGAAACTAATCAAAAAGAGAAGCAACCTGGAACTAAGGAGAACTTTCCTAACATGAGCACAATCAACCCAGTGGACAAGCCTGCCTCCAGAAGTTGTGGGAGCTTCAACACCAGAGGCTTTTACGAAGAGACTGGACAGCTGTCAAGGTTCCCGACTAATGGAACACTTCAAAGAAATTCCAGGCATATTTATCCAGGATGCAATGAGATCTCGTCCTTGAGTAGGGGGTTGGACTAGAAGACCTCCGAGATCCCTTCCAACTCTGTATTCAATTATTCTGTAAACAGGTGGGGCATGAACAGAGGGAGGGTCCCCAAACCAAGGAAGCAGGCTCCATCTTAGGGCTCTGAACCCTTCTTTGTCTTCTTCTCCTGTCTGCCACAGCCCCCCCTACCCCCACCCCCGCCTCATTTATGGCTCATAGTTGACTCCAAAGCCTGCGAACAGTGCTATCCTTTTAATATCGCAAGGCACCCAATATCTTTAAGAAATAAAGTCAAAATAATAAATAAATAAATAAATAAATAAATAAATAAATAAATAAATAAATAAATAAAGCACCTCTGCCTGCTGTGGCTTGTAATAAGGACCTGCTGGGCCCAGAAACCCCCCCCCCCCAAAGAAAGGCTCAGCGCCTGAATCGGCCAGGCGAAGACCAGGCCTCTGCTCTACAGCAGTCACCTCTGCAGAGGTCACAAAGTCAGGTCAGCGTCTGCCAGGACAGCCTGCCCTTCCCACTGGCTGGACTACACCCCCCAGAATCCCCTACACTGCAGCCTTGGGGTCTGAGGAGCCAAGGAGCAAAACAGGGCAAGGGGCTGGGGATCCTGCACAAAAGCAGAGCTGCGGCCTAAAGGCTCCCCTGCTTCCGTCTGGTCTTCCTCCTAGGCGGAGGTGTGAGAAGTGGCTCCCCCCCTGCCCCCCCTGCCCCCGCCAGACCCCCAGCTCTGCTCACCCACAATGAGCGCCGTGTTCTGGTGCCGCGGGTCGAAGGGGCAGAGCCCTTTGCCTTCCTGCAGGAGGGGCTGCCCCCTGGCATCGGCCACCAGGGTGAAGTTGTCCACGTCCTGGCAAGGCGAGAGAAGACAAGGCAGTGAAGGGAAACTCCCCCAGGAACAGGGAGGGGAGACCCAGCCTGCCTTCCCCAGACCCCCGACTCACCCTCGCCTACAGGCCTACAGAGAGTCCTCGCCTTAACCCTCATCGCGGCCATCCAAAGTTATAACAGCACTGAAGAAAGTGACTTCTGACCAGTTTTCACACTTAATGACGGTCACGTGATCAAAATCCAGACCCCTTTTATGACAGTTGCAGGGTCCCCAGGGCCACGTAACCCCCTCTAACCAGCAAAGTCCACAGGGAAGCCAGATTTGCTTAATGAGGGCACCGTTCACTTAATAGCCGCAGTGATTCATTGAACAACTGTGGCAGAAAAGGTCATAGCGCGGTGCAAAATTCAATTAAGGACTATCTTGCTTAGCAATGGAAATTTTGGGCTCCGTTGTGGTCATAAGTCGAGGACCTTCTGTATTTCAGTTTTGGGTTTTTTTCACAATTAACCTGCAAAACGGCCTAAACGCAGGGGTGGGGAAGGGGCGGGGAAGGGGAGGCCCTCACAATCACACACTGGCAACGTCTTGAAACTCGGATCTCCTAATCCAGGGGTAGGCCACCTTGGCTCTTTTATGACTGGTGGACTTCAACTCCCAGAATTCCTGAGCCAGCCATGCTGAGGGGAAAGGGAGAGGTTTCCAAGCTGAGCCAGGTTGGCTGAGGAATTCTGGGAGTTGAAGTCCACGAGTCATAAAAGAGCCGAGGTGGCCTACTCCTGGCCTAATCCAATGATCAGCCTCTTGGACTTGGTGTTCTTAAGAGGACGAATTGCCCTAAGAGCAACCCAAGGGCTGAAACCCGCACCTTGGCCCTGGAACAACACCCCCTGGCGTGCCAGTTGACTGTAGAGGTGAAGATGCTGGCCTAGAAACCAGGCACTGGTGAGTTCTAGTCCCACTTTAGATGTGAAAGCCGGCTGGGTGACTTTGGGCCGGTCTCTCTCTCAGCCCAACCCACCTTGCAGGGTTGTTGTTGTGGGGAAAATAGGAGGAAGAAGGAATATGAGGTATGCTTGCTGCCTTGAGTTATTTATAAAGTAATAAAGGCAGGATAAAAATCTAATAAATAAAAATAAATAAAAGGACAGAATTACGCCACAGAAGTCCGCATTCCTGGCCTGAAACCAACCCTACTTTCAGACTTTGCCCTCTGCCAAGGAATGCAACAAATTTGTGCTCGTAACTAGTAATACTGGAGGGAATGCAAGGCCAAGCAACAAAACCATTTTTTGCATTTCAAGGGTGTCCCGTTTGGGGGAAAGACCCTTCGCCACACAAACAATCCCTCTGCCTTCCACTCTGGATCTGTTATGCCCTTATTTGTGGGGAAAAAATAAAATGCTTTGTAGGGACCGCCTTTGCAAGTTAATTGGTTTACTAGTCTGCTTCCCGGAGACTCACGATGTAGGCACAGGTAGGGCTGAAGGCGTAGGTCCCACAGGTGTAAAGATGGGTCTCGTTCAGCTGAACGAGGATGCGGATGAAGTTGAAGCATTCCGTCTGCAGAAGGAGAAGTGGGAGGGGGGGGCAGGTCAGTTCCTGTTTAAATTTTGTCCAGTACCACACACACACACACACACACACACACACACACACACACACACACACGAGAAATGGTATTTAAGAAGCAGAACTGAGCCAGAGAATGGGAAATGTGCAAAAAAAACCCCAGATCTTTCATCTAGCTTTTCAGTTCGATCATTTCCTGAATTTATCTTTCCTGTATTTATTGAATGCTTTCCCAGGGAGCGGGCAGTCTGGACACAGGAAAGCCTCTTTCTTGGAATCTAAAATCCTCAGTCTTAGATAGTGATGGGGAGGAGGGGGCAGGAGGAAAGGATCAAGTGTCATAAACAAAAGGGAATTTTTCAAAATCTAAATTTAGTGCTCCTCGGGCAAAGGTGCAGGCTGTCCGTTAGATTAATAAGGTCATTAATCACAGCCTTCATGTAAACCAGACTTTCTCAATCTTGGCAACTCAAAGATGTGTGGACTTCAACACAAGGCTGGCTGGGGAATTCTGAGAGTTGAAACCCACACATCTTCAGGCTTGAGAAAGATTGGACTAGACCAGAAAGCAGAATCTCCGTGTTATCAAAGGACCCTGAGCGTCCGGGATGCTCAGGAATTCCCAGAATGCTCAAGAAAGACAAGGTGGGTTTTAGGATTCTGGGGAGGGAAGCCCAGACGCCTCCAGGGACTCCTGATCATGAAAAGATGATCTACAACACACATTCAGGTGAACTGAAGACCTGGCACTATCATTAAACTTGGTTTGTGCTATGCTAAATGTTTTTTTTTAAGGGGAGGAGGTTTGCAAACCAGCCTGCAATTAGTCCTTGACTTACAACCGGTCGCTTAGCAACTGTTCAAAATTACGCCCTACCCTAAAAGGGGACTTACTGAAATTCTTGATGGCCCCAACCGTCACACATTTTGTAACGGTTTAGCTGAAAACTGGCACTTCCAGCCATAGTGAGCAACAGGTATACAAGCTCACTTAGCAGCCACGGCATTTCACATGTACAACTGTCACATTTGCTTAATGACTGCTGCAAAAAAAGTTGTAAAGCACCGACAGTCCTCGACTGAGAACAATTCATTTAGTGACCATCTAAAGTTACAACGGCACTGAAAAAATGACTTATGATCGCTTTTCCCACTTGCGACGGTTGCAGCCTTCCGATGGATACGTGATCAAAATTCGAACCCTGGGCAACTGACTTGTATGTATGACGGTCGCAGTGTCCGTGTGGTGGTGGTCATGTGATCCCCTTTTAAGACCTTCTGACAAGCAAAGTCAGTGGGGGAAGCCGGATTCACTTAACGACCGGGTTACTTAAGAACTGCTCCAAGAAAGCTTGTAAAATGGGGCAAAACGACTGTCTTGCTTGGCAATGGGAATTTGGGGCTCTATTGTGGTCCTATGTTGAGGACGACCTGTAGTTATGACTTACGACCATCATGGGCAGAGTCGTAACTAGAGGACTACTTGTGCTTGTACGTTTGCCTCTCAATCCACCAGGGGAAGGCACCTACGAAGCCACTTCCGGGAAGGGATGGAGTTGAGCAGCACTCACCTCGTTGCTTCTCTTCTTGAAGACGCACTCCCTCTTCTTCTCCGGCCTGGGGCTCCAGGGTATCTGGGCAGGGAGGGGAGAAGCAGCAGCAGGTGAGGCAAAGGGAAGGAAGCAGAGAGCAAAAGCCGGCCAGGCCGGGGCTCCCTCCTCCTCAGCAACCAGCTGAGTTATGAGGCAGTGGTGAGCCCAGGGCTTATTATGCCAGTCCAGGATCCGGTTGCTTTTCTTTTTTTTTTAATGTAAACGATGCTGCACTTTAGTGGTTAAATGCCTAGAGCAGGGGCGTCAAACTGCCGGACCGCGGCCGGATGCGTCATGGTGAAACCGCGCCCACCCCACTGCAGGCAATGGAAAAAAAGCTGCGATACGTCACAACACATCACATGACGTTGCGAGCCTGACACCCCTGGCCTAGAGACATTGGTATTTGAACATGGATCTTTTTAACATTCATATTTTATTGGGTGGGGTTTTTTTTAATTTAGGTGAAATATTAAGATATATTACAAGTCCACGTACAATACGCCATATGCTAAATAAATAAAGGAGAGAGCTGGTCTCGGAGGGGGCTGGATGTGGGGGATAAACACTAGACTTGTGGGGGGGGCTGAGTGTTAGCCCAGACAAAAAGCACAGTAACGGACACTAAGTCTGCCTTCATATCGGGTCACATAAGCATAATCTTGCAAGACTGAAAGCATTTAATGGAAGAACAGGGTTATTCTTGGAGGTCTTCTAGCCCAGCGGGCCCCCCCCCTGACTTTTTGGGCACCAGGGACCAGTTCCGTGGAGAGAGGTTTTTCCGCAGATCGGAGCAGGCCTGGTTTCGTGTGCTGCCTGCATCCCGCAGATGGGGCTGTGCTCGTTTGTACGGACCGGTTGCTGGCATGCCGTGGACCGGTGCCGGTCTATGGACCGGGGGTTGGGGACCCCTGTTCCAGTCCACCCCCTGCTCAAAAAGAAAGGAAAAGGTTTCTTCTTTTCCTTTTAAGTCTCCGGAAAAGCAGAGAGGGTCCCTTCTCAAATGCATCCCATGCCCCTTTTCTTCAGAAGGGATGCCATGATTATATTACGAATGGAACCGACATAGAAGATGACAAAGATCCTCCTTTAACTTCAAAGAGGGATCTGCTGCAGGAAAAATGGGGCGATTTTCCAGAGAAAGTGGCTGGAAAAGAGACACAGAATGGATAGTGTTCACGGCTCCCTCTTCCCTGATCTCCCCAAAAGATCTGGAACACCCACAACTTCAGCTTGCCTTCTGAAGTTGTGGGTGCACCGTCACTGGAGGTTTTTAAGAAGAAACTGGACAGCCATTTGTCTGGAATGGTATAGGGTCTGCTGCTCAAGCAAGGGGTTAGGCTAGAAGACCTTCAAGGTCCCTTCCAACTGTTTTTCTTTTATTCTGTTACTCTGTTAAAAGTTTTTCTTAAAAAAGAAAGTCCATTGGCACCACTGTTTCTCAACCTCCACAACTTTAAGATAGTTGGACTTCAATTCCCAGAATCCCCCAGTCAGCATAGCTGGCTGGGGAATTCTGGGACTTGAAATCCAGACATTTTCAAGCAGCTACTGGGCACAAACTTTTCTCTACCAAATTATATTTGCAAACTCGGCAGCTGGGTCTCTTTGCCACTTTGCAAAACAGGATGTCAGCCGGCAAAGAAAAGCCCCAAAGTGGCAGAAGACACATTTCTGTTTCTAAAAGAAGGAAAGAAAAGCAGATGTGGGCCACTTGAGAAATGTTGAGGCGAGCCTCCTGGAGACGGAGGGGGAGCAGGGACCCCTGGACCTCCTGCCTGCTCAGTGCCAGTCACTGCTTCTGCCACTTGATGTAGGATTTTAATACTGCCCAGAGTTACCCCACGGCAGTGTTTCTCAACCTTGACAATTTTAAGGCATGTGGACTTCAACTCCCAGAATTCCACAGCCAGCAATGCTGGCTGTGGAATTCTGGGAGTTGAAGTCCACATGCCTTAAAATTGTCAAGGTTGAGAAACACTGCCCCACGGCAAGACAGGTGGCCAATAAATCTAATCAATCAATAAATAATAGGATTGTCGAAGACTGTCTTTCTCCATCCAGATGTTGGATCAGCAGCTCCCGAAAGACCTCAGTTTGGTCTTTGAACCCACGGCCAGGGGAAGGGAGGAATTAAGGAGAAACACAGACATATTTATTTGCTTATTTGGATCCCGGCTTTATTATTTTTATAAATAAAAATATCTAATACTCTTCCCTCCTTCTATTTTCTCCACAACAACCACCCTGTGAGGTGGGCTGGGCTGAAAGAGAGGGACTGGCCCAAGGTCACCCAGCCAGCTTCCATGGCTAAAGTGGGACTAGAACATCCGGTCTCCTGCTTTCTAGTCCAGTGGCTTAACCACTAGGCCAGGATCTACTCTCCTCCCTCTCCTCCTCCAAAGACGAAATGGACTCCGGGCAGAACATGGAGTCTCCCCCCAGCTTGCATGCCCCCCCCGAACCTCCTGGTTTCCCCCTCCCGAGCCCCCCCTCTTCCACTCACCTTCCCCTTCAGCCTGATGGGGGCGCTTCTGATATCAAGGGCCAGGATGGCGTCCCTCCCGCCCACGTAGAGAGTTGCTCCGTCCGCGCTCAAGAGGAAAGTGTCGTAGTTGAGGACCCCTTCCTGGCTGAAGGTGCCGACCTCACGACTGGGGTCCCCTGGAGGAGAAAAGAAAGCGGCCTTGGAGCAGGGGGGCAAATGGGGGGGGCATCAACCCCCCTCCCAGGAAGTAGCCTGCTTTGCGCAACTGTGCAGGTTCATTGTAACTCAAACAAGCCATGGCACCTGTTTCTTCTCTTGCAAAATCTGGGGTGCCTGGTTCCCCACCACCACCACTTTAGAGCAGCCACCCCCCCCTTCATGGGGCGCCTGGTGTCTTGCTCAGCCGGAAGTTAAACAGCTGCCAAATCTGCCAGCAGCTTTAGGGGAAAAACATCAGGCGTTTCAGCCAGCCGTGAATGCTGGCAGCCCAGAGGCTCTGAAGGTGGGAAACCTCCCAGGCTTAGAAAGCTGCAAGCAGCCAAAAGAGAGGAATGAAAAAAATGAACCCCAAACAAATGTGTGTGTGTAAGACACTACCAAGCACTTGCTCCAGAGAGGTCCCCCAACCAGCATAACAAAGAGGGGTGTTTCCCGTGTTTCTGAGCATCTCATAAGGCCAAACCTGACCACTTTTAAGATAGCTAAAATTCCCAGAATTTCCCAGCGGGTGCCGTTGACCAAAGCCTTGTTTCAACTTAATGACTTGTGGACTTCAACGCCCAGAATTCCCCAGTCAGCCCTGCCGCCCAGAGTAGTCCCACGGCAAGATGGGTGCCGAATAAAATTTAACAAATAAATAAACAAACACGGTTGGTCAAATCAATATATAAACCATGTCAAAACAAGTACAGGGCTGAAAAAAACCCGTTCTTCTTCTACCAACAAACAAAACAATCAGGCCCCAGGGTGGGCTTAACCTCTCAGCCGATGGGTTTGGTTCAGGCTGGATTTGGTATTTTTATCCACTATCCAGTCTTTCTCAAGGACTTGGGACAGGCAGATACAGAATACCAAACAGAGCTGGAAGGGATCTAGTCTGACCCCCTGCTCAAGCAGGAGACCCTCTGCTATTCCAGACAAATGTCAATGTTTGATAGTGTTAAAGGTCTCCTTGTCACAGGATGAAAGCTGTTCCAAGCAAAGCTGCCTTTTGCAATTGACTGATGGGGATGTTATCAATGCCGATGGTGTTCCAGGGGTGCTCCAGTTGTGTTGGGATTGCACCCAAGAGCCTGTTATTATTATTGCTATGATTATTATTTTAAAGTCACAAAACCGCTTCTCCCTTACTTTAGCCATGTCATGCGGGGGGGGGGGGGAATTCCCTGGAGAAAGCAATTCCATTGGGAAGACTCACCAGGCTGCCAAAGATGGTGGCCGGACACCCTCAAGGCCAACCCAGCTGGAGCAGAGAAAACATCTCAAGGAAGCTGGGCAAGATCAGAAGAGATGGAGAGACACACACAAACCCCCGGCCCAAAGAATCGTCAAGAGTCAGACTCCACTGAACGGATAGCATCATCAGTATTACTGGCTCAAAAACAGCCACTGTGAGAGGGACCTTGGAGTCCTAGTGGCCGATCACTTGACCGTGAGCCAGCAATGTGCAGCAACAGCCAAAAAAGCTAACAAAATCCTGGGCTGTATAAACAGAGGCATAGAATCAAGATCACACGAAGTATTAGTATTGCTTTATAAAACCCTTGTAAGACCACACCTGGAATACTTCAGCCAGTTTTGGTCACCATACCACAAAAAAGATGTTGAGAGTTTGGAAAAAATTCAGAGAAGAGCAACTGAGATGAACAAAGGCCCTGGAGATTAAAACATACGAAGAACGGCTGCGAGACTTGGGTCTGGCCAGTCTAGAGAAAAGAAGAAATAGAGGAGACAGGATAGCAATCTTCCAGTATCTGAGGGGCTGCCACAAGGCAGAGGGGGCCAGGTTGTTCACCAAAGCACCAGAGGGAAGGACGAGAAACAATGGTTGGAAACTGATCAAGGAGAGAAGCAACCTGGAATTAAGGAGAAACTTCCTGACAATGAGGACAATTAACCAGTGGAACAGAAGTTACCTCCAGAAATCGTGGGCACTTCATCACTGGAGATTTTTAAGAAGAGGCTAGACAGTCACTTGTCTTGAGATGGCATAGGTTCTCCTGCTTGAGCAGGGGGCTGGACTAGAAGACCTCCAAGATCCCTTCCAATTCTATTCTATTCTATTATTTTGAATGTCGTTCAGGTAGTCCTTGAGTTACAACAGTTCATTTGGTGACCATTCAAAATTACAATAGCACTGTTTTTCACACTTACGACCATCGCCGCATCCCCATGGTCACATGATCAAAATTCAGACACTCGGCAACTGACTCCTATTTACGAGGGTTCACGTGAGGTCACGTGGTCCCCTTCTGCAACCTTCTGACAAGCAAAGTCAATGGGGAAGCCAGATTCACTTAACAACGGTGTGACTAACTTAACAACTGCAATGATTCACTTAACAACTGGGGTAAGAAAGGTTGCAAAAATGGGGCAAATATTTCACTTAGCAACATAAATTTTGGGCTCAGTTGTGGTCATAATTCTGTATTTCAGAATCAAGGTAGAGAATTTTCCAACTAGATTTACTGGCTTTGTCCTTACTTTTTTCCAGGCAGCAAATTAAGGAAGAGCTCTCTCTCTCTCTCTCTCTCTCACACACACACACACACACAACACAGACACACCCTCCCTCACTCGCAGCCCCCCCCCCTCCCCTCTGGTCAGAGGAGGCTAGGAAGTGGCATCTGGCCTTGAAGAGCAGGGAGGCAACGGAAACAAAGCGAGAGGCATCGTCCCCACCACCTCAGCAGCCCCAGCCCAGGAAGGAAGCAGAGGCTGATTAAGCCTTGCAGGCTTGACATCCTTTCAAAGCAAGAGAGCCTCTAGTTAAGGTGCTGCCTCTCAACGGCAACTCGGCCTAAATTCTTGCTTGTATCGCCCGCCTGCCCTTTGCCAGCTTCAGGGGAGATGCCTGCTATTAACTCAGAGGCGGCCTGGGGCGCCCCTTCCCTCCTGCCCTCCATCTACCCAGGGACCCTGGATGGCACCAAAGCTGGCAGGTAGCAGGGCCAGCCTCGGGGTGGCACCAAAGGGACCTGCAACTGGCTGGATTGAGTAAACTCCATTTTAACGCAAGGAATCGATGACTGGGTGTAAAGCAGTGTTTTGCTGCCAACCATCAGCAGGCGAGGAAGATTCTTCTAATGTGTTTTAATCTTTGCAGACATTGAATGGATTTTGAGTTTAAGCAGCGGTGATGCCAGTGGATGGCAAAGAGAGGCGACTCAGCATCCCCCCTTTTTAGAGCCATTATCTTGGAGGGGCATCACGACCTGCATGGACCTGGGAGGGGGTTAGGAGAAGGGCTGGCAAGGGGACCCATGCATCTGTGCCAGGAAAGTTTTCAGCAGACGGAGGGCATTTCTCTGTGGCACTAGGGGAAGGTCCCCCTTCATGGGCCGGATGAGGGCAATGTGATGAGGGCTTCCGAGCCACCTTTGCCCCACGGTTAGGAGCCCCAGGGCAGGCAGCGATCCTTCAGAGACAGGAGCCTGTAGGGGCAGGTGGGCTTAGGAGCCGGGTGAAGAGATGCTGCCAAGGGAGTATCAGATAAGAGACAGCTGAGCCCACAGCTGCAAAATGGGCAGAGGAAAAGGCTCAGAGAGGACCTCAGGCTGTAAAGGAGACAGAGGGAGATTTGTCCTTTCAGACTTGCAAGATTCTGTTAATGTAGCTTTACAATAAGGTAGAATTAGCTCCTCTGGGAGGGTTTCCTGTCTGGCCTACTTGGCAAGGCTGACAGAGCCCTACAAAGAAAGGGCTGCATATCCCCCTGGGGTCCCCAGGCAGGTTGGCAAAACCAGATCTTCAGGGCCTTTTGAAAGAGTATCAAGGTAGGGCCAATCGTATCTCCACAGGGATGATGTTCCATTGGAAGGGCACCATCACAGAGAAGGCCCTTCTTCTGGGTCCCTCCAGATGGACCTCCTTAAGAGAGGGAACCTGTAGCATCCTCTACATCCTTGTCCAAGTTGGGTCAGGTAGATATAATGTGAAAAGAGGGTTCTTCAACTTTATTTTATTATTTAGTGCATGGTGTACAATGTCAGGAAAATCTAGACATGCTAGACAACAACGCAGTCCTGACAGTTCTTCAAGTAACCTGGCCTTAAGCCATGAAAGGCTTTAATGGTGTAGCTAAAAATACGGCAACGGCTATTGAAAAATTGGGTCTCTGTCAAGACTCAGTCAGGAGGACTGTGTGGCTCCTGAAAGGGCCCCTGTGAAGCTCTGATGCTTATTCTGAAGAAAGGAATTGTGGGAGATGTGATGGTGTCGGCTTTGCACTCCAACCTCAATCACTTCTGTGTGATTTTTCCAGTACATCTCCTCTCATTTTCAGAAAAGGAAAGATTTCAACCAGAAGATTTGTCATTTGACAATCAAACGTGCTCTAACATGCTGCAGGAGATGCTGCTAAGGAGTTCTCACACACTCGAAAAGGGTCTAAATATCCTATTTAGCCTTAAATATGCTAACTGGAGCCCAGGTGCCTTTCACTGAGCATAACTGATTTTTGGTATATTCTTTATTGATTCATTCAAGTTAGATGTGTCTGAATTAACAGAGGCCTACTACAGTTTACAAAACAACAACAACAAACATTCACATCAGTTAAGAGGTGGATGAACATCGATAAATAAAAACAACCCATAGCTAATCAAAGTCACAACACCACAAGGATAAATTATAAGAGTGGTAATGAAAAATAAAGAAAACAAAACCCTAGCAAGGCAGCGGAAGTAATTCAACGTGAAATGATTTAAGGAGGAGAGGACGTGCCCAGCCAAACGCTCTTCGGAAAAGCTTCACTCTCAGCAGAGTTAGTTCTAAGACGAATGGAGGGGATCCGAGATGCAGAAGCTTCTGGCCTCCGTTCCCCTCCTTTTCCTAGCTGGGCAGGCAGTAGGTCTTCTACTTATAACCAGCTGTTTGGTGGCTTTTCAAACTTAGGGTGACTCTGGAAAAAGTGATTTATGACCAACCCTTGCATTTACGGCCACTGCAGCATGTTGTTGTTGTTGTTAATTGCGAAGTCGTGTCTGACCCATCGCGACCCCATGGACAACGTTCCTCCAGGTCTTCCTGTCCTCTACCATCTTCTGGAGTCCATTTAAATTCACACCTACTGCTTCAGTGACTCCATCCAGCCATCTCATTCTCTATCGTCCCCTTCTTCTATTGCCCTCCATCTTTCCCAGCATTAGGCCCTTCTCCAGGGAGTCCTTCCTTCTCATTAGGTGGCCAAAGTATTTGAGTTTCAACTCCAGGATCTGGCCTTCTAAAGAGCAGTCGGGGTTGATCTCTTCTAGGACTGACCGGTTTGAACGCCTTGCAATCCAAGGGACTCGCAGGAGTCTTCTCCAGCCCCAGAGTTCAAAGGCCTCAATTCTTTTGCGCTCAGCCTTTCTTATGGTCCAACTTTCACAGCCATACATTGCAACTGGGAAAACCACTGCAGCATAACCTACCCTAACACAATCAAAGTTTGGGCACTGTTTACAACAAGGATTGCAGGGTCCCAGGGTCACGTGATCACCATTCGAGACCATCCCTCCCAACTTCTGACAAGCAAAGTCAATGAGGGAAGCCGGATTCATTTAATGACTACATGATTCACTTAATAACTGCAGGGGTTTGCCCAACAACCGTGACTTAGCCAGGGAAACCTGGATCCCAATTCTGATCCTTATTTAATGGTTAAAATTAAATATAAATATTCAATCTCTGTTCATTTTAATACACTTTTAATGCTTTATTCTTTCTGAAAGCCAGCCAGAGCCACTTGACAAATGGGCGGCATATGAACATAATGAATAATAAGCAAACAAACAGTGTGGCCACTGCACCACACCCGTTGCGCGAATAGCTGTGTTGCCTTTAACGAGAGGTGGTGAAAGGTACTTTGAAGCACGAAGGTGCAACCTGGGGGTGGGAAGTGCCGCTCTCAGCCCCCCCCCCCCGTGTCAGCCTGCCTGGGGGCCCTCCGAGGGACCCCCCCTGTGCTGTGGCTCCTTACCTCTCTGAAAGGTCATTCTAGGCACCACGTTGCTGCCCACGCTGGCCGCAGCCATCAGAAGGCACCCCAGGAGGCAGGGGAACTGGTCCGGTTTCATAGCTGTTAACAGCAGGCCGTCACCAAGAAGGTTGAAGGAGCCGGAGAGGGCCTGGTCCTGACTGGGCAGCTGTTAAGAAACGGAGAAAGAGGAAGAGGAGAAAATGGATGTTAGAAGTGTCTGCTTTGGCAATCCAGTGCTTCCCTCTTGTCTGGAGCAGAAGTGGCTGAGATGATGGGTTTGAGCCGTTGGGCCACGTTATCCGGTCCTTCCTTGTGGCTTCTCGTGAGAGACTTTGGAGAAATGAGGAAGGAGAAGCTGCTGGTTCAAGTTGAGGGCAGAGGCTTGAGAAGCTGGCATAGGCCCGCATCTGCTGGAAGGCACCTCCGCACTCTGAAGCCAGCCTGCAAGGGGGTGGGAGGGCTCTGAGCCAGCCCCAGAGAGTTGCAAGCTCTTCCTGAGGAGCATTCGGGGAGGGGGCTACGGCTGTAGAGTCCAAGGGGCTTTGCAAACCCTTTTCTGCCTCTCCAGATGGAAAACATCTGTACAAGAATCACTGCATTGTTGTTTCAACGGTGTGCAACTCCATCGTTGGCCAAATTGCTCATGACACCTGTCTCTCCTTCTCAAGCCTCTGAAGATCTTTGGAACAAAACTTAACGCAGCTGACTGATTTTTTTTACACCAGAAAATAAAAGGAGAAGTGAGGTCTTCTTGAAGCAACAGTGCAAAACAAGGTGAGGATTGCAAACTGCTTTGAATTTTCTTTCTTTCTTTTTTTAAAGGAGCTTGGCCATTCCTGCCTGCAATCCCTTGAAAGCATCAGTTTGGTGGAAGGGGAGAAATTGGGAGACGGGAATGGAAGAAGTAAAAGCAGCGGTCGTTTTACCAATTCCATAAATTCATGTCAGGCATGCCTTGTATTAGGCTGGAAGGAGTGAGGAATGCAAAGGATGAGAGGGAAAATTCACTCGGCCTTTCCTCAGTGTGCGGCGTGTTTGTTTGCAAGTTCGGGGATACAGGCGTTTCCTGCAACACTGCAGTCCTTGCAGTGTAGTGCAGGGATGGGTGATTCAACTTTCAAGTCCACAGGTCGTAAAGGGGCCATAGTTGCCCACCCATGGTGTAGTGGCTTGGACTAGATGACCTCTACACTCCCTTTCGACTCTTCAATGAATCATGGCTGGATCTATGAGGCATTGCCAATTGAGGAAGAGTAACGTGAGGGTCTGCCTTCATTCAGAATAGCTTCCTATCATCCTGGGTTATTGCAACTTGTTTTCATCCAACTGCCCGTTGTCTGGTCCAGTGGTTCTCAACCTGTGGTCCCCAGGCCACAGGGGATCCGCAAAGGCTTGAAAAAATGTTACGACTTAAATCTTGAGTTACCTCTTGGGGGTCCCTGGCCACGGTCGGTGGCCACAAAAATTATTTAAAGGGGGCCCCATAATGAACAAAAGGTTGAGAACCACGGGTCTAGTGCAACGTTTCTCAAACTTGGAAATTTTAAGATATGTGGACTTCAGCTCCCAGAATACCCCAGCCAGCATTACACATCTAGATTCATGCTGGCTGGGGAATTCTGGGAGTTGGTCCACGTATCTTAAAATTTCCAAGTTTGAGAAATGCTGGTTGAGTTGGCTCCATCATCTGAGCTGATCTTACATCTGGTTGTCTTCTCTTTACATTCATTCCAAGATCCACCCCAGTGCAGAACTCTCATCAGCATCCCATTGTGAGCGTCTGACCCAGCAGTCTTGCTCTGGTATCTGCCACAGACACAAAAACCACACCCACATCTAACATAAGAGTAATTTCACAAGTTGACTTACAAAACACTGAACACTGGCAGTCTGCGAGATTCTGCAGGGCCATCTGCTAATTCATTGATCAGAGCTGGCAAACACTTAGAAAGGAAGAAAGCAGCACACCTTACAAGGAAGTTGTAAAAAGGAAGAGGTGCTCAAGAACGCAACAAGAGGCCCATCAGACCTAAAAAGGCAATACGAAACCACAGAAGAGGAACAAACGAAGTTGAAGTCTCACTATAGGCAGGCAAATATGATATTGTTGTTATTACTGATAATAACTGATGGAACTCACCCTGGAGTAAAATACTAGAAGGATATAATCTGTAACTAAGGAAAGGAAAGGGGCGTGGCATAATAAGATCCCTTGTCTTGAGCAGGGGGTTGGACTAAAAGACCTCCAAGGTCCCTTCCAGCTCTAGGATTCTATGCGGAAAATGATTCACGACCACCAAGGTCATCCCTCAAAACTGGAAATTAAGGGGGGAAACCCCAATAATGACACTGTTTTGAATGCCCACCACAGGTCCCCTGTCCAAGCAGGAGCTATAGATGAAACCGTCACAAACGAGGCAGCTGAGGTGTTCAGGAAAGACACCAGCATGGCACTGGGAGGCTGACAAACTGGGAGTTGGCTGCATAAAATGAGAAACAAAAAGCAGAAGTTTTTGTTTTTTTTTTAAAGGGGGAGGCGCTAACAGATATCTGGAAACAGCCCAGGATGGGCCCCGGAAGGCTAAGGCTTCACTTGAGTTGTGGCTTGTAACAAACACAAACAATAGCAAAGAAGGCTTGGTGGGAACAGTGCATGCCGAACAAAAGGAAAGTCAAGGAAACACCAGGCTACTAGCAGAAAATGGTGGCAGCAAGCAGGAGAAGGCTGAACGGCATCTGTCCAGCTGCACTGCATTAATTCAAGTCAGCCTGGCCAAAAAAAGGTCACATCACAGAGAAATAAAGAAAGCAGCGGATGAGTCCTCCAAGCCAGCAGCTGTAATTTTGGAGAATTCCTGAAATTCAAGGGAAGTCACAGAAGACCGGAGACAAGCAATTTCCTTCCTATCTTTCTAAAGGGGACCCAGGAAACTCCAGTCTGGCACAAGTGACACGGGCGCCTGGGAAAATCCCCAATCGGTCGGCATGGAAGCACTTAGAAAGGAAGGTGATTACCCACAGCCGGCATGGGGTTGTTAAAAACAACGGGTGCCATGTTAATCTTGTTGCTTCCTTTGACAAAGTGATTAGATTTGCAAGATGAAGGAATGTGGTGAAGATTGTGAACTTGCACTTTGATAAGGTCAACCAAGCCTCCTTCCTGACAAGACGGAGCGAGGTGGGGTGGATGGTCCCTCCAGACAGAGATTCTCCTCAGCCAGTCCACGAACCTTCACAGATCTCTCTGAGCATGGACAAAATGGAAAGATACATCAATCCCCACATGGAAGACTGGATGGGGAAAGGGATGGAGCTAGCAGAGACAGCCACACGGACTGTTTTACTTAGAGAAAGCAACATATTCAGTTTTGTTTCTACTTGGAAATCGCTTCTGAACTTTGTGCTTGAGAGAGAAAAAAGAAGATTCTTGATTTTGGGTTTTGCTGATTAATATAGTTTGCTGTTATAGAAATGGTTTGTCCGTATTAAATTGATAAAGTTGTTAAATTGCCATAGGTGTCCACCCTCGCTCTAAAGAAATGGCTTAATTATGAATTTTGGATCCCCCCCCCCATGGACCAACACTGCCATAATTGCTATTTATTGCTCTTTTATAAAGCCAGATGCCTATCATCAGGAGATGCACGCAGCTTGGTCTCAGTCTGGCTGCCTATCTGAAATTTATGGGCATAAAAAGAGCCCCGTCAGCAGGCTCAGAAGTATTTCTGTTGACAGTTTCTTGTTTCCTCTTTGTCCTGTGTTTGCTTTAATTCTTGCCCTTTTCTCCCTGCTTCAGAACAGGAAAGACACACCACAAACCAAACTCCAGAAACCTGTGCCAAGTTGTGCTGAGCATCACACACCGGCCTCTTTTCCAGAGCTTTGCTTACCGAAGGCTGAGCCAGGGATCCGTCCCTCCCGCTTGGCTGCTGCTAACACCGACCTCAGGCCCACGGAGCACATGATGGGCGATAACGTGGCCACTTTCACTTCCTGGCCTGGCTGACACTTCTGGGGTGGAAGCCACCATAGAAACCCTGCTGAAAAGTTGGCAGCTGGGGCTGAGCCCCCTCCAGACTGAGGTGGGCTCTAATTGTTTGGGCTGGTTTCCAAAGAGGCACAAATGTTTGCAAGGACACTCACTACACTGCTTTCTCTTGCCAAAGTTTGCCCACACATGCAAAACATTTCGCAACATGCTGGCAACTTCCACACGTCTTTTGTGACCCTCATCAACTGTCAAGTTGGAAGAGAATTTAAAAGTTCCAGAGCAGAAAACTCTATGGCTTCCGAGTCTGCAGACGGGTCTCCCCCTAAAGGACATATTCCAAGAGCCCTGGGGGCACCGTGGTTAGAATGCAGGACTGCAGGCAAATTCTGCTGACTGCCGGCTGCCAGCAATTGGGCAGTTCGGTCCTGATCGGCTCCAGGTTGACTCAGCCTCCCATCCTTCCAAGGTTGGTAAAGTGAGGACCCAGATTGTTGGGGGGGGGGAATGCAATATGCTGACTCTGTAAAGAGCTTAGAGAGGGTTGTAAAGCAGTGTGAAGCGGCATATAAGTGCAAGTGCTGTTGCTATTCTGTATTTAGTGAATTCAGTGACAGGTGGTCCTTGACTTACAGCCCTCTGTATAGTGACTGTTCAAAGTGGCTGGGGACATCTGGGAGTTTAAGTCCATGCATTTTAAAGCAGCCAAGGTTGAGGAACACTGATCTGGATTGATCCTGCTTCCTCAGAGGGCTCCAGGCACCAAACCCACTTCAAACAAAGGGGTCTGGAGGCTAAAGAGTACGATGAACAGTGGCAGGAACTGGGTATGTCTAGTCTAGCAAGGAGGGTGACGTGATAGCAGTCTTTCAATATCTAAGGCAGGCATGTCAAACTGCCGGCCTACGGGCCAGATGTGTCACGCCAAAACCGTGGCCACCCCATTGCTGGCAATAGGGAAAAAGTTGCAATACGTCGCACGATGTCACATGACGTCACAAGGGGTGCCACAACTATCTATGGTAGTTGGCATCTGTGGTTTTTAGAGCATCGTTCCTCGATTTCAGCCATTTTCAGATGCCTATTCTCCAAAGCACCAGAAGACAAGATAGGAAAAAATGAATGGAAACTCGTCAAGGAGAGAAGCAACCTGGATTTAAGGAGAAATTTCCTGACAG